GGCAATCACCGTAAAAGTTTCACACCAGAACTGGTGCAAAGTTTCGCAGCAAAAGCCAGTAGTCGTAGGTGGTCAGTCAGGCAATCACCGTAAAAGTTTCACACCAGAACTGGTGCAAAGTTTCGCAGCAAAAGCCAGTAGTCGTAGGTGGTCAGTCAGGCAATCACCGTAAAAGTTTCACACCAGAACTGGTGCAAAGTTTCGCAGCAAAAGCCAGTAGTCGTACGTGGTCAGTCAGGCAATCACCGTAAAAGTTTCACACCAGAACTGGTGCAAAGTTTCGCAGCAAAAGCCAGTAGTCGTATGTGGTCAGTCAGGCAATCACCGTAAAAGTTTCACACCAGAACTGGTGCAAAGTTTCGCAGCAAAAGCCAGTAGTCGTAGGTGGTCAGTCAGGCAATCACCGTAAAAGTTTCACACCAGAACTGGTGCAAAGTTTCGCAGCAAAAGCCAGTGGTCGTATGTGGTCAGTCAGGCAATCACCGTAAAAGTTTCACACCAGAACTGGTGCAAAGTTTCGCAGCAAAAAGCCAGTAGTCGTACGCGGTCAGTCAGGCAATCACCGTAAAAGTTTCACACCAGAACTGGTGCAAAGTTTCGCAGCAAAAAGCCAGTAGTCGTACGTGGTCAGTCAGGCAATCACCGTAAAAGTTTCACACCAGAACTGGTGCAAAGTTTCGCAGCAAAAGCCAGTAGTCGTATGTGGTCAGTCAGGCAATCACCGTAAAGTTTCACACCAGAACTGGTGCAAAGTTTCGCAGCAAAAGCCAGTAGTCGTAGGTGGTCAGTCAGGCAATCACCGTAAAAGTTTCACACCAGAACTGGTGCAAAGTTTCGCAGCAAAAGCCAGTAGTCGTATGTGGTCAGTCAGGCAATCACCGTAAAAGTTTCACACCAGAACTGGTGCAAAGTTTCGCAGCAAAAGCCAGTAGTCGTACGCGGTCAGTCAGGCAATCACCGTAAAAGTTTCACACCAGAACTGGTGCAAAGTTTCGCAGCAAAAGCCAGTAGTCGTACGTGGTCAGTCAGGCAATCACCGTAAAAGTTTCACACCAGAACTGGTGCAAAGTTTCGCAGCAAAAGCCAATAGTCGTATGTAAGTCAGGAATGTTTTGTTTTGCAGTCAGACAATCACCTATAAAGGCATATAACCTTATGTCGTGCATGCGATGGTCGTGTGACATCTATAAGTTATAGAATCGAAGCGCAGTTGAAACAAATGTAAGTAAGATCACACCAAGGAAGGCAAGCTTATTTTGCTTTGGGTACAGAGAGACCCGCCAAAGTAAAATAAATGCAGCAATACCTTTATCAGTTTGCTTGAAGCGACCGTCATAGTAAATTTGCGAACAGCAACAGTACTTCAGTTTTAATACAGCTACAGAAAAATTCTTGTAGCTTTTGGCAATAAGATAAGCTTAGGTGAAACCTTCTTCGGTACGTTTAAAAATCGAGTTGACGACGGCAAACGTGACGTAACTGCGTCCTACTGCGTATCTCGCGCTTCGCGCTCGCGCCTCTAAACAACTCTAAGCACCTTAATGACGCCTTTTGCGCAGGCTACGGTTGAGTTGTGAGGGCGATTATTTTGTAGAAAGCAATAACTTCATGATAACCAGAAGAAAATAAAAACTCCAAAGAAAAATATCCTGTTCTTCACGACAAATGGTTGCAAAAAGAACAACCTAGTTGTCTATTAATTTGTTTATTCAATAGTCCAGTTTAAACCCTGCTTGCAGCAATTTTAGGAAAATAAGTAAATACTGTTCACATTTGTAATTTTCTTTTATTTTTTGGCAAGAAAATTGTAAACTATTTTTTATTCTTTTTTTCTACATTGGCCAAAGAGCCTCTCAAACGTAACCATGGCCGTAACGCCCGCTGTCAAAATTGAGGTCCTACAGCCGGGAAACACCAAAAATATGTAATCTGAGTCACTGTGTTCGAAGATATGAATAAATTTGCTAACAGAGCTCTTACAATTTATACGATAAAAAGCTTTAAGAGCAAGAAATGCGTCAGCGTCAAAACAGATACTGGTATGAAAGTCAAAGAATGATAGCCGTTCGGGATTTACCCCGCTATACTACAATTTACTACACAGACGTTAGCATTGAAATGCAACGGCACACTTGGATGTTGCCTTTTTTAAAAACAACAGTTACTATAACGGACGCGAAATACATCAATATACGGGTAGTACAAATGTAAAATCTTCCTACCTTTTCTGATCCTAACAGATACCTGTGCAGTTGCTAAACGCCTTCCAAATGACCATAGATCGAGGAGGTTTCCCGTCCCGGTGAGCACATAACAAAAGAGAAATTGGTTCCAACGGAAATATTCCTGAGCGCGCAAACCTGGACAACATTGCAAACGAGCATACCGAATGAAATCAGTTCTGAGTTCACTCCGCTAAGAGGCCAGAGTGTATTATTTATTGGAGAGAGTTTTTGTATTCAATCGTCTCAATATTTGATGGCATTTATGTGCCTTAGCGAATGTTCTTAATGCGATACACATGCACGGCAACCTGACAAAGAAACACAACCATTTTGCTTACCTTTTGGCCGCGTTAACACCAGGTTTAAAGTAGAACGTAGGCCAGTAGCTGATATGTAGACAGGCATATTAAAACACGAACACACAAAAGTGTTTTCTATAAAGGATCGACAGCGAAACGACTACAAACAAAGCGGTGAGCGGTGCTTGACTCAACTGTGTCATTTTCTCACTACGTGTATCTTTTACAAGGTATTCACAGCAGGACGTTTTGCTTACACACCCAAACAAATTTCCGTTTTCACAGGCAAAAGGTGTCATTTCCACAGCTCGCGTGGGGTGATTTCCACGCGCACTTACTTGCTTCGCCCGCTCTAATATCCATATAAAAAATTACAGTGCGATTGCCAGGAGAAAAAATATCCCTTTTTATCCAGCCAGAACCGGCATAAATTTTTCATATTTTCAGCTAGCAAGGCGCTCATTCAGATTTCCCAGCCAGCTAACTAGCCAATGTTTTTTTTTTCCAGCTAGCTCAAATTCTGCCTGACGAGCGGGTATTTTGTCGAGCGGCTCCGTCGGGTACTCCTGTGTTTGTGGCGAGTTTGAATTCTGCGTGACGGCACGTAGAGTCTGTCATAACGGCCATATCGCATGCCTCGCTGTGATCGAAGACGCTCCACTGTTGACAAAAACTGTCAAAACCAACCAATCAGAGGGTATACCAGGATCTGGTATACCGGAACGCACTTTTGTTAAAAATTCTTACAAGCGTTCCCGCACCTCTCTCCCCAGTCCCCCTCTACTTTTCATCGCTTTCTTTACTCCGCACTGCTCTCCACTATCTGAACGCTTGGAACAGGCTAAAGGGAGGTAGGAGTAACGTGTTTAATCTGACTTTAATGAATAACTTAATGAGAATCGAGTGAGTGAGTGAGTGATCGAGTGCCATTCGAGTGCCTCCAAAAGCCCATGGCATGACTACGTCATCCATGAGCTAAAAAGGGAAAAAGCGATAGTGGTTCGTAGAAAATTATTTCCGCGAGAGTTCACAGAGTTCATGTTTTTTCACGCTGTATCATATTTCAAGAAAAAATCCACATACAGTGAAACCTGTATTAAGCGGACACCGTATTAAGCGGACACCCTCTATTAAGCGGACAGTAGCCGAAGTCCCAAAATTTATTCCCCTTATTTACTTCAAATGAAACCTTTATTAAGCGGACACCTCTATTAAGCGGACGCGGACACCTAAAAAGTACCTGAAATGGTCATTTCTATTGTTACCAACCTGTATTAAACGGACACTTGTAATCAAATTTCACTACCCAACATGCCAGACACGGGAAATGCGAAAGATTACCTCTAATTGCCACCCACAACTTTTTCCATTTTTACATTAAAAAACGTGACTTGACGAACTTATTTGATTAGTTTCACAGTACAGTATTGTTGTCTATTTCGTTTTGTTTGTATAGAGCTTGTTTCACTTAGATGATTTCTTCAAATTTGAGTTGCAATCTATGTTTATGGTACTATGACCAATTGGTCCAATTTGATAAAGAAATTAAGGCAAAAGTATATCGTCAAAGTCTCTGGGAGTATTCTTAACATTTCCCCTGTTCATTTGAATGGCTTTTGACATCTCATATGACGTTATCTATCGAAACCTGTATTAGGCGGACACCCTGTATTAAGCGGACACTACAGCATTCCCCCAGGGTGTCCGCTTAATCCAGGTTTCACTGTACACAGTCTTTCTGTGTGGTCTCCTGCTTGTGTTATTATTCCTTCAAAAAATCAAAACCGGCTCCTTCCTGTGCAATTTGTCTGATTAGGAGCCGATTTCGATGTAACTAGACCGCTTAAAGTCCGGCGCTTTGCGTTGCGGGCGCGCGGGCGGCCATCTTGATTTCAAATGTACCGAGTCAAGCCTGGGGATGAGTGTCAAACCACTTAGGGGCCCCTCCCCTTAAAAGCTATCTTTTAGAATATGTTTCGCCATTTAAGTACTCGATTTATTCGTTTCAGTCGTGTGTTCATTGTGCTACAAATACCGCCGAGAGTAATTTCGGTGCCCACATTTTTATTATCCTTGTAGTTAAAGAAAAATTTGGTCTTTTTCGCACAATTAAGAGTTTCAGTTTCGCATGACTCCAAGTGCGAGGATAAGGCCTGTTTCAAACGTCGTGCTACTGCCGTGCTAAGCTGGCTCGACTGTAGCCCGACTGCAGCACGACACTAGCACGACTTGGCTCTAGACGTCGAATTTAATTCAGTCAAGTCCCATTATGGCTCTTGATTCAGTCGAATAGAACGGCTGTTGCCGAAAACAAAACACAAAAATAAAGAAACGGTTTTGCAAACTTTTAAATGTATTCTAATGTATTTATAATTTATGAATTGAGTTCCGCGCGGCAGTAGCGCGACGTTTAAAACCAAGTCGAGCTACTGCGGTGTAGCACGGCAAGCTTTGCCGTGCCACACGGCAGGAGCACGACTTGGTTTCAAACGTCGCGATACCGCCGTGCTAAAGTCGAATTTTATTCGATCAATTTGGTTCGGCACGGCAGTAGCAGGACGTTTGAAACGGACCTACGGTTAGTTCCCGCCACTGGAGTCACTAGCAGCACGGCGCAATTTTAAACTTCAAACACGCTGTATCTGGGTTGTCGTTTAGAGTCAGATAAGAGAGGTTCTTCTGGTCCGGTTCTTGATTGCTGGCGCTCCACCCTAGATTGGGTGCTACAGAATAACTCCTCACGATTGCTTCCATCTGGGGTCAAAGAAATCTCTGGCGCCCTAAAAATAATTAAGGAAACATCTTGAGTTACTAGGCCATTCAAAAGATTGATATTGTTCCATCATATCCGCGCAATGGGCCCGTCTCTAATTCTTTGATTCAAGTACTGAGGGCTGTTTGCATAAAGGGCGAAGATCCTAGCACCAGGAAGATAAGCGGATCATCTTAGCGTCAGATGTTTTCTGTATTCAATTTACATGGAAAACGTTTTGCTTGCAATTGTCCCAAGCGCTAGGATCTTCCTAGCTGAGAGTTAGGAAGATCCTAGCACCATGTAAACTGCTTTCGCTAAGAAGATCCTAGTACTAGGAACAAACCACACAAAAATGGCGTCCGGGTTGTTCAGTAGGTAATCTTTAATCTTTAATTTATTCTTTATTGTCAACCACACGGACCGAAATCTGTGCATGTAAACCCAATGAAAAGTTGTCCCACCTTCAAGGGATCTTCTTGGTGCCACCATATTCCTCCCTTTATGTAACAACAGCCCCTTAATTTCGTCAGTTTAAGTGTACCATACCTCCGCGTGCGTTTGATACTGGCATCAGACTCGTACCCAGTCGCCACTTATTATTTATTCTCGCAAAGGAATATGGAAAGGCAATTTGACGCGCGCAAAGGCTCTTGGGAAGGAGGGAGAAATTAAAAGCGACTGGGTACGAGTCTGTACTGGCATATGCTGTGGTGGCCTGTGCCAGATTCTCGGCCAGTGCAGAATAACCAAGAAAGCGGGAAAGCAGTGAAAAAGCGGCGAGTGTAAAACAGCCCGCTCACTTTCCTGCCCACTACTTCAGAAAAACCGCTTTTCAATGGGGTGGCAGCTTGAACGGTTGGCTGTTATTTTTTCCAATTTTAATTGACGGTTGACACGGTTAACCTTTAAGAGCTTTTGACATTTGACGATCATTATTGACGAAAATTCAGTCCAAGAGTTTAAGAAGATATTACAAATTAATATAACAGCAAGGAGCCCGAAAGTGTGACCGCTTCTGATTTATTCATGTTATATTCTTTCGTACAGATTTAATCCAATCAGAAGCCAACTGGAAACTGTCCTCGACTTCTGATTGGTTGATCTCTGCAAGAAGAATGTGTTACTGAGTTAATTAAAGAAGGTCACTTTTTTGGCTCCCTGCTGTAACTGTTTTGTTTTGGAGGTGGTCTTAGCCTTTCACTAATTAAATTGTGTATTTTTTTTGTTAAGCAAGGTGTAAGGTCATGTTATATCTCGAGAAAGAACATGAAAACTGGTTTTACAAGATTGTAAATTCTTCAGGAACCAGATGAGTCCATCAAGGTCAGCTGAAATAGTGAGATTTAAGACACCCAACTTCTCTTTCCCAGGTCTTTTTTTAAAAAAGATTCTTACCCCATGTTGTAAGCAAAGATGGCCGGTAACATGATGACAAGCGCTCCAATACTGAACCAGGTGCTCGCGCGAACCTCGGGGTACCATTCGAATGGAATCTCACGGAATAAAGTCCAGAAAATGAATCCCAGTGGAGTGACGAGCGACTAAACATAAAAATATAGAAAATATCAGGTATTGATTAAGCCAGATTTGTAGGTGTTATTTTGATTTTGGTTTGACTAAAAAGACAGCTGAGAAAAAGCAATGGTGCCACCAAGTTTATCCTCGGAGACCCAAGGGAAGTCAGTCGGGTCGAGAGAAAAGGCGGCACGAAAGTTTTCATTACGGGCGAAAGAGCCCCTGGGTACCGACTGTCACCGGACCATTTCCAAAAATTCAAGCGGATGCCGGCTCCTGATTGGGCACAAAAAATGCTTTGTATTATTGAGCCCAATCGGCGAACAGATCTCAATGAGTTCTTTTCGTGTGTTCGTACATGACGGCTATTGTCTCAATCACGGCTTGTCTAGCTTATGCACCAAAGAAATGCACGTAGTCAGGAAACTTTCAGTTTGATATAAAATCCCCATCTGATCCAACTGGCTTACTTTGTCAAATGCAAGCGAACTCTTCTGAACCATATCAAAGTTCATGAAGAGAATGAATTTGTTATTGCTTGTTTACTCTTTCGCAAAACCTGAAGTTAGGCATTTTCACGGGTAGTCGTGCAGTTGACGGCAAAGAAGTGTTCAAAAAAACGTGATGCACGTGCAAAGTTGTTGTTTTGCCTTGTCAAGCTATTACTTATTTGAATTTCTCATCGCCGCCGCATCTTAATTGTGATCCGTCAAAAACAGAATATTCTCGGGGCAAATTCAATTGCTCTTGCTGATAGTAAGCCAAACGTTTTTTCAACTCATCGGTAATTCCTTTGTTTCTGGTTAGGAATTAGAAAATAAAAGTTTCCTTATACGCACAAGCTTGGTGAGCGAACCAGGCAAGTGTGGCGCGACAATAGCCGTCGTGTACGAACTCACGAAAAGAACTCAGGAGCAACTGTTCGCCGATTGGGCACAACAATACAAAGCATTTTTTGTGCCCAATCAGGAGCCGGTATCAGCTTGAATTTTTGGAAATAGTTCGGTGAGAGTCGGTACCCAGGGGCTCTTCCGCACTTACTTGAAAACTTTCGTCCCGCCTTTTTTCCCGACCCGACTGACTGCCCCTGGGTCTCCGAGGATGAGGCGCGCCAATAACTCTTTGGCAACCTGATATACTATCAGTGAGTGTATACTATAATCGCGACAGAGTTTGAAATGAACCCAGGGAGTACTTCTGGGAATTCTTGTTGGGGGTGTGCTGCCCAGTTCTCCTAATCCCGACCCTATTTAAAATCAAGAGATATATCTCCTTTTTTTTTAACTTGTTCATTTGGAATTGAAACGATAAATACGTTCATACACTCCTCTTGTTCCCTTGAAAAGCATACCTGATTAAAAACCAAAATAGGCAAAGTGTATACCCGCTTTCAGACCAAAGCGGCGAAAAAACCCTACCCGATGGGGCGACACATACCTATATAGCTTATATAAGGGAGTACACCCCCCCCGGAGAAATGGGGCGAATCCCCTTTCATAATTCATTTTGCGCAAGTTCCCAAGGAACGTTGTTAAGTAACTGGAGCAAAGATCGTTGTTCTTTTTAAAGCAAATCCTCACCGTGACAATAGCCAGCAGAGTTGCTCCTTCCGCATGTCGTAGAAGATTTGCGCCAGCGATGTGAGATATTATGTGCGTGGCAATGTACAAGGTTCCTCTAAGGCCTGGGGTTTCACTACAACCTGCTCCACCAAAGAAACATTGCAATGCTGACCACCAACTGCAAACGTGAGACACGAGTTAGTTAGGAACATATCTCTAGCATGATTAAGAAATACCGGTACTTCTGCGGCCTTTCCGTGCCTTGTGAGGCTGAGGAGAGGGATGGGATAGCGGAGAGCAGATTTTTCGCTCCACCCTCTCCCCCCACGAGAACACGAGAACTGCCTAATTGTCAGGCTATCGGCTTAATTTAAAGTTTTCTCCCAAAAGAAAACCGTTAAGTCTATGATTGGAAAATATATACCTTTTGCCGAAGTTCTTGATGTCGTCGACGTGTCCATACCACGGGAGAATATCTGTCCAGAACAAGGCAACGATACAGAGAAGTTCATAGGTGGATGTCCAAAATAAAAAGTGCACCAAGTTCATTTGTTCTCCGGACTTGTCACTCTCTATTTTTACTCCTCGCTCTTCCAGGACGCGCATAAGAGCTTCTGGAACCTAAAGTTTTCACAAACAAGTAAAATGAAAACAAGGAAAACATAACTAGCTTTGCCACTGACCCAATCAGAAATCATAATTTATCCCATGGCACTCTTCGTGACGTCCTCTCTCTCCCGGTCTTCTGCGGCCTTTCCGTGCCTTGTGAGCCTGGGGAGAGCGAAAGAAAGTACACGAGGGACGACCAGAGGGGGGTATGAGCATCAATTGCCGTCTTATTTTCTTGTCCCATCCTCCTAGTCTTCGCGCACTTGCTACTACAGGAAAAGGCGAGCGAAAACCATCAACACGGCAGCTGTAAAGGTTCTTTAAAAATCAGTCAATTTGCCAAGTTTAAACATGATTTGTTGAAAACTAACAAGATATAGCTCAGTATGAGTGGACGTTTGTAGTCATTGATTGTGATGTATCGCTGTAGGTAAAACAAACGGTAAATCCAATAACGTTTACTATAAAAGAGCAATCTGTTACACACACAGATTGTGTGGGCCCATGGGATTATACCATGCTCTCCAAATATGGTAAATGTACGCGTCTGCTCAAAATTAAAAACAAGCCGAAAATCGGTTGTTTTTATAACTAAATTCGGGAAGAATTTCGATATTTTGCGGACGTTTTTAATATTACCATTATTCCACTCGCAGTTTTTGGATATGAGATGATTATAGCCATCTCGGCGCTACGCTTTCGTTGACTATCCAACGCGCACAAGTGAAATCTGCATGTGATAAATATCGATATTTCTTACACATCCGAGCATGAATATGATTGGCCACATGATTCTGGAGATGGTGCCATTCTCATTGAGAGGCTCTGTTTTGTTTTTCCCGCTAACGGTGGGAAAAATTGTTGGAATGAGACAAATGAAAAGACCAGCAGCCACTACTACAGCGCACTGCAGCTTTGAAGAAGTAGGCTTCTTACGCAAAATCAGAAATCTGTGAAGAAATAGATAAACAGTACGATGAACAATTGTTAAGAGCACTTAAACTGTACGACTAGGTGGGGGAGGGCGGGAGAGTCTGTCCTATCTCTCAGAGGATGACGCTCAAACACTCAAACTGACAGCGTTTTAAAGAGATTTCCTCTCTGGAGAGCATTTTCTTTGACGTTTTGAGAAAATGCCAGCAACGAACTTTGTCGACTTTGGTTCGTTTATTCCGTAACGTTGTTTGCCTCGTCCTCCTTTGGCAGAAAAGAAGAAGCACGGTGAAACAATACTGGATTTAACTTTGTAATACCGTCACATTTTGTCGCGTATACTCCTTCTTGTACATGACAGTTTTTGAGAACAAGTCTATATATGTGTTCAGATAGCGTGACTATTTTAACCACAGGCATCCCAAACTCACTATATGGGCGCTTGTCGAATGAATGATGAATGAATGAATGAATGATGGTTTTCACATGACGTCACTAAAATTCAAACTACAAAACTATCGATCCTACTGAGATTTTACTTTCATGGTGTATTAGAGCAGCTGAAAACTAATTTTCAAGCAAATTTTGGCCTTAAAAGGGTTCTTGATTTTGTAATAGAGTACGCCTAAATGTCTAAGCTTTTGCGTGACGCAGCATTTACGTGACGGCCGAGAGAGCTGTCATTTAGGTTAAAAAAGTTACTTTTTTCGAGGAATTTGCTATCTAAACAGTTCAAGTATTAGAAAAAATGTTACTTTAATGTTTATGAGTTCCTCTAGGGGTAAATTCACACTTTTGTAGCAAAACTCGGTAACAGATGTTTCTGTTGGTTTCCGTCCGCCATATGTTGGAACTCATCCGGATGAGCTCCAGCATGGCCTCTGGATGCAAAGCTCTATAAATTTGGCTAAAACATTTCCTCGGATATCTCGTATACGAATTATTCTTTCGACCCAAATCTTGGCGAGGGTCTTTGTATATTTACCTCCTTTCATTTCTCAGATTCTAGACTTTATCTGTCGAATGGTTTTGATTTTTATTTTGATCTATTTTGAATGGCGTGACACTGACAACCCGCAATTAATACGTGTGGTATCATATTGCGTAATCCCCAAAGTCCTTGGCCGTGAATAAAATTAGATAGGAATAATTCAGGTAATAGATTCAAGAAGATATATACTCACTGGAATTTTTACTAAAAAACGCTTTACTTTTTAATTATTTACCTGGTGTGTTCTTAATTGCTTCCTGTGCGGTTATTTTTTTTCGATCCGTTGCGATTTAAGCGATTTGCCTTCAGGGTTTCCACTATTACAGAGAGGAGTCTGACATGTGTTCTCATAGTCAGTTTGGGATGCCTGTGAACGTAGCATGTGTTTTTTGAAACCAAGTTTTTTAATGTACTTAAAACGGACTCACCTGAATAAAACAGTCAGTGGAATAAGAAAGTTTCCAAGAATTGCCTGAAGATATGGCGGTGTCCGCGATCCTTTGCATGCAAAAAGAATAAGCACGCCATTCAGGGCATCGCAAAAACCAACCAAAAACAGCAAAAGATGAGGAAAACGCTCCTCTGTGTCGCCGATATCTTTAGGCGAAAAAACTCGAATGAACATTGTTCCCAGTCCAAATATTATAAAAAAAACTATAGACGAGAACGACAAAGCAAAATAAGGATTCATCGTCGCGCCGGTGATGGTACCATTTGCGGAGTCAACCCACAGAGGCAAGACCACTCTATTGCCAACTTCAGCACTTAGAAGAACAATAGCAAAAAACAGGTTAGCCCAAAGAAGCGGCACCGAACGGTTTAGAAATGCTATCTTGATTCTTTTGCCGTTTTCTCCTTTAAGATCGCTGGAGCACGATGACATGACCTCACAGGACAAAATTGCTGTCGATTTGAGTGTGTCGGCATTTTCGTAGTCCCGGTTGCAGTTGATTTCCATTTGAAGAGAAAGCTTCAAAGTCAGTTGATATCAGCAGTTCGGAAAACTAGTTTGTGGTCACTGTTTAGCTTGGTCACGGCAAGCGTAAATTGGCCAGAGTTTTGTTGTACTTGTATTGAAGTCAACAGCAATACATATTGAGCAAAACTGTCTAGTGCTAATCATATGATGCGCTGTTGGTATCAAAGGTTTCCTCTTGCCCGCAGTCAAAAAGAGTTTCGTATAGTCCCGCATTTGAAAAATTTATTTTTCGGAGGGAGAGAAGCGACGACCGGAAATACGTCTGCGGTTCGCAGGCTAGGGGTTGAAGGGAATCTCTTAAATCGCTATAGATCGGGAAAATAACCACAAAGCAAGCAAAGACAAGTAAAGTAATAAGGTAAGTTTTATTGCATTGAGAATACCGAGTACCGTATTTATTCGAATAAGCGCCCAACCTCGAATTAGCGCCCACCTCGAATAAGCGCCCATCCTAAAGGCAGAAAAAGCTAATAAGCGCCCAGCCTCGAATAAGCGCCCACCCCCTCCTCCCCCCCTTATTCTCTGCGTCTTCGTTCCGAAAGCCAGCTTGTGTAGTACAAGACGAAGACTCGAGGTACAAGATTGGGTAGAGAACAGTTCAATTGGGCAGACATGTCATGTTCAATAAAGGTTAGAATTGTATACGAGTCGTGAAGTCCCTTCGTAGTCTCCTCTATTAAATCTTCGGTCCAGAAAACCTCATCACGAACGCACAGACTACTGGCTCCTGACAGATTTTGTAAGAAAGATGAAAACCACTTTTGTTTCTTTCGCTGATACTGTTACGACTTGGCATTCTCTTTGGAAGCAGTCCTCCATTTGCAAGTTTTCAAAATGGTCGCCCAAGGAAGTCAAAGTTTCGAACCAGTCCACTTCAACTGCAAGGCCCCCAAAGCATTGTAGGCCCAAGAATAAACTTGCTTTACCGCGAAAAATAATTTTCGGCCCAATGAAAAAATCATTCTCAATACACATTAGAACTGAATGATTCGACGTATCACTCAAAAATAATTCATGGTATGAATGAAAAAAGTATTCGTATAATTAAAACAAAAATAACTCATGTTGCTAAAATTAATTGCTAACACGCTGAAAAAGGTATTGTTTATTGATGACAAAAATATGCAACAGGTCCATAATATTTACTGCAGTGGGATTAAAACTGACTTGTAGTGCAATTTTATTGTCATGACTTTGACCAGAACGGGCCTCCATACCTTCATGCTTTGGGACTGTACATACAGACGGGCGCCAGTCTGCAGAGTATGACAAGTGCAAGCACGAATCTTTTGTCTAAGTTTTTTTTAAGGCCTTTCCCGGCTGCTTGGCATCCCGGGCTTGGCATAGAGCCACGGCGTAATATAAAACCAGAAGTATTTCCAGATGAAGCCAGTTGTGACTGCTAATGTTCTATTATTCAGTCTCGCATCACGGCAAAACAGCGCTCAAAATCGCCATGAAAATACAAAGTTACTAGCTTTGAAAGGGGCTTTTAACAAAACAAACCAAAGCTTTCGGCCCGTTAAAAAGTAGGCCTAGCTTGGACGGCCATAGGAAACGGCAGGTCTTAAATTCTGGTATAAAGAGACCTGAAAGGCAAAAATACGATCGAGGACATCTTCACTGACGAGTACGGCCTAGCCTTAAATACTGACTGTAACAGCAACTGATCTTTTTCTTTCACCATGATAGCACCCGTAAAAGGTTTACCGGTGAAAATTGAAATATAAGACAAAAAAAATACCAGTTGACAGTTTTACATTTCATTCCAGCTTTCTTAGCTACGTTTAATTAAGCCCTGATCTGTTTTGCAGATCGCCGAAGGGTTTTTTCACGTTTAGTGGTCTAGTATTCCTAATTTCTCCTCTCTCTAGCATTTACTAACTGAACTCATCTTTTAATTTTCTTTGCAAGAGCTAAGCCGACAACGAGGTATTGCGCATGCACACGATGCTGTTTTCTGAAAGTTCATTTTAATTAAAGAGGCTTATTTAACGACTCACATCGGGACTTCAGTAGCCATCAATAATATAACGCTTCTTCTCTAAATTAAGGACGTCATTTTAATTTCTCTTAATAGAGTAATTTTAATCGGAAGAGTCTCTAATTTGTTTTTAAAATCAAAAGTTAATTTATTCAAATTAAATCGTTTTGTTGTCCCTAACACTCTTCTTCGAACGCCATTGCAGCTAACCTATGTGACATATCTGTCAATGACCCTAAAGTTCATTGCTTCACAACTCAGCTATTTTCCGTTATCAGGTGAATCTCATTTCTGCTCTTTTCTTTTCTTTTTCTACACATGTATTTTACACCTTCCCATCTTTATACTAAGGAGGGCGGGTGGATTGTGGATTGCCATGCGCGGGTCTTTTGTAATATTGCTTTGGGGCCAATTTTGTTCCTAGTGCAAACAATTGTTATCTTTGACAGATATTAGAACTACACCTAGTTTCAGTAATAAAAAATACTTCTCATAAAGAGGAGGAGGCTCAGTCATATATTGACGGCAATCAATTTTAGTTTAATCAAACAAAGGACGCTATATCATAGTATATAAAGCAGCTGACCTCTGGCAAATCGAAACTGTACCTTTCTGTATTGCAACATAGAGAAAACAATGAATATCACAGCACAGAACGAAATACAGCCTTTCATGAACGCAACCGGAGAGAATACCAGCACTGCCCTGAACTCTACTCTATCACTGACAGATGACATATGGATGTATCCGTACATCCTTCGTCTTTCCACAACATTGTTATTCTCGCTGATCATCTTTTTCGGTCTTCTTGGTAACAGTTTTGTGATGGCGACTTTGATACGTTGGCCGGATATGCGAACAGCGTTTAATCTTCTGATTGCTAATATCTGCTTGGCTGACTTGGCTGTTTGCTTCCTCGCAGCCCCATTGAGGATCATCGAAATTTTTCGTGGATGGATCTTCGGAGACGTCATGTGTTATATTTTGACGCCTCTGCAAGATGTCTTCGTGGTAGGCTCCGTCATCTCGCACACCGTTATCGCGTTTGAAAGGCATCGCGCCATCGCCTCTCCCTTCAAGCAGAAGATAACGCTGAAAAGAGCTAAGACTATCGTGCTGGTTATCTGGCTGGCTTCTTACCTGACAGCTGGGGTACCTATGATGATTTTTCTCAAGAACCAACAAGAAGGCGACGGTTATTACTACTGTTTTCCAGTTTTCACTAATGATAAATATAGAATTGCTTACAAAATCTACCTTGTCGTGTTGTTCATTGCTGTGCCTGTAGTTTTGCAATTCGTGTGCTCGCCAAAGATGGAATTTATGCGAAATCTTTCAAGACAAACACTTTGCAATGGAAAGCCTTAAAAAAGCGTCTTCATCAGAAGAGGCGTCTTGTCAGAATGTTAGTGGTGCTTATGGTAGGTTTTCAGTTGTGTTACCTTCCCCGCGCAATGGTAATGCTGATGAGCGAGTTCGTCCCTGATTTGATTACCAGGCCTTGGTTTATGTACGTGGAACTGATAACGCTCGCCATGTTTTACCTCAAACACGTTATTAGCCCGTTGATACTCTGCGTTATGAGCGATGATTTTCGGGCCGGGTGCTTCACCATTTGTTGCGCTAGCGAGGGTCACGAGTCCTCCAGGCAGGAAGTCCCAGCTGTTCCTCAAGCTATCGAATAAAACTTATCAAAAAAAGGAAGCGAGGTGTTCTTTTCATTCTTCCAATGGATGCTTTTGAACTAATAGTAGTTAAAACAAATGCATTATTTATTTAATCAGAAACACTATCCGGATCTGGGCAGTGACGCGTCATCAGTGGAATTTCTCCAGTTGTTCCTCACACGTCATTCCGCGGGGAAAATGTAAAGTCGGCTTTTTTCTCAGGCTATGCAGTTGTCGGTAAACAAACTTCAAGATGCTGCATAAGTTTTGCGCATGAATAAATCTGTCAAAACTTTGCCTAATCTGAGAAAAGATTGGTCCTGGAACGTGACAAAAAGCGTGACACACTAAAAGCAAAGCCTTAAAATATGTTTGTACAGCAACAACTCCATTTGCTGTCGGACTGATAAACTTTTCGCCAAGACAAACGCAAGCGGCAGCTTCCCCGTCCCCTCCCTTGCAGAGTCTCCCTTCCCCTACCCCCAGAGTCTGTGTATACAGGCGTGAGGTGTACGCTGACGTCATAATCAAATGAACTTCGATAGGTTTCAAATTTCTATACTGAATGGAAGCTCTGCCTTGTGCGCAGGCTCCGGTAATTCTTTTGTTCTTTTCGATGTATCCATGGAAATTTTCTCGCGCAATTTTTACTTTGGGAAAGTCGGTCACACACAAAAAGTTCCTTTCCCGTGGGCAACAGTCATTTGCCCATGGGTGAAACGGCTGGTGTACCCTGGGTATCAGAGGTTTTCTCTCGCGTGTAGCGGTAATCTTCGGTGTTTTGACACATCTTCAAACAGAGACCGGAAACCGCGCAAGAAAAGTCTTTGGCACCCATGGTACAAGGCGGTGAAAGAAGAAAAAAGAAAAAGAAATATTAAGGCCATAAAAAAACATGAATAACTAAATAAATAAATGAATAAACGAAATTCATTTGATAAGTATTTAACAGCAGTGACAAAATATTAAAAGTACTAGTATTGATCGCACAAAACAGTTTCCATTTATTATCTTTCAAAATATAGATCGTTTTCACTGTCAGGCAACAAAAAAAAAAAAGGGAAACGGTCCAGTGAAAGAGCCCAAGAAAATGAAATGTTATAAAAGACTAAAAATTTCTCAGGTCAGGTCTTTGTGGCCCACAATTTTTGAGTTATTTGCCGAAACTTTTCACGCACCTTTGTAAAGCTTTGTATGGAGACGCCATATTAGTGCACCGCTGGTGCACTAATATGGCCGCCGGAAATCAACAAAAACTTCTGGAGTTAACTTTTTCTATTAAAGCTCTTTCTTTTCACTCGAGTAGTAGCATACGTGGACATAAACGTATCCTCTAATACTTGAAATGGTTATACTGCTGAAAATCAAGAGGAGAGACTTTTTTTAAACGAGACAGCCATTCCTATTTTGGTGTCACGCACTGTGAAAACTCGGAAGTTCAAATTGCTGTATTTTCGAAATGAAACATGCCACGAGACTGGAAACTTGTACAAAGATTGGTTTTTGTTTATCTTCAACCTAGTGTAAATAAGAATACGTAAAACCTCGCTATTTTGAATTTACAATTTGATGACGTCACTGTGAAAACCATCTATAATTTACTCTTGAACATAGATAAGGATGACAGCTTCATATCATTATCAAGAATGGAATTCCAGTCAGAGAGGCCCTAATGCTTAAACTCGAAATTGGTTACAAAAGGGCCTACCTGCGCTTATGGTTTACTGTTTTTCGAGCAAAATAATGACTGTAGGCATTTTTCTGTATATGGATTGCGTAGAGAACAGATCAATAAACAATAAAAACATATTCTATAATAAAAGTTCATTTCAAGGGTTTCTGTAAGCTTGATCAAATTTTCCTTGAAAATTGGGCATGTTTGTAGTTTTTCAGTAGAATTATCCGATACATCATTCCTTTAAAGTTCAGGGTCAGCATATAAAAAAGTTACCGTATTCATTCGAATAAGCGCCCAACCTCGAATTACTGCCCACCTCGAATAAGCGCCCATCCTAAAGGCAGAAAAAGTTAATAAGCGCTCAGCCTTGAATAAGCGCCCACCCCTCCTCCTCCCAATCAAACTAAAGTAAGCGCTCACCCCCACCCCACCCACTTGAGTGAATAAGTTCTAATAAGAGACTTCCCCGAGGACGGAGTTTTCTTTCGAGTATTTTACAGAAACCTTGCTTTGTTACTTCTTCGCGTTTTGTTATTAGCATTTATTGTTTTGTTGCAAAATAAGCATACTTCACTTGCTGAAAATGGTGAAAATTTAATAAGCGCCCAGCCTCGAATAAGCGCCCACTCTCAAGGTCCGCTAGTAGTACTATCAACATGAATCTTGGCCTCTTAGAGTTTTTGCTGCAATAACTTTGTAAGGTGTAAAACTGCCACCTCCACTCAGGAAAAAAGCCCATTTCCAGATTTTTTGCTAAGTTTATTTCCTTAAAGGGGATGGAGGTGGATGGGGTGTACACAGGTTAGTTTTGGCACAAAATATTAAAAAATAGCTAGAAATCAAGATAGCGACCTTTTGTACTTGGCGATCAACCTCAACAATCCCATGGAAGCTAGACTTGTGGACTTTAACAGTGTATCAAATGAACCACTTTAACGATTGTTTCATACCTTAAAACTTTATATGGTTATTTTAATGAGCTTAATTATAAAAATAGAGTGTCTGACAGAAGTCACTGACACCTTTTAAGTCTTTTGCCGAGAATATTTCATCTTGCAGGGACTATCGTCTGCAAGATTATGATAAATTCCTCTTGTGTGTTGTAGGCAAGACCTCTGTAAACTTGTATCCAAAACAAAGTCATTGCATTCTAATGGAACTTTCAGGAACTAATGCATGTACCTTTTACTACATGTAACCTAGCACACTACCTGAGGCACAAGCACTAAATATTTCCTTATGGTTAAAAACAGTAAGTAACTGGTAAAATCTAACATGAAAAAAATGAAAATGTTAATGCTCGATTAAGACATGGTGAAAACCTCAAAAAATATTAACAAAATATGGAGCAAACAGAGTGCTCAAAATTAGCCCTTTCAGCCCAAATATCCACAAAAAAATTCTCCAGACTGATGTCCATACATTTCCATAAAGAATTGAGTGGATAAAAAACCTTGTAACAGAATAATTTAAGGAATATTGCATTCTTTTTTACATCTTTCAAGGACTAAAGATGTAATTAGTCATCTGTAGTAACACCAAAGAAAATTTCTTATTGGAGTCCAAGAAAATAAATTTCAAATTTCACAAGAATTATGAAAACACAGGTAAAATTCTGAACATTTCATGTGTAAGATGTCATTTTGTGAAATATGACATTTATTTTCTGAGGCTCCGATAAGAATTTTCTTTGTTGTTATTACAGATGACTAATTACATCTTTAGCCCTTGAAAAATGAAAAAAGACGGTGATATGCTTTAAATTATTCTGGTACAAGGGTTTTGTCCACTGAAAATTAAAATTACTCAATTTCCTGATGGATTCTGTCTTAACTTTTTCTCTTGATGATGTACTGGTATCTCAAAATTAAAATCTTTAAACTCTTGAAGAAATTCATTAGGCCAGAAATTTCAAATATCTATTAAAATCAAGTCGCAATAGTGACCAACAGCAATTTTCTCCTAACAATGTCCATACATTGTCAAGAGATAAGGTTGTGAGAATATAAAAAATGATCACGAAAGAGACAATGCCTTGATGTTTTATTAAATTCTCTTAACTAATTCTTAAAGGAAACGTAGGGTGATCAGTTTAGAGAATTTGTATGTGGATACTGGGTCTTAAAGGGTTAAAGCACAGACCGAAAGAAAAATCCTAATGATGCTGACACTACTACCATGAACAGGGAAGAGGGAGCATAGCAGTTATCTCCTACATGGGACCCAAGTGATTTCCACCCCCAAGCAGGGGGGACAGAGGGGTGGCCTTGACAGAGTGGTTTTGCGCATTTTGTTGCAATAAACACCTTCAGCAGCCTACTTAGGGCTACTGACACCTGTGATGTTTTTAGTTTTGATAAAGATGGCTGCCAGTCATCGAAACAGTCAGCATCATTAGGATTTTTCTTTCAGGCTATGCTTCAAGAACATTTAAATTGCTGCTGGTTACTTAAGGGAAGGTTTTAAGCTGTTTACCAAAAGGGATAATTTTATCATTGCTGGAATCAAAAGCTTCATCATGAAAGACATGAAAGCCATGCACAGCACGCCATCCAAAGAAACGTAAAACTGTATCATTATCACCTCTTCAAGGATCGTCTTCCAATTCCGTATCGCTTTCACTAGAGTCTTCAAGAAAATATTCTAAATTTAATGCTATGGGCAACCTTTGCAGAAACATTGCAGGTAGCTTAATGATACTGAGAGTAAAAGATGTCAACTTGTTGTTTGGACCAAAATGGTTCACCTTTTGCCATGCATCAGATTGCACATTATACTTCAATGCTTCATGGGAGAATTCATGACTTTCGTCAGATGACATAGGAATCACAATCTCGTTTTTTGCTACAATAGCATACACTCCAGTATCAAGACAAGGTAGACTTGCGATGGAATGCCACTCATCAGTGTTTGGAGAGTACACTTCACAGTTAGGGGTTGAAACAGGAAGAAGCCCCCCAATCACGTAGATCTTGCCATTCAAGTGTACAGAGCTAAATAGTTCCCTTGCCTGTTTCATACTGGCAACGTATGACCAAGAATCTGCTTCTGGATCATACCTGCCGAGGCAACCAACAGGTTCATGAGAATTTGGTAAGAATTACTGATTGAGTTACTGAACTTAACTCATTATTACCTAAAAATAATACTAATAAATAATAATAATTTATAATAGTAATACTTATGACTACAGCCGAACCTGTATCAAGAGGACCTCTATTAAGCGGTTACCCTTTTCCAAGTTCCCAATGAATATTTTTTTTGTCTTCACCTCCATTATAAATGGTCACTTTGAGAAGATGTATCACACTAGTACAACAGATTGTACTGTGCGTGGCATCAAGTGGTCTTCAACTTTTTTTCTTGGTCCAAGGAGAGGTAGAAACAGGTGGAGGTCAATTTGTCATGGGACAAATATTTCACTCTTTGACTACCTTCAGTTTTCTTGAATAACTCTCACCTTTGTCAAACCTGTATTACAAGGTCAACCTGTATTGAGCAGTCAGTATGCCATTCCCAAATACACAAGTCCAATAACTCTTCATTAAAGTGACTACCATGAATAACACTTTAATTTATTAAAAACATCTATACATGCAAAATGTAATAAATAAACAACAACAACAACAACAAAAATAATAAAAAGGGATACTGTTTTCATAGATACATCTTGGGGCCATAATCCTGACTCTTGCATATTGTTAAGAGGAAAATTTGGCCTCTTTCTCTCAAAATCACCTCATCTCTCTTTAAAGCTGTCTTAAGCTTCTTGCAATTAACTTGAAGAATTTTCCCCTTTGGTTGTATTGCTTACAATCTTTGTTGCTTGAAGAGGCCTTTTTTAGTCACCACATGTTTCATCTAGAAATGTGGCACATTTGAGCAACCCTCAATATGGCCGGGGAAAGCCATGAATTTTACACAGAAATACTTATGTGCTCTTGTCATGCTATCAGTACTATACTTGAAAGCCATGCTGTAAACTTAGTTCTTTTTATTTTTATTTTTCCAATACTGCGCTGCAAAAAATAACTCAGTTCACAGCTTTAGAAAAGTTCGCAAAATCACCATAGACACCCCAACACCCTACAATGGTGTCTGCGAATGAATAACAACTTAACCTCGGTATCTGTCAAGGCTCTTTAACATTCCTTCTCCAACACAATCTCAGATAAAAATAGTTGGGACACTTCCACCGAATGCTGTTTTTTTACTTCTGGCCTGTCTCCTTGTCCCAATGTTGTTTATAGCAGTCAGGGCTGTCAATAAGCACTGATGGCCGATGAAACACGTCGGCTACTTTGCTTAGAGAAGTTAGCTACATGTACTTCTTTCTACAAAGAACAAGCAACTAGTTTGAATAATGTTGCAGACAAAAAATATATCATAAAATCTGAATGAAAACGTAATTATGACATGTTTTCGCAAAGGCCCACTAGTTTTCTGTTTTGCTTTAGTCATGTGAACGCTACGTTTCAGTCATTTTTTTCACAAGTTTCTTTTATAGGTTAACACAAAAGTTGTTTACGTGCAAAAGTACGTTCATTTGTTCATTGCTTGTATGAACTGACTGTGGGACATATGAATTAAAAGCTACATTTTTATCAATGAAAAACACGCTCTTTTGTCCTCACATTTAGTCCCTACAACGTTGAAAATCGCATTTTAGGGCTTTGAAATTTCAAACTTTTCCCCTAGAAAAAGGTGACTAACAGTCCCTTGTTGATACACAGTTGGTTACTCTATTCAAACCTGCTGGCTACTTCAATTTTTATTGACACCACTGCACAGTTAACTCACCAAATCTTGCACACCAACATTGGGAGGGTAAGAAGACAGTAAAGTGTCCCAACAATATTTTGACTGACACTGTAGTTACAGTGCACAAGGTAGACAATAACTTACATGTATCTATATATTCTGCATAACTTCAGTGTAAGAAATAAATTAAAAACTTCTTAGTAACTCAAACAAACCTTTCAACACTTGAAAGAATTGATCCTGAATTCCATGACCTATGAACTGTCCCACCACCGATGATGTAAATGTGATCATTCACTACCACACAGCCTGACCTAGATCTGGAAGTGTTTAAGCTCGCACAGAACTCCCACTCGTCAATTTCAGGATTGTAACACTCCACCGTGTTACAGATATTTTCATCTTCACGCAATCCACCAATGTAATACAACAGCCCATTAAGTTCTACCAGGGAAGCGCATGTTCTGCTAACTGTACAAGGTCTTTTAGTCTTCCATTGTGGGTACATACTAAAACTAAGAGAAGACTTCTGATTCTGCACTTCATCAAGACACAAAGCACTTAATCTTGTGGGGCCACTTACACAATGAAACTTAAACCCATCAATTATGTACAGGGAGCGTCCAACAACTGCCACTTTTGGACCTAAATGCACATCAGGAAACCCTGGTAGAACAAATGTTTCTTTCTTGTCCAAATCAAAACAGAATGCTTTGCGGGAACTAAACAGTATAGAACTAATTCCAATCATGACTTCATGCAATTCAGTAGATGGTCTTGTCCTCTCAGCTTCTGGTTTGTCATCGGTGCCTGTTCTCCTTCCATGTTCCTCATTTGTCCCTCTTGTTTCGGTCTTGCTCTTGGAAGGTTCTAAAAGACTGGAGAAGGCAGCGAGAAGTGGCTCTTTGGTCATTTCAGATTTTAGGAATCCTTTAGGCAAAGACTTCCCTCTCAGATGGCTTAGTAATTCAGGTAAATCTGAGGCACGATTCACTTTATCATACTTAACCCACTTCAGTACAGCTTGGTAGACCTCTTCCTCCCTTTCCACTTGAATTTCATCACTGGATATGAAGCTTATCAGACTCTTCTTTGAAATGGAAACAAATTCGTCATTGTTCACCACAGAGAAAAAGTTCGATTTAATGGCGTTGCTTGCCGTCTTCGCAAGATTACTCGCGCCAAACTTCTCAGCTACTTGTAGGATACTGAAGCAATTTTCACCGCTTAACTGTCTGTGGAGAAGTTTAATGCACGCCTTTTTCACTGGGGTGACAAGAAGAAAGCTTGCTGTGTTGAGCAACTCCAACACGTTGTCGTCGTTTATAACAATCTCTCGCGTGTAAAAATAATCAAGAATGAGCGACACTGAGTCGAAGCTAACCGAATGCAACTTAAGGAGTGTTTGGTTCGAATCTTTCATACCACTGCTAAACATGTTATAAAAAAATTGACTGCTTGCCGCCAAAATACATCGATGAGTGGCCAATTGTCTTCCTTCTACTTCCAGGATCATGTCGCAAAATCCCCCTTCTCCTTCGAACCTGAGCTGGTTCAATAGAGAAAGAGCGTCGCTTGCATTTCCCTTGAAGCTAATTCCACCTGAACCATAAGTTATAGTATCTGCAAGTATCTCTCTGTCTTGCTTTTTGAAAAGGTCTTCCATGCTATTCGGCCTCTTGCTTGACGCCATCTCAGAGATTCCTCCGACCGAAACCAAGTGGTGTGAATCTCGTACCCAGATCTCTTGTCGACGAATAGCACCAGATTGCTCCAGATAGTCTGCTACACAGCTGTTTTTAGAGTCGTCACGCAATGCTCCTTCCCACTAGCGAGGAGCATTGCGTGACGACACTAAAAACGGCTGTGTAGCAGACTATAGCCCCGTTTACGTTAGACTTAGCCTGTGCGTTTCTGACTGGAAAGCAGGAAGAGAGAAGAGAAAAAGGGAGAGAGCGAAAGGGGAGATCCTTACCGCTTTGCTGGTCGGTGACATCAGAGAGTTTTGAGGGTCCCAATGGGGTGGTGGCTTTTACGGTTATCGGCTAAAACTTTGCCTCTTTTACGGCTATCGGTTAATTTTTTTCAGTTACGGCTAACGAAAAAGTTAAAAATTAACTTCTTTTGTTTCAAAAAGTTAAATATTAATTAACCCGTATTTTTTTGTATCTTTAAATCAAAATAAAGGTCTTCGGATCATCTCGGGATAAAATAAGCTATTCTTTTGAAAAATTTTAACATTTTATATATCATACTTTTTGTAAAGTATTCCACTTCTAATACATTATTTTACACATAGAAATGTCAATAGTCAATTTAAAAATAATCTTCGTGAAAAAGCAAAAGCAGACACGCAAACGCCCAACTCAAGGCCGGGGCGCGACATTCATTATAACAGAAATGGCCGTTTTCACACTAGAGAAGGATTATTCGTGTGAGACGGGTTATCCGTTTGTTGATTCGCGTCAGATAGGTAATACGTCTTAATCTGAAAATGGAATAGTTTTAATTTTGAATGAACAATCCGCCTGACTGTTGAAGACGGGATTATCCGCTCCAGATAGCCTGTGTACAGCCGCCCCCTCCCCCGCAGAAAAATCGGAGAAGGGGTGTCTGTGGGGAGGGCGCGACTGTACACAGGCTAGTCTCAGACGGATGATCAATTTCTAGCTCTAGTGTGTGCCTAGGTCTTGGTTAACACCTAAAAGGCGCTTTGCCTAATGTGTGTACGGAGTCACACTAGCGGGAAGAAGTAAAAAACGCAACCATAAGTAAGTTTAGCACCTTCCTTAAAAGTAGCAAATCTAGGTAACAGTTTCTTTTACGGTTAACTCTTTTTTACCCTATTTACGGCTAACGGTTAAAATTTTTCAATTTTTACGGCTATCGACTAAATTTTTGGCCGTTTTACGCCTATCGGTTAACCCCATTGAGACCCTCGGTAATGTGTGTTATCAGAAACTCATATGAGTTTCTGGTGTTATCCAATCACTGCCACATCCTGCCACATCCAGATTTTGGATGTGTCACTGGACGGTAATTATTTTGTGTCAGGCCTTCCTTTCTCTCCTCCCCCTCCCCCCTCCCCCATCTAAAATTTGCTCTCCCCTGTAATCTACGTAGCCGTAGCCTGGGACTAGGCTCCGCATTGGGAGAAAAAGGAAAAAAAAAATTGGCGTGGGCAAAAAACGGAGGGGAAAGGCTTACCCTTTCCCCCTCCCCAGGTCACCGTTATATTTTTGTTACTTTACCCCGTTTTTTGCCTTTTTTGCCAACTGCGGAGTCTGGTTCCAGGCTAGTGTAGCCGCAGGTTTTGTCGCGCATAACTGTTTACAATGATCACAAAAGCACTAGTGAAAATTAGGCCATGAGAGGAATAAGCGAAAATCCTTCGTCGCTCTGCTGCAAAAAGCACTCTCGCACTCTAATCCCGCCAGTTACCCACTCTAAGGGGAGAGTGGGCAGCACTAGCTATAGCGCGTTCTTCAAACTTTCCCCATGAAGAGATAAGCGTAGGAAGGAGCCATTTTCGTGCCCATCGCCGTCCCATTAATTTTTATACACGCAAATAAAAATCGTCACAAAAAAAATTGCTTGTTGTGGATGCGACTCCATATGGGTGATGTCACTTTGAATTTACCGTCATGGATGGGTACACAGTAGGGAGCTTAAGCAACGGCGTTTTTGAGCGACGCACGTCAACCGAAAGTGAGGTCTTTTTCATTTTAAAGCACCTTGACGCTCCCAAATTTGTATTTCTAAGTGTCTTAACTATTATAGAGACAAGTTGTCCTAAAAAATGGGCAAAACCACTGTCCAAAAATGAAAAAAAACCACTTCCGGTTGACGTGCGTCGCTCAAAAACGTCTTTGCTTAAGTTCACTTTTGACGAATCTTTAGTTCAGTGACTTTGTGCACAGTAAGCTTGCCGGTGTTATCCAAAAATCCAAAACAAACGAACAAGCAAAACACTATTTGGGGAGCTGCAATTCACTTTTTATTCAGATTCTACAAAAGTTTTAGACATTCTGTACACTAAACATATGCACTCGATAGAAAAACACTCCTAAAATAAAAGAAAAGTTAAACACTGCAAAAAAGAAAACAAGCTGAGGAACAATATCTGTCGTTTCAGAAGTAATTCATCAATTCAAGAGATCAATAAAAACTTTAGGATCGTAACAACCCTTTTTAAGCAGATAGTATATCATTTTTTTCAACTGCCTCTCAATCGATCTGACATGCTGATGTACAAAATTTTAAAAAATATCTATATCACTGTTCGTTTGGTTTGCTTATAAAAGATTTTTAATGAAAAAGAGTAAGATCGGATAAGAGAATTTACATTTTCGATACGTTTCTTTCTCATTAAAAACTACAGCGGAAAAATATTTCTGTTTTTAACTTGAACTTAAGTTAAGTAACATATTTGTTGGGAAGCCGCGGCCCCATATCAGGATGCCGATTCAACAGGCCAGTTTCAAGTTACGCCAACCATTTGCTCTAAAAACGAGTTACAGTGCGAAGTCTTAGATACGCAAATGAATTCTTATTCTCATGCAAATAAATCTCACATTCACCAGGAACTTTTAAAGTAAGACTTTTGAAAACGAGGGTGTTTGTAACTCAAAATGGCCTATTCTACTTTCGGCCTACTTTCGGCCACGAAACGGGAAGAGGAAACGACGGAGGGAAGGGAGGTAAATTGCGCACACGGGAACGCAAGCTAAGAGCAGTCGGGAATTTCCTCTTTCCTCCATTCTTTAGAATGCCTACAACGCGGGCTAAACTATTCGTTAACAGGCCTCTGTTTGCCGTTCTGGAAACATTAGGCTTGTTTTGTTTTTTTTTTTGGTTAAAAATGTCTTATTTTACAGTACATTAGAGATTTATTCGAATACTAGAATACCATTAATGTTATACCATAGTGAGAGAGAACTGCCATATTTGGGAGTATTTGTTGTTATCACAGCTGTCTGTGGTCACGTGCTCTCCACTCTTAACGTCTTTACTATCCAGACACAGTCCTGATTGTTTGTGACGTAACAAGCGCTGAGGTGTGTGTTCCCAAACCTGAAAAAGAAAAGAAATGTTACAAAAGTTGCCTGAAGATCTTTTCCGTGGACACAGACGCTTCCAAATGTGTGTGTTGTTGTGAAGTATTTTGAAAGTTACTTAGTCGTGTTTGATTAGTCTCGATGAAGTTCCTGTTTAGGTTTGTTAACCAACGATTTAGTTTTTTATTGGTTTGTAGCTTCTTTCCTATCGCAACCATGTAGTTTCAGTAATACCAAAACATTACCCATACCGAGTTTACCTTGCTTTTATTCCCGAGGTCAGCTAACCCAAATATGTCCAGTTTTGGTTATCACCGCGACTGAAGGAAACTGAAAAAACCCTTGCCATTGTACAGAAGTACCAACCTGTTTGTTATCTCCGTCTCGGCAGCTTTCAATAATGACTGGTTTCCCTGGAGTGGCGTCCTTTAACGTTAAACACATATCATGATGCCGGACAAAGTTGTTTTTCGTGAGAGCCCACTCCTGTGAAAAATGCAAGACAAAACTTTTCCTTATCTCAGTTGCTTACGGAGGGTGACACTTTTCATAAATTTTAAAGGAAATAGACCACTGGAGATTTCCAATAACCCTCACTCGTTAAATCTTTCATGTAAAATGGGTTTTATTTGAATGAGAACAAATCTTTTTTCATGACAAAAACTTCGCTCTTTGCCTCGTATTGAAAAAGAGGCTGGCAGCGAGTGAATCTGAACTCTTACAGGTTGTGACAAAATAAATGCAAACAATGCGACAAATTTCGTTGTTAAGTGAGTGTCAGATGAAGTTATTCTGAACAATATACCTGATTCCCTGCTTGGCCGTGACAATCAAATATGCCAACAGAACCGCCAGCCTGGCCACCAAGAGTATCCAAACATTTTTTCCCTTGTTTGAGTTCACCGAACGCTACATCCTGCGAGTCAGGAATTCTGCAAGGAAAGAAAAATACGAGTAATAAAAGAGAGTTCATCTCAAATAAACCACCTTGGAATTTTCGGCGGCAAACTAGGACTAACTTGCAGTCGAGGCTCATGGGCGAACACCCCGAACGTCCTCCCAGGAGCCTTTGCGCGGCATGCATGAGCCTCGACCGCGTGGTAGTTCCAGACGTTTGCGGAGAATACGAATTCGTTGAACTGAGATGCGATGCCAGACTCGATAATGTCAAAGTGGCAGTGTCACTTTCCTTTTTTTGTGGCATATGTTAATGACTTTTTTCGTCATTTTAAAACATGAAGAAGAAGAAATCAGGTAAATTAACGAATAAAGTTTCATTAAAGACACAGGAAAAATTTGATAAGGTAGTCCACCTTTTGTAGGGCACCTGTTCCCACCAAAGCCGTGGATGGGTCATGAATGTTATGTTGATAGATTATAAACAAATTACATTAAAAAACAAACAAACAAACAAAACAAAAGAGGCAAAAAAAGTTTATGATATGGGCGGCTTCCCAGCGATCAAAAAGTACAGTCCACTATACTTTTAAGCATCAATCAGACATAGACACTTTTCCCTATAAACACCAGAAACAAGGTACGAAATGTACGTACTGTAGTTCTGGATAAACGTTCTCCAAATACCACTTGAAGGACTTGCACTTTAGGCGTTCGCGTAGTTCTTTTCTTGACTTGACACTGAAAAGAAAGGGCATGGCGTCGTTATTGACTACTTTCCTAAAAATACATTTATAACGTTTTTAGCACTGTTCTGAAAAGGAACATACAACAAGCAGTAATTGTTTTGTACAGCTTTACGTGCTCTTCAGTCAATTTTATCTTTAGTTTTATGGTTCAGTTCAGACTGAGTTGAAAACTAAAAACGGTTGGAGAAGCAATTGTTTTAGCAAACTAACCCAATCTAGAAACCAGTAAAAACTGAACTTAATACAACACGATGGCGTTACGCAAGGAAAAACGCGTGCGTGCGCATCGCCAGTGATTGCAATGTTTCTTCTAATAGGTAAACTAAGTGACGTGAGATGTTTTTAGCCAATTACATCGTGTAGCAATGCAATGCACAAGATGCGATTGGCTGAAAAACACTCGTGCCACTTCAGCCAATCACGAGTGAAACAAAAACCAGTTTTCCCGCCCTTTTCGACGGCTACATGCTTTTGTTTGGTCGTCTGTTTTGACTAGGCGGCAAAATAATTTGCTTCGGTTTTGGACTAAAAATCATTCTAATGATAGATGATTACCTGCCGTAGTTGGTACTCCTAGCCATCGGACGAGCAGCGTAATAAAATCTTTTGTACTCATCCATCCACACCTCAGCCGTACGACGGGTGTTTCTAGATAAATCAGTAATAAATTCCTTCATAAAGAACCACAATACAGCAATTTTACGTGCTAACAAATAACAAACATTACAAATGCTGAGGTTAAAATTTTGTTCTGGCTTGAAAAATTGTAGACATTTTACATAAAATTTTACTGTCTAAGGTTCCTCAGTGTCCGCATAAACCAGGCAGGTTTGACTGCAATTAATAGAATATTACGACAGTATTATTCATAACTTACTTCATGTAGGTATTGGCGTTTCCATCTGGAAACGAATAAGGATGTCGCTTTCTAAACACATGACCAACTCTTGAACAAGGAATAATTTCCATGCTGCCTCCACATTGCCATGTTCTGAAGGAGATTTCTGCAAACAGTCAACACATATTATGAGTAAATGGGTAAAAAAGGCCCCGTGAACAACGTTTATATTATTCGTTTTATCAACAAGCTCACCAAAGTTCTCTCCTCCCCATATATCCATCATGACGTCGTACTTCCCGAGCGTCTCGAACCAAGCCTTTTCCACCATGAACAGCCCTCCAGCTATCATCGGAGTCCTGGGGACGAATGTAACATGTAAAAAAGATACGTTGGGAAAAGGTAGACTATCAGTAGTCCCCCATTTTTCCTCAGGGATTGTAGATTGAGCGAAACGCGAGCGCGCGTGAAAATCACCGCACGTGAGAAAACGCGACACGCGGCGGGGAGAGAGAAAAATGAGGGACTACAGCTCATTTTTCTCTCTCGCCGCCGCGAGAGAGAAAAGCAGACTAGAACAATCCGAAGAGTAGAGAGAAAAGCAGACTAGAACAATCCGCATCTAGTCCGCGCTTGGCAGATATCAAATGCGCGCGCCGGAATATTTTACAAGCTGAAAAATTTACCTCCAGGTTTCATCTGTCAAACAATAACGACCGAAAAGTTAATGGACTGTTCACTTTCCAAGTATTCTACTAAAATATGACAGATGTACCTTCTTTGAACATTCTAATTATTTTGAAGGACGATTCTTTAAATGTGCATGGCATTGCTAGTGTTTTATGAAAACATGACACTTACGTTGATCATTCACCGTAAGTATCTTATACAGTCAAACCTCTTTAATACGGACACTAAAGGGACAGAACCAAGTGTCCGCTTTACAGGGGTGTCCATATTATAGAGGTAGGGAATGTATGATTTCTGTATTTCTGGGACCAAAACAACTGTCCGTAATAGAGAAGTGTCCGTATTATAGAGGTGTCCATAAGGAGAGGTTAGACTGTAGTTGACCTCTCACGCGAATACGTTCCTAACGGTACCGGTTCAAACGGCTGAAAAAACGAGTGGATAAGCCGTTCGAACGGATATCGTGAACGGCTGAATGGCTGAAAAAAAAAATTGAATCGTAGATATCGAATGGAACGGCTGGACGGCTACAACAACAACAGTTTATTTCTACTACTATAGACAACTAAAAGAATTTACAAGAATATAACTATAAATAAATAAATAAACAGTACATACAGTAGTGGGACACCCAAAATAACTAAACAGCTAAACTAGTTGGGCGACCGTAAAAAATGAACGATTCGCTGCCTTACCTGATTGGCGCTATGGGTGTGTTTCTTCTTGCCTTCTTTTCCTTTGGCGTTAAGTTATCCCACTTAAAATGAAGACTCCAATCAAATCCTAAAGCACAAGAACATGAAAATAACTCTGCATGTATTTAGAACAGTAAAGAATACGCATACTGATAAATGCGGGGGTAGGTTTTAAAGGGTGTAGCCTAGTGCGCACCAACCGCATAGCCCATACACACAAGCCGAGCTAGTAGAGAGCTTAAGGTCGCGGAGGACACCTTAGCTACACAGTGGGCTCATTGTTATGCGTTTATTTAAAGTGAATGCATGAAGTGCAACGACTGTCGACACATACAGAAGTACGGCAGTACAACATTCCTCACCTCCTTTAATGTCCGCTGACGCTCCAAGGTAATTAAAGTCATCCATGTTGATTACATCAATAATTGGACTTACTACAACTGTTCTGTCCTGAAATAATATGTTTGAGAAGAGAAGGTGAAACACAGCTCAGCCAGACCACATTTTGTTACAAAGAGATTTACGTGTATGTGTACGTGTAACCACTTCGGGTAAGTGGTTTACCGTAATCACTATAGCCAGTGGTTGACCCTAACTACTCTTCTGTATTTAACATGAATTACTATTACATGTAGCAAAGCTTCTTGAACTCTAATCACTATTTTCAGTGAAACACATACTTAGACTCCTCTGGGTCTACATATGTACTATGTATTAAGTCAAAGCTTGGACATAGCATCCCTCCCTACTTTGTACATGTGCATCTACATGTAGAGTATAAACTAGATGAAACCTTACTTTCAACACTAGAATGCATTATGCATATCAAAGTTTCTAGACACATAGCCTGCATAGCAAGCATTTCCGCGCAAGTTCGTCGAAGTTGGGATGAGAGCAACAAGCAATAACTTGATTGGAAGCGCTTGCTAGGCTGGCTACTAGACACAAAAAACAGCCATTTAGCATTCACCAAATTAACAAGCATACCTCCTTACCTGAACAACCCTATGAAGTAATGGCTCTAGCCAGCCAACATTACATTCACAATGACTGTCAAGAAATGTTAATATTGTACTTGATGCCATATCTGCTCCTTTCACTCGAGATCTAATTAAACCTAATAAAATGATCAGAAATAAGAAAATGTCAAAAAATCTTAGGTGATTATTAAATAAATAAAAAAATATATGAAATACTTTAGATAAAATAAACAATGTTGATGATTTGTATTACTGAAAATAAAACATAATAAATTAATTTCTATGATAATAATCAGGGTGCAAAGAAAGTCATTTTTACAGCTTGCCATTCGAGCAAGCTGAAGCTAACATTTACTAGCCCAAATATCATTTCAACTAGCCCCAAAACTGTTTTGATGAGCAGATTGATTTGACAGTACTTCTGTAATTTGAATTCCTCAAAAAATTCACTTGCCCGTCGGGCAAGTTAATAACAGAACTCACTAGCCTGATAGCAAAATCCACTAGCCCCAGGCTATCGGACACTACTTTCTTTGCACGCTGATAATAATAGAGAACAAAAGGCTAAGTCAGGCTACATACTGCAAGCCATTTTTGTACCTTCTCTTCTATCATTTCTAATAAGTTTAACTTTTGGGACACCAAGCAAGAGCTCTCCATCACCAGCTAAAAAACAAAAAGGATTTAACAATTAATTTTGCAATAAAGCACAAAACATAGAAAACAAGGCACCACAACCTCAATTCAAAGAAGACATTATTTTTTCTAATCATGAAAATCAAAAGATGGCAAAATGTTTGGTAATCAATGTTCAGTGGTCGAGCCTTTAAAAGGAATTAAAACTCAATAGCATTTGTACACTGAAACTTTCAGTGGCGGATCCAAACCTTCAGATAAGGGGGAAGGGGGCACGGTCATCCAGACCCTGAGATAAGGGGGGAGGGTCTCAAAAACATGTTTTTTGGCCCTTTGGGCCTCCGTTTGGTCTAAAAAATAAGGGGGGGGGGGGGGGGGGCAGGCCCCCAAAGCCCCTTTTGTGGATCCGTCACTGAGTATTCATCAAGCTGAGCAGCCTGGCTGTCCTCTTCATGATGTCATTCTGTCCATTTGGTAGGAAAGTCAAGTGACCACCACGTGATATTCACATTCAACCAGCCACTAGTGTGGCTGCAGCTAGAATAATTACAGGTATTACTGGTATACTATGATTATTAATTTATACTTCTTAAAATTATAAAAAAAACCCTGAAGTGCTTTACATGAAATGAAAAATTTTCAATTCACTTACTGTCTTAAAGAATTTGATAGTTTGAATACATGTACTTCTTGCATAAAACAAAAAACGTTTTATGCAAATCACCTTTAACTTCTTCTTCTTTTAATAAGAAGCATTAAAAACACAATCCAGGCCACTACACGCAAAGTTGAAGACAATTTAAGGACTTTGGAAGGGAAAACGGAATTCTAGGACTTTTCAAGGACTCCCCTAACATTCAAGGACTTTTCAAGACTGTATGAACCCTGCAAATTTAATTATGCTTACCATTGTCACTGAAATCATCTACCAAAATTATTTCTTTGATTAACTTCGGAGGACTCTTATTTAAAATGCTGGTGGAAGTAAAAAAAAAACACACACACAAGGAGATTAATGTATTACATTTTATTTATTAAATTCAAACTGTCTGCTTCAAATAATTCACAAGTACACAAATACACAAAAACAACCTGTGAGAATGAAACAGAAAAATGCAGAATTTACCTTTTTACAGTTCTAAGAAGTGTTGATCTCCCTTCATTATGAAATGTTATTATCACAGACGTTGCTGGAAGATCTGCAGGATACTGTTGGTATCGACATCTTCCATAGTAATAAAGTAAACAAAAACATTTTGAAGGTTTGAGTTAATTTCATTCGTTATCATAAGTCAGACAGGATGTACTATCCACTTATAGGATGTAATAACATACAGATTACAGGGCTGTGCTCTAGCAAAGCCTAGTGGCCCCTGGCACCTAACTTTTGCTCTTGGGTGACCAGAAAATCTTAGATTTTTCATACAAATCATGTGCTGCGTAGCCTAGATTTTACAGGTTCAAAGAACTGGGCTCCTTTCAATGTTCCTTAGAGCACAGCCTTGGATTAAGCCTCATATTACTGGAAGATTGTTCCTTTCATCTGCTTTATATGTGTGCTTGTTAATCAAAGGGAGACTAAGCTAATTTTCATGATTCAATTTTGTAGCCGATTACAGCGTTATAAACCTTACTGTGAATGTCTTGTATCTGGAACACTTCTATCTCCACCAATTGCATCACTGGCAGCCTGATTAAATTGATTTCTATTGTACTTGTCCTCTCCTTCCCTCAGTGCACCACCTCTTAAATAAGCTTGCTCATCAAATGGTGGCCTACTCACTCCATTTTCCTCATGGACATACTAAAGTACACACATGGAAAAAATTAGTCTATAACTGGTACTTCATAACCAAAGGTAAGGGAGTGCAGGTGAGATTGATGGTCGAAACACTCTTGCCCCAATGATGGGCTTTCCAAAAGTTTCAGGTGATAGAAGGTCAAAATGTGTATGATCAGATGGTGAATGATACAAGGTCCAAGGTCCGTGATTACACTCAATGCACTCCATTCATTCTTAGTGGTAGTAAAGAAAAATGCTGGCTATACATATGTGCCATGCGTGGGTAACAGTGACCTGGAGATTAGGATTGATGGCTGCTCTGGTGGCCCACAATAACAGAACTGCAAATAACTACAAGTCATTGAACAATATCTGATTAAAATCTGTACATGTCCAACAAAATCTTAGTAGTGTGACAAGATGACCAGAAAGAACATTACCAACAATCGGTGACAAAATTTGTTGAGACACTTCACCCCTAAAGGGGCTTTCTGACGTCTTACAGACTTCAAAAGGGGACAATATAGCTTTTCCTCCCCCATCCCCTCCATGCAATGTTGTGCCACTGTTCGAGCTTACCTACAGAAACACCCCAACTTCAAATTAAGAGGTGTGGATTGCTTTGTTCTCTGAAGTTACCCCATTTGAGTACAATGTCTCAACAATTTTGTTGCCGATTGTAGCTAGTAAGACTATCATTTTGTAGCTGAAGAAATGAAGAGGAATTTAAAATTAATATATATTAAAGTCAACAACTACTCTAGTTTGTCTAACTAAAATGAAGACCTGGTCAGACAAATGTGCTTTCGAGAAGAGGAAAAGGTGATTATTTCGCAGGCACTTAATAAGATACTGATGTTTGATGGACTTTGTGTCGGATTGACTATTCAAGCAAACAAGTAAAAGTGCAGCTCTTAAACCATATTTCATGTGATGTACCTGTTTACTAAAGCACAAACATGTAGGAAAGGATAACTTCCAAGGGGAAATATTGGTATCAACACTACCCTCTTGTGGATCGAAGGTCAGTAAAATGCACAGGGGAGATGCAGAGGAGTGGACTGTAAAGGAACACCTTATACAATGTGGAAGGTAAAGGCGCACACAAGACAAAGGCCCCCTGGTTTCAATTCATTAGCATGAAGCACTCAGGAGTATTGCTACTCCCTTCTGGATGGGATGCTGGTCTATCGCAGGGTTATCCCTTGACAGTATGTCACCGGTATCCAATTATGCACCTGGGTGAAGAGAGACAAAGTGGAGTAAAGTTCCCTGTCTAAGAAAACAACCGATGGGCGAGGCTTGAACCCTGGACCTCAGATTCAGAGTTCAATGTGTTAACCACTCGGCCACACACACCTCCACATACAATGTGGAAAAAAGCACTTCAGTGTATTAAGACGTACATGAGCATTAGGAGGGGATGTCATTGAAGCCAAAATATGTCCTACAGGCCAGGAAATAGAGACATTTCTTGAAAAATAAAATAGGCTCACAGGACATAAATTTGAACCTGGGTGAGTGCCAGGAGATAAGGCCATGATAAAGCTGGCAGATTCTCCACAGAATTAAAAATGACCTCTGTTTGTTTGCTTGTCAAATAAATGGGCAAATTTAAAGTGAGATTAGTAACCACTTGGGGTCTGTTTTCAAGCACCTCTCCATTTGTGGCAAACATTGGATATAAAAAATTTATAACATGAAATAACAGAAAGCTGCATACTGTGCTGTTGATTATTTTCAAGAAATACTGAACAAACTAATGTCATATGCTTTCTATTTTTTCTTTAACATTACAAGCAGTACTTGGCTGTCCATTAATACCTTCAAGCACTTTGGTATTGCTGTTGCAACTATTGCCTTCATTAGATTTTTGGCTCATTAAGTTTCAGGTGCTCAACCTGTTAGAACTGTTATTGAATTAATACTGGTACATATATAAATAAGCTTGTCAAATTGAAAAATGTTCCATCAATAATGTTTACCATTTTTGTAGACTAGCAACTGAAAAGCTGTGGTCTAATGAAACTCACTCCTAGAAAGGATACTCCATAATGTCCATGTAGTTATGAAGCTGTATATGATACTAGGAAGCATTTTGTCAGCTTGAATATTTTCTTAGCCAGAAGTTAATAGCCTAATGGGACACCACAGTTAGAACCCTACAGCTCTGGGCTCTAAGCCATGTATTAATCTTCTCTTCAACTTTATACTGTACGGCAGATTAAATTTTTAAGAAAGATTGAAAACATAAGAGTATAAAAGAAAAATAAAATGCACTTTATTTGAGTGACAAGGAATTTAGTGCAACAGTACTAGTTGGGGACACTATTCTTATGTCTCCAACTGGAGACAGGACTGTCATTTTACGTGATCATCTGAGCCATGCGAAGGCCTAGCTGCTTGCAGTGCAAAGGGAGTACCTGCATTTTTCAGTTATTTTAAGACCTTGAGTATTGGTTCGGCCCCGGGAATCAAACCTGTGGCCTTCCGCTCTGTAGTCAAGTGCTCTACCGACTGAAATAATCCTGCCGCGGTTAAAAAGGAGAGAAAAGGGTTGTGCTATAAAAATAAATCTATACTAAGAAGAAACTCCAAGTGTACATGTGCCACTATATGTAGCTGCAGGTTAATTAAGTCAGCACACACAGGGTCCAAAATTGCGCCTTCCTGGTTGCCAATGCGACTAAAAATGCAGTCCTGGCGACCAGAATTTCATAGCTGGCAACTAGCAACTTGTAAACCTGGTTGTTATTGTGGACTTTAACGTTCAGAGAAACTTCGAATGTATCTGCCAACAGGGCCCAGTTGCTCGAAGCATGGTTAGTGTTAACCAGCGTTTAATACCTTGACAACGTATTGGTTTTGATACTGCTTAACCAATGTTTAAAGCTAACCATGCTTTGAGTAACTCAGCCCAGGTGTCTTACTTTTTGTCCCACTGATATTTTTTAATTAAAATTGAAACAAATCTTCCTGTAATAATACCTCCACAACAGCTACGATCAATACGAGTTGTACGTTTCCAAGCCGCCATGTTGTTTTCCACAGCTGAAATACGGTGACAGAAAAAATAAGGTGAGTACTTTATGTACTTTGTTGACTGGTACGAGTAATGTGGCACAGTTGTGGCCTGGTACAAGCAACATGGCAGCTTGACTCGTGTTTATGTTTCGTGTTTCGTGTTTCGTGGTAGCTATTGGAAGAAGATAGAGTTTTGATAATTATGATCATTGCAGTCGATCATGGGCAGACAGCTTTCTGTTCCTACGTTCTAGGTCAGATAGCTTTATATCTCCAAGAAGTAATTTGTGGAAAAAAAATAAGACTTCACTCGTACACGTATGGTTGCTTTCCCAGGAGTCCCACTCACATATTTTAATGACAGGGGGGTCCGAAGGATTTTTTTGGGTCTGACATTTTGGCCAAAAGGGATTTTTTTGGGTCTATGAAAGACACTGGGATTTTTTTGGGTCGCAAAAACAACAGAGGGATTTTTTGGGGTATTGTATTTTTCATCAGCTCAAATCAAAAATAACATACCGGTAAGCGCAATTTATAGTTTTGTTTTTGACCAAAACCAAAGTTGAAGTTGATATGTTTTAGCGTTCTAGAAGTTAAATAATAAAATTTGCTGATGCAAAAACACTGAGGGATTTTTTGGGGTATGCTAAAAAAAGTAGGGATTTTTTTGGGTAGACAAATTCTGAAGTGAGGATTTTTTTGGGCATAAAATATGAACCTCTGTCAGACCCCCCCCGTCATTAAAATATGTGAGTGGGGCCCCTAGAGTTGCTTTCTAGTATCAGGAGCGGAAGTAGTGCAATTTTTTAGCATAAAAACGTCCATACCATGCATTTTTTATTTGTGTTGTAACTGTTATTTGAAAAAAAGGGAGGGGGAATATTTGGCGACCACAAATTTTGCCCTCTGGCGACCAAAAATTCATACTTGATCGCCAGTTGGCGCCTGTATTAAAAAGTTAATTTCGGACCCTGACACACCAACTTTTCAAACATAAATTTAAGGCAGCCTATACTTATGATAATAGTCTTTATCAAACAAATCCATAAAAATGAATGTGAAATAGTTAGCAGCACTCTAGATTCATAACAATGCTTTGTGAGAACAATGTACAAATACATTTTTATTATTAATATATTACTTTGTTTAATAATTGACAATTATTGTTTGTTTTTTCCTTTCAGAAATATTAAATGACCGTAATGAAAATTATTTATTTTATTTTTTCTTTCTGATTTCTCGTGTTATAATAGATAAGTAATAGTTAGATCTGTATTACACTGCACATGCAGATCAACAATTTAGAGGTTTGACTGAGACACATTATAGCAACAATCAAAATGTTTTTTAAAAAATCTTTAGTTCTTGTATGCATTTTAAGAAACCACCAAACCACCAAAAATTATTTCGTCACATAAGAATTAAAAGCGCAACCATACTTCAGAAAGCTTGGCCTGATGACATCGTTAGTAATTTAGAATTCATTTCAGCATAGCTTACAAGAAATCTTGTCGGTAGCCTTCTCTAGAAGTCTCCCATTTCTCTTCTTTGGAAATACGTACCCTTCGCTGTGGGACGTTTCAGGAAAGGATAAATTATAAATGAAATCATACGGGCAATGTTTGATTATTAAATCACTTTATTAGAGACCTTCCAGCTGATATAAGTCTATCAACATGGAATACAGATATGACTTCTGCATGGCACACTGATGTTAAGGTGAACAATTAATAGCTCCCTCATTTTATACATTGTTCGATCAAGTGTCTCTAATTTTCACGAACTACCAATCAATTTTCCGGGTAATGTAAAAACAGTCGTCAGGTTTAACTAAATCATTATCCTCGTTAAATAGTCTTTTATCCCATTTCCCCATGGCGCATAGCATTCCCCGCCACGGACGGAGTGTGTTTTATCTACAAGAAAAATAACATAATTACCTACCTTCGGTGGATCGTTGCGAAGAAATCCAGAATCTGATATAAAATATATTATTCCTAAAAGCCATATTACTATCATAAAAATGACAAAAACTCTTCTTTTTCTGATGATCATGATGTTGGCATTGAAGATTTTTGCGGTGCATGCTATTTACATAGTATGCTCCTATTAGCTTGGTAGCCACGCAACCGGGTCAACCGCTGAGCTGTACTTTATAAAATAACTAAGATAGTACGCGCGTTCTGATTGGTTAAAAACCTATGGTTTATTGTTTCAGCTCGAGATCGAGTGTTCTCCCAATATCCAAAGTGGGTTATCACGCCGGTGTCACAGTGATATGTGTATCCCCGTGATATGTGTATCCCCGTACACATATCCCTAGTGATATGTGTATCCCTTCAATATGGCTGCCAGTGAAATGTGTATCCCCTACCCCCCACCCCTCCAAAGAAGTGTCGGTTTTATTTCTGTTGTTTTTTTGAATTTGGGGAAATCATCTTCAAGGGGGCTACAAATGATTCAAGATTATGAGTAACATAATCGACAAAAGAGCAACGATTCGAGAGAAAATAATCACAAAGCCGTTTCTGGAGAGTTTTATACTTCTTCATGGGCCGCAATTTTGATGTAAACACTCGTTCCTCTCCTTATCCAGCGTGATTATAATTTTATGTCACTAGTCGCGTTGAATAAGTATGACTGACAAAATTTCATACAGCAAGGGATAACTCAAAAAGTCCAAAACTAAAGAGGGGATACACATATCCCTGCGCCGGTTCAGTGATATGTGTATCCCCCCTGTGAGCGCCACAATTTTCCATCTTTGCATGTTGTTTGATTCCTGTCTTAACCCTTGTTGTGTTACTAGATGTGTTAGATGATATCGACGATATTTCCTTCAGCAAGAGAACAAAAAAACAGGGGATACACATATCCCTGCTCCGGTTCAGTGATATGTGTATCCCCCCTGTGAGCGCCACAATTTTCCATCTTTGAATGTTGTTTGATTCCTGTCTTAACCCTAGTTGTGTTACTAGATGTGTTAGATGATATCGACGATATTTCCTTCAGTAAGAGAACAAACAGAACAAAAAAAAAAGGGGATACACATATCCCTGCGCCGGTTCAGTGATATGTGTATCCCCCCTGTGAGCGCCACAATTTTCCATCTTTGAATGTTCTTTGATTCCTGTCTTAACCCTAGTTGTGTTACTAGTTGTGTTAGATGATATGGACGATATTTCCTTCAGTAAGAGAACAAACAGAACAAAAAAAACAGGGGATACACATATCCCTGCGCCGGTTCAGTGATATGTGTATCCCCCCTGTGGGCGCCACAATTTTCCATCTTTGCATGTTGTTTGATTGATGTCTTAACCCTAGTTGTGTTACTAGTTGTGTTACATGATATTGACGATATTTCCTTCAGCAAGACAACAAAAAAACAGGGGATACACATATCCCTGCGCCGGTTCAGTGATATGTGTATCCCCCCTGTGAGCGCCACAATTTTCCATCTTTGAATGTTCTTTGATTCCTGTCTTAACCCTAGTTGTGTTACTAGATGTGTTAGATGATATCGACGATATTTCCTTCAGTAAGAGAACAAACAGAACAAAAAAAACAGGGGATACACATATCCCTGCGCCGGTTCAGTGATATGTGTATCCCCCCTGTGGGCGCCACAATTTTCCATCTTTGCATGTTGTTTGATTGATGTCTTAACCCTAGTTGTGTTACTAGTTGTGTTAGATGATATTGACGATATTTCCTTCAGCAAGACAACAAAAAAACAGGGGATACACATCTCTCTGCGCCGGTTCAGTGATATGTGTATCCCTCCTGCGAGCGACACATCATTCCATCTTTGCATGTTGTTTGATTATTGCTTGTGTTAGATGATATCGACGAGATTTCCTTTAGCAAGAGAAGATAAAACAGTAAAAAATGAAGGGCATACAGATAGCTCTGCGCTGACTCAATGATATTTGTATCTCCCCGAGAGCGCCAACAATCTTCCACCTTCACATGTACTTTGAAAAAAAAACCTTAGCAAGAGAAGTTTCAGTGATATGTGTATCCCCCGCGTACAATTTGTATCAGTGTAAAGTGAGTAACTTCAGCAGCACACTATTGTTTTACAGCCAATCACGCGAACCCAGTAAAATAATAACATGGCCCAGATACTCTTTCGAGGTTTCACTCCTTTTTCGCGGGAATTTTGGTGCCGAAATGGACTCCACAAAATATGAAAATATAGTACGATATTTAAGAGATGGCGAGTATCCCACGGGCTCAAGCAAACAAGAAAAATCAGTCTTGCGAAGGTACACAAAGAAGTTCACCTTTAATGCAGAATCCAGCAACCTTTTTTACTTAGACAAAGGTCAAAATGGGTCGACATTTATGCGTTTGGTTATTAAAGAAGAAGAAAAATTGAGAGTGTTCCAAGAGTGCCACAGCTCAGATTTTGGAGGTCACGCTGGACGTGATAACACGATCCAGAAGATCAAAGATCGCTATTACTGGCCTCAGTACTACAACGACACCGTTGAAATGGTAAGAAAAAATAAACTTCTCCTTTACGTGACATTGACACGATGTATTAAGATATGATGTGACAGTTAAAATAATGTCTTGCTAAGGTAGGGAATTGAGGTTAAATAAATTCTTTTTGTAGGGGATGGCGGTATTCACAAACTTACATCACTCCCTGCCAAAAAATAAGGTTTCTTGGGCAAGAAATTTTAGTAACAGGCTACATATAAGTGTGTGTGGCAAACGTGCAAGCCTGTATTTATGGAAACTGTCACTGTAAGCTAGGAAAAGCTTTTGGAAGAAAAACGAATACTGCTCAATAATACTGTGTTAAGACCTAACTGTTAACTCAGACTTTGTTTTGGGTCAGTTTTTCTGTAAGTTGTTTCAGTGTTGTACATGTGGTAATACTCCTGTCAGAGGCAGGGCTGTGGCTCTAAAAAGGCCTAGAGGCACAGAAGTCCTGAGCCTGTGATATCTAGGGTACCAAACACTTCAGTTTTTTCGAAAATGTGACATTCCCATTCCAAAAATAGCCAAAGAGCCTGTAGGTTGCCGGGGGCCGGCAAAGCAAAGCCTTGTAAGAAATAATGGAATCAAATGATAACAGTTTGCAAAAATAGTATTCTCAATTAGGTACACATGTAGAGGAACATGTAAAGCCTAAGTACAGACAACCTCTTTCAAAAAGGTCTGTTATTATGTAGCCACTCTTCATTCAGTAACCAGTCACCAGATACCCTGTGGATAAAAGTTAAATTATGTCAGTAATTTGCTGTATCAAGATAGAATCACTTTTAAGCAGCCACTTTTCCTTTCCCAGAGGGTGGCAGGTTATTTATTATTACCAAGGCTAAACTGTAGTTAAAAACTTTTGATATAATAATTTTCTGAACGTATATCCCTTTGAATGGATCAGACATACCTAACTCCAGAAAATGGACTGCTATTATTACAGTTAACTCAGTTCTTCCTATGAAATGTAGGTTTTCTCACACAGACATATCTATTCCAGCTACAACTTGAACACTTAACTATATGTGAATAAAAATGCATTTATCCAAGTTTAATATTGTTCTTAGCCTTCCACGTACGCATCCTTCGGGATTCTTCATGCATTTGTATCCCCCGTGGGAGTGGGACGCATGACAAATGCTTATCAGATAAGACAAGCAACAACAACAACAATGTATTTTTTTTAAGATCCATAACGCTTACAATACTTCATGCCCTGCAAATAGCTATAGCGCTAATCTAGGCAGGACAAAAATTATAAATAAAGGATATATTAAAAATAAATGACATATTAAGAAAAAAGGAAAAGAAAAGAAATACAACAACATACAGAAAGAAAAACCCCTCACACAAACTGAAGAACAAGGATTTTGTTATTAGAAAAAAAAACAGATTAAAATTACAACAGGAGGTATATACGATGTACCAGGAGGTTAACTTTTTAAAATATTCTACTAAATACATAACATTCAAATAAATATCTTCATTAACCTAGGGCATTAAGGAGTAGTGATTTCATTTTTTTAAGAGAACTAGATACGTTGAGAGCTTTAACAAAATGTGGAATAGAATGTCAAATAGAAATTTATTGCATTGTTCAATCATCCGTACTAGTTGATGTTATAGGTTTGGCTTGTTAGGATCTCCTTCAGTTTGAAAATACCGATAAATACTGATAAACTGCTCTTTCTGTGAAATCGCGGGAACCCTTAGAATAGGCATTTTAAAGTTTCTTGAGCTCTCCCAGTGGTCAGTAAGCACAGGGAGCCGACACAATCTGTTCACAATCTGATCGTGAAACCCATTGTATTGCAATTTTATAGTGAATGTACTGGATTTACCGTTTGCTTCATCTGTAGCGGTACATCGCTAGATCAATGATAATTAAACGTTGTGTCACCTTCCCCAAGGTAAAGGGCCATACGTTTGCCTCAGAAGTGGTATTTCGAGCGATTTTGAAGGATTTTGAGTTCACTGATTAATAGAATCTTTCGAACTTTCAGCTGCGAGGTTTGATAGCGAAGTAATGCGAGTTTGGGGGGAAAATCTCCAGCGCTGGAGCTGTTGAAAAAATTTAGTACACTCTTGTCCTTTAAGACAACAGTAAACAGCGAACTCAAAACCTTCAAAATTACTCAAAATACCACTTCTGAGGCAAAAGGACAACTATTCAGGTAGGTAAGCTAACACAACGTTTATTTACCCATTCCAAACCGAGAGTACAATAATCGGCGTTTTAAATCTCCCCTGGTTTCGTCTCGAGACAAGTAATGGCATGGGCTGCTGACGACCGTAACACCAACCGGCCAACAAAAACTATTGAATAAAATTAATTTATTCCTTACCTTGCTTCTTAAAAACAATCTCCGACGTTTTCTCTTAGACTTGACAAAGTGAAGAGTACAATGTTTAAGAGTCTAACTGAAAACAAAACAACCATTTGCTCCCTCTTGAGCCGCCATTTTTATTATTGAGCCGCGGATCGATACTTAGCATCAGTGTTTATTGTATCCCCACCCGGGATACACATATCACTAGGGATATGTGTATGGGGATACACATATCACGGGGATACACATATCACTGTGACACCGGTAAACCCATAGAAAGTGTGGTCTATTGCTTAAATGTGGGCACACAATTTTAAAATATCAGGATGTGTAACTTCCTCGCAGATCACATTTTACAAACGCTTTCAAAATCTTTACATAGGTGTAGCTGCACCCTCCCCACCCCTCTCCGGCAAAGGAATGGCAGGAAGAGAAAGACTTTGGTAAATACGTTAATATATAGTGGAGTACAGACTTTCCAAAAAATAATTACCGAACTGCCTTTCTTTTGACCTACTTTGACAGCTCCGCCCAGTTTAGACTAACCTGAGATCAGGCGTTATTTTTTTTGCTTCTTTGGCTCGAGAGGGAAAAAAGATTACAGAGATATAAAAGGGAGAGGGCATGATCGAAGGCTAAGTTTAGACCCAAACAGCTCGCGCCAAAATGACGTTACTTGATGCGATTAAGTCGAGCGAAAACATAAAAAAAAAATTCTAGCTCGCACGTTATTTCATGGTAAAGTACTGGAAGTTCGCCCCATGTAAGGGAATCCAAGGCACTCTTGGATTCTGGATTCCACGCCGTGGATTCCGGATTCCATTTACTGGATTCCAGATCTTTTTCAGTGGAACTTGGATTCCGGATTTCGAATTGTTAGTGGGATTCCGGATTCCTACACCTGTATTCCGGATTCCAAGGCCCAGGATTCCGGATTCCACAAGCAAAAATTTCCAAGATTCCGGATTCCAAATGCAAAAATTTCCCGGATTCCGGAATCCGGATTCCTTTACATGGGGCGAGGAAGTGGTTGACTCTTTAAAGTATCTTGGAATAACAATAACACCGGATCTACGATGAAATCAACATATCTCGAACACTGCAACTAAAGGAAACGAGACTCTAGGGCTTCCTGAGAAGAAATCTCAGAATTATCTCTACAAACCTGAAATCAATCGCCTACAAGGCCTAGTCCAGCCCACTGTGGAATACGCCTCAACTATTTGATGGGGATAGGGTAGAAATGGTTCAATGTAGAGCAGCACGTTATGTCCTAAATTGCCAAGAAAGAAGAAAGCTATACTAACAATGCTGTATAAAATGCACTGTACTAGTGGAGATAGACCAACAGAAATATCTCGAGCGGGCCGGCCGATCTCTCAGGCATACGAACAAACCCACGTATAAAGTCCCGGCGTCTGAAACAAACTATCACTTATACTCTTTTTTCCCTAATACCATCAGGGACTGCAACAGTCTACCCCCGAATGTCGTTGAGGCACAATCCATAAACCCTTTCCCAGCCCAGCTGGACATGTTTTGATTATTGTTATTTTATTGTTAGTTATTACCAATAGTAAGGCCGCTGACCCCTTGCTAAGAAACATCGTATCAGGAGCCTATCAAATAGATGGAGAGCAAGTACTGGGAAAATAAAAATAAACTAGAACCACTACGTGGAACTTACCGGGGCCCAGTGGGACACGGGATTGCATAGATATAGTTTACCTCTCGCACCCCTCCCCCCTCCTCTGTGGAGGCTAATACTTAGTCTGAATTAACTCATGCAGAAGAAAAGCAACAAAATGCATGAGAAAGGAGGATGTTGTTGGAAGTTTGTTCAGTGTTATTACAGCTAACAGTCTGTGTTATAGTAGTGTTTTTAGTAACACTGTGATGTCAATAAGACAGTGTGATTTGTATAAGGTTTTCATTTGTTTTTAAGTTTGAGTGAAAAAGCAAAAATCACTGACAGTTTTGGGTTGAATGGTAATGACAAAGTTTGCAAAGAAGTTTGTTACAGAATTATCACAATTTCACATTTTCTCAAGTACGTTATCATCAGGTTTATCATTGAGATTTATTAATCACATTTATCTATTTTTTGCGAAAACACTGTGAATTTGAAATGATAACAGACATAAGACATTTTTGAAATAGATCTTTGTGGTCATGGATTGTTGTCTTGCACTGTAAAAAATGTCATCCAGTGTTATATACAGACATAATAAAATGCTTATTTATTGATGACTGAGTATCATTTGTTAATTCATTTCACATTGAAATGGAGGCACTTGATTGTAAGGCAGTGGTTGATACATAGTGGCATTCATCAATATGGCCTATAGTAATTATTGTAGAGGGAGTATTTCTTTCCTGAACTGGGTAAACAGTAGTATATCTGCAACTGCTTGAATGATAAGTGCATCAGCCCATGTACCTTGAATACACATATTATTCAGATATCTTATCCATGAATTTTCGGTATTGCTCTCTATAAATCTCTCTGGATTGTCTCTCATAAATTGAACCCCAGCAGTACGTATATGGATGTGATGGTTGCTATTGCCATATAATTGATGTGATACAGATCTAAAGAAACAATCACCTGCACCGCCAACATCTATTGATTGTAAACAAAGTGCACCTAATCTTGACTGCATCAAATTCTCAGAGGAAATAGGAGAGTTCAACTGCATTGGTTGAGGTCACACTAGAGAAAGTTTACTATAGTAATGTTTACCATAGTAAACGGCGCCGTAAGTGTGACCGGCATTTTTCAGTTTACTATGGTAAACTCTACCCTGGTTAATTTCCATGACTACCGCGGAAAGAACAAAGATGACCCATCACCGATAACCATCTGGTTACCAAAAAAAATAGGTGGGTATATCTCTAGTCTATCTAAACTTTGTTTGTTTTGTTGACAGTTTGTCATGATTTTTGAGGAAAGTAGTTTCAAAAAGGGTCACATAACAGAATAGCTTTAGAACATCGGTGATTGCTTTTTCCACAGTGCTTGAAGGTTTCTGTTTCTGTACATTTCTTCAAACCATTCGTGGGGTCGAGGTTAAACCCACGCTTGCCTTCGCAATGCCGCTCTTTCTCTAAGAATACGTCTTCGATCGGATGAGTAATCAATAAACCTGTCACTAAAACATCTTCACTAACTTCGTATTCGAAACCAAGGTAGGTAATAAGGGAGCGCATTCTTCTTGCTCGTCTGAGCAGCAGAATTAAAAGCAAAATGCTCACAACAGAAAACAATACTCTCTCACATTGAAGTATCTTTGTACACTTGTGAGGGTCACGCTCAGGAAGTTACAGTTCAGTAATTTCAATTTAGTCAGCTCTCATAGCAGGTCATCATTTGTTTTACTTTTCACTCTCACGTTACCGATCACGCGAGAAAAAACGCCTGGAAAGTTTCAAATGCCTTTTTAAGTGGACCTGTCAGGTTTACTACGGTAAAGAAGACGTTGCGAGACTTACCATAGTAAAGCCCTTTTTACCATAGTAAAGTCTCTAGTGTGACCTCAACCATTGTTGAGCTGTGATTTTGCATAGAAGGTCTAATTATTACTTCATGATGATCAGTGTTGTATTGAGTAGGTCCTGGATTCTTCTCAACATCTTTACTTAGTTTGAAATTCACATAATTGTGATATGACTCACACAATTGCAAGAAAACAATGATAAAGATCGACGTGCTTTACATTATTTTTAGTTTCATTATCCTGTGATAATGCCTGCTAAAGAAAGACAACAAATAAGCTTTCTTGGGTATAGCCATTTTATTTAAGTTAATTATCTTTGGATCGCGTTTGTTATTACATTTATATCGTGCATGATAAAGTTTTCTCACCTTATTAACATAGCGATGGAGCTTTGAAGTCTTCGGTATGTCAATCATTGAAATCTTTTTGAAGACAAATTTTGATAAGTGTTCGCTTTGATTCTCGATAAATTTCACGATGGAAGGTTCACTCAATTTCTCGATAAGTTTCACGATGGAAGGTTCAGTCTCAGAAGTGATCGCTCGTAAATTTGTCTCTCCAAATATTCACTCTTAAATTTTCGCTCATAAACTAGTTGGGTTGGGGGAACGTGTCGTTCCCCCAAAAAGCTATAATCTTTCTCTTGACTGTCCTCCATGCCTCTTCTTTTCAAAATGGCGGATAAGATTTCAATGAGCCAGCGATATATCTCAGTCAGCGATATATCCCTAACAATGTAACGTTGAAAAAACGGACCGTCTGCATTTTAAGACCGGTGCCAGCCTTCGGCTGGGCCCCGGTAATAAAATAAAATCTTTAGGCGCATCATAGTATATCGAAAGATGTTGGTACAAACATAAATATGTAGTGAAAGTACAGGATTTTCACTAGAAACTGCCATCATAAATGCCAGATTTATTTAATTATTTTGACTGAGGTCGCGTGACTTCTTAAATGTATGATGACGTGTATGCATCTTTGAGTGACTACATGTAGTCACGGCAAGAGAGCTTTAATACAGAAAGTTTGATTGCACGATCACGGAATGGCCAGTTATCCAACTGTGCAAGAAAAAGATGGCGACTGGATTGGTCCTAAGTATTGTCTTGTTCATGGCGTTAGAATATCTGAATGGGTTGCAGATCCAAACCTTGGCAAAGATCTCGAGGAATTTCAGACGAGAAAAGATGATGTTTTCGTAGTCAGTTATCCCAAATCAGGTAAATATAAGTGTACTTTCAGTATAATCCTGCCCAACATCGGTTAATTTTAGGCGAAACAATGTGGGACTTTCGTCAGCTGCCACAGTAGGAATAGAGTGTGTATAAAATGCGAGCCATGCAGTCCATTGAAGAATCATTGAAAAAAAAACACCATAAAAATCGAAAACAGTAATACGAAAAACATTAACTGAACGCTAACCGTTGTAAATAAGTGTTTAACCCTAAACAGCGCTTAACCCTAGCGCTAAAATGAGTGCTTAACCCTAATCCGTAAAATGAAAGCTTATATAACCCTCGCGTGACTCGCATGGCTCGCTGGCTCGCAGTTTGTCAAGACCCGTAGGAATACCGTGAACATCATGAAAACTTCATTACGCAGACAAACTATCGTCACGCTATTGATGCTAGCGGTAATTTTCGGGTGCGAGTCTTTTCGCCAACGTCCTGTTCGCTTATGACGTAAGTGGTTTCGCCTGCTATGAGAAACAACTAGTTCATTTCCCAGCTCCTAATCAATTATGCCAAATAAATTGTTTTTAAGATAGACACCCCAATTTTCGTCATCGGCAAAAACCCAATTATTAGAATTATTTTCGTCCCGAAGTTCACTTGATGACGAGGAGAGCTGGCGATGAAAAAGAAGATTCCACTATGTGGAAAGTCACTTCGCAAGACGTATTCGTGGCTTGCGAAATTGTAGCAATGAGGTGCGGAGTGCAAATAAGGACTTTCAACGGTTAACCACGAGTACAGGATATGATACTTTCCACGGAAACGTGGTTAACCGTTACCAGAAAAGCCGTGTTTTCCTCATTTTGAGCTGTCCTTTTCTTTGAAAGTCAAAAACCAGTTTGCTGTTTCAAAGTTCTCCTTCCAGTTTTCGTGCCGACAATGGACATAACATAGACAACGTAGGGTTTCGCTTGAGAATAATAGTCTAAATACACAGACATCAGACATGTGCGCTCATGTCACGCTATTTGTGTTCATTACCATGTCACACAGCGGAGTCTCCGAATATCAGTTAAGGCTGCGTTCACACGTATCAGGATATTTTGAATCTCCGGATTCGGCTTCCGTCCACGCGTATCCGGTGTATCCAGCAGACGAATCCGCCACTTTTTGAATCCTCTCTCCAGAGTGGAGATTTTTTAATCCCCTATGTATCTCGAAACGTGTTAACAGATCGACTAGTTCTTTACCGTGAATATTGAATATTCAACACGGTCCGAGCAAAGAAAAAATTGCGGATTCAAAAATATCCGGATACGTGTGAACGGGCAAATTCGTTTTGTATCCGGATACGTGTGGACGTGGAAATTTTTGTGTCCGGAAAGAAAAAGTTGAGTGTTCAAAAATATCCGGATGCCTGTGAATGGCGTCTAAGAAAGACAACAAAAAACGTGTGACAAAAAACAAACAAACAAACAATGACACGCATAGTGGTGGATCTGGGGCAGAAACGTTTAGACCAAAGCAGGACTAAACCCAGGCTTGCCCTGGTTCTTGATGCTTTACCTTATCTCTTAAAATGAGAGCCACTAGTCATTCATTTTACCTTTACCTCATTTGAAGGTCTGGATCAGAGACCCTCCCCCCCCCCATTACCTAATACCCTACCAGCACCTTCTGTCAGGGTCTGGTCAGTTCATGAGTGCCCCTATTACCCCACCTCTGACCCTACCAGTATCTCGACTCAAGGTCTGGATAAGCGCCCCTCTTTACCTTACCCTACCAGTATCTCAACTCAAGGTCTGGGTCTGGATAAGTGCCCCTCCTTACCTTACCCTACCAGTATCTCGAGTCAAGGTCTGAATAAGCGCCCCTCCTCACTATACCTTACCCTACCAGTATCTCGACTCAAGGTCTGGATAAGCACCCCTCCTTACCTTACCCTACCAGTATCTCGACTCAAGGTCTGGATAAGCGCTCCTCCTTACCTTACCCTACCAGTATCTCAACTTAAGGTCTGGATAAGCACCCCTCCTTACCTTACCCTACCAGTATCTCGACTCAAGGTCTGGATAAGCACCCCTCCTTACCTTACCCTACCAGTATCTCGACTCAAGGTCTGGATAAGCACCCCTCCTTACCTTACCCTACCAGTATCTCGACTCAAGGTCTGGATAAGCACCCCTCCTTACCTTACCCTACCAGTATCTCGACTCAAGGTCTGGATAAGCGCTCCTCCTTACCTTACCCTACCAGTATCTCAACTTAAGGTCTGGATAAGCACCCCTCCTTACCTTACCCTACCAGTATCTTGACTTAAGGTCTGGATAAGTGCTCCTCCCTAGCTTACCCTACCAGTATCTTAACTCAAGGTCTGGATAAGCACCCCTCCTTATCTTACCCTACCAGTATCTTAACTCAAGGTCTGGATAAGCACCCCTCCTTACCTTACCCTACCAGTATCTCGACTCAAGGTCTGGATAAGTGCCCCTCCTTACCTTACCCTACCAGTATCTCGACTCAAGGTCTGGATAAGCGCCCCTCCTTACCTTACCCTACCAGTATCTCAACTTAAGGTCTGGATAAGCGCCCCTCCTTACCTTACCCTACCAGTATCTTAACTTAAGGTCTGGATAAGTGCTCCTCCCTACCTTACCCTACCAGTATCTTATCTCAAGGTCTGGATAAGTGCCCCTCCTTACCTCACCCTACCAGTATCTCATCTCAAGGTATGGATAAATGCCCCTCCTTATCTTACCCTACCAGTATCTCATCTCAAGGTATGGATAAGTGCCCCTCCTTATCTTACCCTACCAGTATCTCATCTCAAGGTATGGATAAATGCCCCTCCTTATCTTACCCTACCAGTATCTCATCTCAAGGTATGGATAAGTGCCCCTCCTTACCTTACCCTACCAGTATCTCATCTCAAGGTCTGGATAAGCACCCCTCCTTACCTTACCCTACCAGTATCTCAACTTAAGGTCTGGATAAGCACCCCTCCTTACCTTACCCTACCAGTATCTTGACTTAAGGTCTGGATAAGTGCCCCTCCTTACCTTACCCTACCAGTATCTCGACTCAAGGTCTGGATAAGCGCTCCTCCTTACCTTACCCTACCAGTATCTCAACTTAAGGTCTGGATAAGCACCCCTCCTTACCTTACCCTACCAGTATCTTGACTTAAGGTCTGGATAAGTGCTCCTCCCTAGCTTACCCTACCAGTATCTTAACTCAAGGTCTGGATAAGCACCCCTCCTTACCTTACCCTATCAGTATCTCGACTCAAGGTCTGGATAAGAGCCCCTCCCTAGCTTACCCTGCCAGTATCTCATCTTAAGGTCTTGCTAAGTGCCCCTCCTTACTTTACTCTACCAGTATCTTACCCTATCAGTATCAAATTTTAAAATTATAACATTAAACTGATCCCTACGTCATGAAGGTGATAGAAAAAACAACGGAAAAACAAAACAAAACTAAAATGGCGAATGATATTTGGCTGATATTTTGGCTTGCAACACAAACCTTCAACGGGGCATAAAAAGTGCCTTCCTTACCTTACACTACCAGTACCTCATTGTCTGGATAAGTGCCTCTCCTCGGGGTCTTAATTAAGGCCCCCTTACCTCACGTTATTTATCCTCAAAGTTAGCCAGTGGCGAAACTAAACGCAAAGATGGTCGCCTGCTGCCCAGCTACATTGCAGAGAAGTTTTTAAGATTCAGTGTAGCTCATTCCAGGGAAACAAGAAAGAGTAAAAGAAATTTAAAGTTGTGCAGAATTAAACAATCATACTGACAGTGCTCATTTATGTTCGGTGCTGCACTCTTGTGGAACAGATGTCCGGAGGGTTGAAAAACTGCTCTACCTTGAAGTCTCTCAAAAACAAAATTAAGCGAATTGAAGTTTGTAAATTGTAATGGACAATCTTCAGCAATTCCTTAGTTAGTTAATCTCGCCTATAATTCATAGTTTTTTGATTGTTTATTGTGTTTTTTATTTTTTTTTTTGTGAGGGCCATGTGTAGATTATCAAGGAATATTAAGTACTATCCTCAATAAAAAAGTTTTATTACTATTATTATTGTTATTATTATTATATTCAACTTTAAAAATATGTACAAAATTTACAGAAATATTTGAAGTATTTTAAGAATTAAGCACCATATAACATTAAGAATTATATAAATCATAAAAATACAGTCATTGTGTTAATAACGATTTCCCAAATACATTCCTTGCGGCTCAGATGCGATCTCTTGCAGGCGGTCCAGAGTTTTAAATTAAGACATTATTATAATATAAGATATACTTTAAGTGTAATTAATTGCGAGTGATTTTCTCTCTCAACATCCGAGTCCAAACCATGGACTTTAGGAGACATACACAGGGAATTTTTGGTGATTCCCAAAGTGGGAAAAAAACAGGAAATTTGTGGGGTTTTCTTGGGTTTTGGTTGTAATTTCCCAAATTGGGAAAATGCTACCAAAACCAATGTTGGGTTCAAGTAAACCCAATAAAAACCCGCAAATTGGGATTTTAGTGTACCAACTTTAACCCAGGAATGGAGTTTTCGCGTCCCATATTTATCCCATTAATGGGATTTTACCAACCCACAAAAACCCCAAAAATGTGATTCAATTGTCCCAGTTGAACCCCAATAGTGGGTTAATACTGGGCCATCTGAAACCCAATGTACGGATTATATTGGAACAGTAATACCCCAGGTAATCCCCAATTAGTGGTATAACATGGGTCCACTTTTATCCCATTCAAAGGATAGTATTGGTCCAGTTGTAAAACACAAAATAAAGGTTCGACAATATTAATGGTTAACAGTAACATTTATTCAGATGACAATGCAGGTGTCAATTCAAACTGGTTGATTGTTACTAAACACGTATTTAATCTGTATCTCTTTATGTGAAAATATAACGTCCAAAAAAATACAAAATTATTGAAAAATATATCATAAAAATATATTAAACTGTTTACTTAAGTTCATTCATCAATCATTAAAGCAACGTCTTTATGCAGAGTTATTGTCGAAGGCTATTCCGTACATTCATCAAACAGCTCAATTCCTTTATGAACACATCAAATGTCCTAACTTCATTTTCATGGTTAAGAGCAACATTGATATCAGAACCACTATGGTATTTAGTTATAGCTAAGTCGTACCTGGGAAAAAACAGCGTCAAGTCATAATTACAATAAATGAACCAGTCTCTTGTATAGTTTTTACACAGCGGACATGTCAGAACATTCTTATATATTTCCTCTAATACATCGAAGTCTGCCATCTCAATATTCCGCCAGAATATAATTATTCTAAAGGATTCCGTGGACGATTTGCAGCAAAGACCACAGTCATCTGTATAAACAAAAAAGGTGGAAACTTCATCTATAAAAACGAACAAATAGCACCCGACAAGAGACAATCGAGCTTCGTACTATCTCAACGGAGCAACCAAACACAAGTTTACACACATACCTTCCTCTTTAATGCGCGATTCAGCTGAGTCATTGTTTAATAGAAGACGATTTTGAAACAAGACAAATGTAAGCAACCTCACAAGTGAATATTTTGCGTTAAAATCTTTGGATACTTTCATTATAAAGACAATCCGTTTGCACACCACTGTTGTACTGCACAGAAGTCCGCCAAAGATTTGAACCAAGAAAACTGATCTTGTACACATTTCTATTGGTTCAAAAGCCCCACGTGATGACGCAAGTCACTAAGCGGAGGCTTGGAATCCAGTTCAAGTACCAAACATGGCGGCAATTCGACGGCACGATGGCGATTGTCTGTCTTTGAAAGCTTTAACTTGTGGTCCGCACTATGCCGACGCTCATGAAGAGTAAAGCAGTGAGAAAAAAATATTGCATGGTTCTCCCAGGTGAGGGAACCTTTGAAAAAAGGCAGCGGGCCTATTCACAGATGCGGCGAAAAATGTAGTTCGCCGAAAACTCCATGCCAACAATCTCATTAATCAGATTGGACTCGAGTAATTGGGAAAATTTCAGCTCTCAACAGAAGACACCTTGATATCGAGAAGAGTTATGCGCTTAGTGGGATCATTCATAGTTAATTATATTGAAGCGGCTGCGTGCGATCAAGTGCATGCACTGAATTACCATACTTCTAGTTTTCAAATAAGCCAATGAAACTTTAACTGTTTTGTTCTAAACTTGGCAGATATGATGTTTCGAAAATTAAACTTTTTAAACATTATTTGTACACTATGTATGTTGGTATTTCAAGAGTATGTATGTTGGTATTTCATTTCTTTCAAAACTAAATTCAACATTTGGGAAGATTTACTAGTTACCAAACATTATGTGTATGAAAAATATTATTCTTAATCCTTTTCTGTTTTTGGATTGGAATTTATTCAATATTTCCCATAAAAGAATATAATTATTGGTCTAACCCTTACATTTTAATGCTAACACAAGATTATTGTATTCTTTCCTACCCAATAGTCATAAGAATAACAAATCTAGATTTAATCAAATCCTTTTCCAAGGTGGGGATTTCTTGTCCCTTTCATTTTCCAAAATTGGGAATAGCATGTTGCAATATTTCCCAACTTGTGGAAAAATAGCCCCATTATTTTCACTATTTTGGGAAATAAACCCATTGGTTTCCCAATGTTGGGATCTTGGAATCTATATATTGCATATTTTCCCAAACTAAACACGGCATCGGGAAAACGTAACCCTAACTTTAACCAACTCTTTCCCAAGGTGGGGATTTCTTGTCCCTTGCATTTCCCAAAATTGGGAATAACATGTTGAAATATTTCCCAACTTGTGAAAAAATAGTCCCATCATTTTCCCATATTCTGGGGAGAAAACCCATTGGATTCCCAACATTGGTATTTTAAAAAATATTTCGCTTCATTTCCCAAAGTGAACCCAGTATTGGGAAACATAAACCCAAACTTTTACCAATCATTTCCCATGAGAGGAAAATGTTGTCCCCAACATTTCCCAATAATGGGAAAAATCCCCAACACTTTCCCAGTTTGGGAATTACAAAAAGTTTCCTGTGATAGAGGGTTTCTACTTGATTGAGAGCACCAGCCTGAGAAGGTGGGCTGTATTATTTATTATCAGGCAAGCTTATCCACGTCGTGAGGGTAATAGCAATAGTACTAATGTTTCTTTTGATGATTTCTGTTTAAAGGAACAACCTTTGTGCGTGAAGTTTTATGGCAGATTTTTCACGATGGTGCAACTAGTGATGAGCATTTAGGGAAGCGCGTTTTCTTTTTCGACTCACTTCCTTTATTAAACACGAACACAACAGGACGAACATCAGAGCCAGCGCGGGAGTCGACATCAATCAAGCCTGTGGTAGATCTCCTCCCGAGTCCACGTTTATTGGTTTCGCACCTACCCTACGATATAATAACGAAATGCAAAGATAATGCTGCTTCTTGCAAGTTCATTTACATTTCTCGAAACCCTAAAGATGTAGCAGTCTCCTATTTCCACTTTCTTACAAAGCTCAGCGGGGAGATGGCAACCAAGCTGTCCTTTGAGATGTTTTTAAAGTATTTTCTTCAAGGAAAATGTAAGCAACCTGCTCAATGATTTTTGTAGCCAATGTAACCTGCGTGGCAGGCGTTTGAAAGAGACTGGGGAGAGGAATTGCGGGCGCGTAAGTTCCCTTGCCCCTCCCTTGCAGGTTATAACGGGGTTTGACTGATGGTTGCGCAACATGCAACCCGTACCTACGACCCGCGGCTATTGGTCAAACCCTAGTTTTTTCTGTTTTTTTTTGTACGCTACGAGTACCCGAATTCTGTAACGTTAATTAGGTCATTATAAATCTCGAGAAACTCTTCTCAGCTCCCCAAATGTCCACACCAATCTGGACGTTTGTTTTTTTGAAACCGCATACTTTTTTTACCCGCGGATTTGTGTGGATGAGACCTTACGTTAGCAGAATAACCGTCAAATAGGAAAACGTTACTTTCGTCTGCAAGTGGCCTGGAGTATAACCATTGTTTTTTTTTTTAACTTTTCAATGTAACCTATTTCCTAAGAATCAACAACAAACTGAGCGATTTCTGTTGCCCTGGGCCGGGTTGTTCAAAGCTGGGTTATGCATCAGTCAATTCCACTTGCTCCCAACGCCCCCCCTCCCGGGCTGACCCCCGGGCATTAGCATTTTTTTTGCCTTGGATGACAAATTCCCGAGAGTGGGGACTCTTGAGCTGTCAAATTCCCCGGGTGGGGACGAAAAAAGAGGGCAAATGCTCCGTCCTCCGTCAACACTGCAACATTTTTCATTGATGGCACAGTCGAATACTGCCATTTTAAGCACTTTAATGTGCGATTTTTTGTTTCAATTAACGTCTTCCGTTGTAATAGCGCTATGATTCTAATTAAGACACCCCGCGACGACATGCACCAGTTTATGGTTTTAGTATAAATACAAAATTATTGACATTAAAATTAATAGACCGCTGTAAAGTTATATGTTATGAATAGTTTTATTAGTTTTTTCCTGAGTAATCCTTAATCTAGCACCAAGGACAAGGAGTTTCATTTTCCTGGCTTAAAACATGATTAATAGCCCACGTTCGATATGTTAAAATTCTAACATGTCTCCGAGGCTTTCTGGTCAGGTTTCTGTAATAAAATTTGGTTTGGTTCAGTGTGCTCATGTGCAAGTATCTTTTGGGAACCGCGAGACAGTGGAGCCGACGAGTGCTGAAAAATTTGCAATTTTGTCCCTAAAGCCTCGGAGTTATGTTAGAATTTTAATATATAGAACATGGGTTATTGTGGTTACAGAATTAAAAAAAATCGTTCGAAATCTACCTTCAATACAAGCACTGAAAAATATGACTTTGAACGGTTGGGGCTTAATCTAAATTGTCCTATTTTTCAATATTTCGTATTTTACAACTTTAAAGTTTTAAGTTGCAAATGGAATTAATAATTTAATTTCAACAGATATTTGGCAAATACTTGGTAAAAGGAGTTCTTATTAAGTAACTTTGTCCTAGCCATAACCTTTGTAGGTGTCTAACAGCCATGCAAATTGACTCGGTATATTACAAGCTTGTTTTTCTGTTCTGATTGTCTTTTTCTATCCTTATATTTTAGTTGCTTACAACTCATGGCTGGATCATGTCCTTGGATGGTGGAAACAAAGACACAATCCTAATGTATTGTTCCTTAAATATGAAGACATGAAAAAGGTACTGCCTGTTTATATTCGTTAATTTCTATCTCGAATAAACGTCGATATACCATAGCTTACCATATTTCATATTAACACTGCGCCTTCGCGTTACCCAGTTCGCCCTTACCTTCACCCGTTATCGGGTGTTATTAATCAGTCGATGTGGAGACAATTTTAAGCAGCGCCGGAAATTATTTCCTTTTTACTCCGGGAAATTTACGAGAGAGAAGGCAACCTTAATAAGCATACACTTTATGATGTCGGAAAACCTACACGATGAGGGCCCCATATTAGATTGCAATACCCTGAATACTGTGTTCGAAATTTCATTAAAAAACTATTAAACTCATCCATGAAGCAACTTTAATCTTCATAAAACCACAAGCGTAAGAATTGGTGACGTTTTTATACATTCTGTGACTTTATATTGAAAATAGAGAAACTACGACCAAATTACAAAGGATTTACACTTTACCGGTACCCACATGACCTTGCGGTCTTGCCGGATGCGCTATAAATACCGACAGCGATATTTAAACCAGCTGAATATATAATTTGTTTTCTTGAAGGACTTGCCAACCTCTGTGAAGGCTATGGCGGAATTTGTGGAAAAACCATTAACAGAGGAAGTGATTCAGCGCATTGCCCACCAGTGTTCGTTCGCAGAAATGGTGAAGAATCCTGCGTCTTATCAAGTTTTTCCAGGCAATGATGACGTACGCTTTTTGCGGAAAGGAGAAATAGGGGACTGGAAGAACCACTTTACTTCAGACATGAATGAACAAGTAGAAACAGAGTTTGTTGCAAAGTTAAAAGAGTATGGACTTGAATTTGACTACTCCTGAATCTAGTGCATGTAACTAGTACAGTAGTTAACATAAATTAGTTGAGACACTTTTAAATTCATTTTCTGACGTTTCGCCGACTTTAAAAAGTAACTTTCTCTACCCGCCCCCACCTCCCAGCAACGTTCTGCCGACTATAGGAGCTAACTGTAAGAAAAAATAACAAACGCCCCAACTTTAAATACGCCAGTTGTACATCTCCCACAATGCACCTTATTTGCCTCAGCCCCCACCCCCCAAATTTTGCATAACCTTTGTTTTTCATTTCTCCTGGGTACTACAGCCGTCCCAAGAGAAATTGAAAACAACGCTTCTGCAAAATTTTGGGGGGCAAATAAGGTGCTTAAGGGAGATGTGGAAGTGGCGTATGAAGGGGTGAGAGGTGGGGTGGCCTGCAAATTGTTTAGCCTGCGAATACAGCCGCTTCTTGTAGCTACGAGTATTTTAATGGTATTCAGCTTATTTCTTATATACATGTAAAATCTGCATATTGTTACATTAAGTTGGAGTGATAAGGCACCCATGTCTCCAAAAAGATCCTGAATGTTGACTTATCTCATTTGCCAAAGTATACAGATTTTTGTTCATACATTTTAGAAAATAAGAAGACCTGTTTCAAATTTAAAGCTAAACGGGTTCTTGTACAGAGGGTGCCTAACTGGGTGCCTAACAGGTTCTTACTCGCGGGTTTACTGTAGTTGACGACGGTAGCGAAATAGCGTTCTTCAAAAATTATAGTTCCTTGTCTGACCAATCACAGCAGTGAACAGTGTTCTTAACTCAGTAAACCAGAGAAACCAAGAAGCAGGAATACTGTCCAAGTAATACTTGTGTTTGACTTTCCTTCTGATAGGCTGAGAAAGATGTTGAGTTTTTTCTTTCAACAAAAAGCACCAATTCAAAAGCAAAGCGATCTTGAAGTTTCTTTCCACGCTCGGTTGGAAACAACTGTTTAGATCGGACAACTTATCGTCATCCTGAAAAAAATCACGGTTCATCTAAAGTTGTCCTTTTTTCGAAGCACACTGATCACAGACTCTGACAGGGTGATCCCATCCTTTTGAAGGCACAGGTCTTCTACTCTCTGAGCACTTACTGCAGACGCCCATACCACAGGCACGGCAATGATGTTTCGCATCAGTCTCCTTAAACTCGGCGTTGCAACAACTACAGGCTAAAATTTCGGAGTCTGGTACCCAGTAGCCGGGTCTAGCTGCGTCGGTGATCAATTCCCTGGGATAATCAATTGCAGTTTTTAAAATCCCCACTGCTGACTGGACGACCTCAGTCACTTTACGAGCAGCTACGGGACCGAACGGCTGGTCGGAATATAATGTCTGATCTCCTTGTGGGTAAACTAATTCCTGATGCGTTTCCTCGTCTAGCGCGTCTGACAAATCACTGAATCAAGAGAAAAAAATACGAGTTTTCAAAAATCTCTTCTCATCTTTCGCAAGATATAACGTTTGATACTGACGACACTCTTTTCTTATAGAAATATTGTTCACCATCGTCGTAATATATATATATTTGTTGCCAGTGGGAACACGATACCGAACCTGTTTTGTAGTGTATTGCGGGCAGTAACACCCTTCTCAGGCAACAACAACATTCATTTTTTCCCTTGGTAAAACAGTTCCCTAAGGTGCTTACCACTTTTAAGTGGTAAGACCACCTGGGTGGAAATCTCGTGCGCAAATAAAATAAGCTTCGTGGGAGAACGATCCGCTATCAACTGAACAGGCTAAAAAAAATTGTATTGCCTCAAACTTAACACCATGTTTTTTTGAAGCTTCCCAAACGGAATTTCACGAACCATTTGTTTATCCAACCGGAAGTTGCGGTTTTCCCATGTACATCTTTAGTACTCCAGAGTCGCAAACCTGAGTCAACGGTCAGCGAGCAAGATGGACGCGTTTTTGATTTAGCGTCGAAATCTCTTAATTTTTGCCTCTTTTCGTCATGTTTTTGCATTTTTTTCCGTTATTTTCGTCTTGCTTCTTTGTTTATTTGTTTGTGTATTTGCTTATTTATTACAGCTTATATATTTCTTCTTTGTGTGTCTTTGTGTGAATTTGTTTATTTATAACACCTTTGATACCTAGTTACTTTTCCCCATGGCCCAGCCACTCAGCGTTTTTTTCACAATTATTTCCTTTTAATGTCTTAACACTTTTTGTATCAAGAGCACAATAAAGATTGTTGTTGTTGTTGTTGAGCTTCAAACAACTGAAACTCCTTTGAAAGAAGGATGTATCTCAAATATTACCTCAAGTTACACGACGGTTGGGGCTGCATCTCAATTGTCGACGGCGATTTTCCAAAGCAGCGATCACACACCCGCACAGGCGCCTGACCCCAGCCTCGCTCTGGGACAGGTTTCTTATTGGTTGAGCATTCACCACAGACTCCACCACCACAAGCGCGACAGTGGTGTTTGGTCTCCCCGTCAGCGAACACGTGATGACATTCTTGGCATGCCTAGGCGAAAAAACAAACAAACAAGAAATGAAGTCTGAAACTGAGAGAGTACAAGTCAAACGCATAGCCCGTTAAACAGATTTCTCTTTGCGGCGTTCAAAAGTTTTCGCTCTATGCTTGCGTCCCCAGTCGTGTAAAAGTTCCTCTAGTTTGTTACTTGCTCCGCGTCTAAAATAACAATAAATTATTGTTTTACGGTTCTCAGACATTAACAGTTGCATAGAGACGTGGCAATTAAGGCGATACCATTGCATGCATGTTTATCCAGTGTAGTAGTCCGAATTTCCTGTTTAATATCATAGGTGACGAATTACTCCTTAATTTTGGCGCGAAATTTCAGCGTTAATTTGTAATTTCACAAGTGAAATTACAAAATTGCCATGGCAACCTTCTGTACGTTTCAGTGTCAAGATGGCGACGAAGTTTTAAAATGCCGTGAATGAAGATGTCAGGGCACAAAAAGACGCTTTAGAAAACCTGGACACACAAGAAAACATCAAGAAGGACTCTAACAGGTATTTTGCCGAAAAAGTCTGACAAATTCTGAACTTTATAAGCCAAATTTAAGCTCTAAACGTTCGAGAGAGTAGAGTTCTCGATCGATACGATCCAGGATAAACATGTCAAAAATCCAAGATTGCTAACGTAATTCGTCACCTATGATATTAATAGGTAATCAAATGGTATACTCGTGAAATTAGGGAATAATTTCAAGCGCGTTTTGTCCAAATCCTTATAATTTCCCGAGCCTTTAGCCCGAGCCTTTTCACTAGTCACCATTTGATTACACATACTAATCACAGTGACTGTTTTATCGTCTGCCGTTTCGACAAGAGGAATTTCTGGGAAGAACTTGAACAAGAAACTTCCCTTTTAATTGCATTTCCAAACACGAATGCAAATACTTATTACTGTCCACTTTCTTAACGACATTCTACAATCGAAGATTTTTCGACCGAATCAGAAGTAAGCTCTATTTAGACACCGTAGGCCTTGTGCTCCACTTTGAAAATAACAGAAAATTCGGTATTTTACTAACGCCGATGGAATCCTGCAATCGATTGAAGAAGTTCGCAAAGATGTCATCATACCAAGTAAGTTCCACAAAGCAGACTACTAAAACTTTTTCCTTGCCTTTCACTCCGCTGAAACAAGATATTCTGTCACTCTCAATGTAAGCTGCCATCGGCAACAAAATTAGTTGAGACACTTTGCTCTAAAGGGCCATCACTCTGACGTTTTGCCGACTTTAAAAGGACAAAATAAAGCTTTTCCTCCCCCACCCCCTCCATTCAATGTTGTGCCGCTGTTCGAGCCACCTGTAGAAAACACCAAACACCCCAACTTTGAATGGAGGGAAGGGGGAAGGGGAGGGATATGGATTATTTTGTTCTCTGAAGTTACCCCATTTGAGGACAGTGTCTCAAAGATTTTGATGCCGATTGTAGTCTCAAATACCATTTCAAATTCGGACAGTCGCGCTAAATTAACTTCTGCTGCATCAATTTACAGTCGTGCCATTATAGAACACGCTACAATGTGTCCTTCAGCTGATACTTACAGTAATTTCTGAGTTGGGAATCCAGTATTCTGGTGCCACTTGGTCCGTAATCCAGTTGGTCAGCGCTCTACTTGATGGAGTACTGAGACTGCTGAACGCGTCAGTCACATAACTGACGTTATCCAAAAGGCGCCGCGCCGCATTACCACTGTCCAGCGGAGAAATGTTCTCCTAAAATAATAGCAAGATCAGCAAGATAATGGTAATCTAAGCGTTTGATCGGCAACGGAAACCACATCGATCGACACTGTATTCAAGTGATAACTTTGTTGACAAGTATCTTGAGACGTGTTTAACGTCTATGTTCTATTTTCTTGCTCTTTAAAAGCCAGAAAGATGCGATAAACAGAGAAACATTTCCCATGCAACTATTCATAATATATAACCATTAATTTTAATGTCAATAATTTTACATCAATACTAAAATTATAAACTGGTGCATGTCGTGGCGGCGTGAAGTCTTAATTAGAATCCTAGCGCTATTACAAAGGAAGACGTTAATTGAGACAAAAAAATGCTTAAAATGCATTAAAATGCTTAAAACGGCACTATTCGACTGTGCGATCAATGAAAAATGTTGCAGCGTTGACGGAGGACGGGGCATTCGCCCTCTTTTTTTGTAAAGCTCAAGAGTCCTCACCCCCGGTTATTTGCCATCCAAGGCCAAAAAAAAAAATGCTGGGCGCAGCCGGAATTGACCTATGCATTACGCAAAATGATGCGCCGGCAGGTTTGCTCTCGTCAAGTAAACGCTGTAAATTGTCAAACAATAACTGTTTTCCAGGTTTAAATGCAGTCCATTTCCCCGACTATGTGTTTGAAAGGACGTACCGTGATCGACGACTACGTGTTTCTTTTTTCTAAAGTTTGCTTTACTTGTTTGTTACTACGGAAGTCATTTTATTCAACGATAGCTCACCCCAGGCCACACGTGGCGGAGCTCGGTCCTAACAACCGTGTTAACTGGGTCTTCATTACCAAACCAGTGCTGTCTGCTGCGATATATGACACCACATTCACCACACTCGAGGACGTACCTACAAAACAATGTAACGGACTCTGTTAAGGAAATGTTACACGGGGTGATTTGCAACGACAATTTTCAGTTCATCACAGCTTTGCAAACATTGTTGCGACAATGTTTCACTTCGTCACAACATTGTTCCAACGACGTTGCCCTAAGAATTGTCGTCGCAAATCGTCTCCTGTAACAATAGGGACCTTAGGGACGACGAGGACGACTAGTCGAGAACGAAATTTTCTCGATACTAAGTAGTGCGCGCGCGTGAACCAGTTTGCGGGAAAACGCGATAGCCGCCTTCATTCTAGTACGGGTTTTACGAGAATGTCATGGTGACGGGAACAAGCTATAAATTGATTCCGTAATGTTAGAAGTTAAAACATTATGCGACCGGGAGAGGGTGCAAAACAACAAAACAACAAAAAAGTTAAAAGAACCTGCAGGCCGGGGTATCCATTTTTTAGAAAATGCGAAAAAAAAGAAAAAAACTGTAAGTCAAATTTTCTTGTTGTACTCGTCTTCGTCTTCGAATCTGAAGGTCTCCGGCTATTACCTTTAATAAACAAGAGCGCTTTGAATAATGACCATGAAGAGTACCATATAGCATATACAAAAAATAAATGCTTTATGCTATAACATCAGTTGAATTTGAGTGGGCCAGGTACTTAATTTATACGCGCTACAAACTGACGCACTTTTGTGTACGAGGGACATCCGGATCTAGCAAAATGATAATAAGGTTGGGTAGTAAACGGTCAAAAATTAGGTTGAGTAAGAGGAGTCTAAGTTAGTAGTATCAAGAAGTGAGGTTCAGTGGAGATTATTTATGGTAAGAAAAGGTTCAATCTTACCCGGACCAGGCATATTTAGCGAAACCAAGCCATCCGGAGTCATTGGATGAACACATTTTAGGAATCACGACAACTTGCTTTCCTCTTTCATAACACATCTAAATGAACAAATAAATGAATGAATGAAAATGACTAAATAAAGAAATGAACAAACGGACGGATAGACGGAAGAACATTTGAGATCTTAAATCGATCTCATTTCTCTTTGCAGATAAATTTACTAGACTTTTAACCACCCACAAACCCCGTCCAATTTGCTTCTCATCTTATGTTTCAGGAAAGCGAGGACAAGCGCCACGCGAAGCGGGCGAGGGGTGCCAGACACGCGCGACGGAAGTGTCCCCCTTAAGTCACACGCGTCTGGTGCTCCACGCTCGCCCACTGCCACCTCGTGCTCGCCCTCGCTCGCCTGAAATCTGCAGCTGGTTACACCTGCACATCAACCAACTTAACAATTTGTGTAACTTACTCTACAGGTGAAGATCCTGTTGTCGTATTGAGCTTGATAATGACACTTGCCCTCACACTCATGCTCCACTGTTTCATCTTGCTCGTGATTCATACTCTTTTGACATCGTGCACTGAAACCATGGCAACCGAACAGATATCGGTATCAATTGAAAAGATTTTAATCTCAAATTTGTTGAAACGACGAAACTAATATCCTTTACAAATAGGTTGTCAACAGCATTTTTTTCACAAGGCAAAAAGAATCTTTTGTCGTTTCTGTTTACTGCAAAATTTGTTGTATTTGTATTTGCAAACTTTGAAGGAATTTTGGGTTTTTCTGTTCCGTCAATCATTTGAGTGGGGGCGGGTTAATTCAAATCACAATGCAACACGCTCGCCCAGCTTGGCCCACCAAAAAAAAAAAACTGACAATGACTCTAGAATGCTCAAGAATAGCGAAGGAAATCGCAATGGTGAGTGGAAGTTTTGTCGAGGGAAGGATGCACACATTACTTTATTCTTGCCAATTTCAAAGATCAGAAAAATCTTCGAAGCAAACCAGTCGATTATTGTCCGAAAAAGGACGATCACAAGCAACTGTAAAAAAGCTATAAATGAAACTCTTCAGCCAGCAGACAACCAAACAACTTTCAGCTAAGCTTCAAACGCCAAACTTTGTTTATTGACTCCTGAAGAAATTCTCCAATCTCTAAAGCATTGCTTTGTTTCTTATAGAAAGACCAAATTTCTCGATAGAAAGTTCTCTCTCATTCTACCCTTAATCCTAAACAACAGTGCTTGGAAAATCAAAATCCTTTATTGCACCAAAAGAAAAAGGGTTTACACATGCAGGCTATCTTTGCTGGATAATAGTGAGCTACTTACTTGCATGACAGACACGTAGCCTGGCAGGTGAAGTATGCATCAGGAAACATGTTGGGTATTGTTCTTTCAATGTTACCATTGAACTTTTCATTAAGGAGCTTAGAAGAAAACAGAAATTGAGAGATAACTCAAAAGTATCGGCCAATGCCTTGCTAATTATTACAGTCAAACCTTCCTTAAATGATCATCCAAAATGGTTGCTTTCTGATGGTGGGGGTGTGAGAGTCAAACTGCAGGAGACTTGTACAACGAGAATTAGTTTTCAAGACACATCTATTTTTTGGAGAAAATGTATTGAAATAGGTAAATCATGATTTGTTTCTCAAAGTTCTTCTCACACTCTGAGCAATGTACACTGTACTACATACAGCGAGTACAGACAACAGAGCATTGTCATGTCAGGTGGTTGCTTAGAAGAAGCTGAAAACAAAAAATTCTTAAACTGTCATCCTTAAAGTTGTTGCAGTGTCACTTGTGAGAGGTGGTCGTTAATACTGGAGGTTTCAAATATAGGGCGATGGAGAATATTATTTTGGTGTTTTGGATAAATGGTCGGTAATAGGAGGTGTATGTTGGTCACTAAGTAGAGTTGGACAGACATGGAAAATCTGCTTTATTAATAATGGTGGATTGCCAAGGTTAGTGGCTGTTGTGTCAGGTGTTACATTTACAGGTCTGGCTTGAAAGCCCTAGCCATGACATTTTACATATTCCTTACCAAAACAAGAATTATACATATAATTATTATACAATTACCATCAAGGCTTTGAAAATGACAGCAGGTGAGCGGGATGAGCGCACAGAGCTGTTGGCCAAACTCCCCTTCACAGCTTGAATAAGCTGTGTGAAGTCTGTTGGAGGTGATACGGTTCTTGTACCTAAATACTTAATGGAGCTGAAAGCATAAGGAACCCGACCAACATCTGCAAACCTTTCCTTTAAAATCTCGTCTGGGCTCTTAACGCTTCTTGTTTCTGAAAAAAAAATTAGTATTTTAATCAATCATTTATTTCTCCATGAGTTAGCCATAAGGAAAAGATGATTCAAAACAAAGAAGTGGAACGGGTGATGAAATTAAGTTTCAAGTAAAAATGTGGCATTTTAGTACAAAAACTAGTATTGCCAACTTATGACAAAACATGAGACTTCACCAGAAGTCTGAGTAGATGAGACCTCTGTTTAAACTCGGAGCCTTTGCAGGAAAAAATGTTCAAGACTCTGACTCTATGGAGACTTGTTGTTAATGCTTAGTTCCAAAATTTCAGGGTCAAATGCAAAATAAAATTCAACACCCTATGATTTTCTATTTGTCACCCCTATTTATAATCATGTATTTATTAAATTTCAAGAAAGAAAATATGATGTTAAAGTTCTACATATTTAACTTTTTTTTACCTGAAAGACTAGTCTCATTTTGTGACATTCCAAGCAAATGGGTATGCTGTGTCTCATGAAATATAATGACTGCCGGACCCAAACTGCACAGAGGAACATCCATGTGACATCTTTCTGAGGCATCCTTGAGCTCTTTTGTAAAATGCTTTAGATATGCATCCGATGCATCGCCGAGGAAAGTAAACATATCTGTATGAAGACGCTCAGCTCTTGTTCTGTAGATGATAATGTCTGATATTGCCAGAACTTTTAGCAAGAGTCTTGTTCGCTGATTTTGGTTCCCAGAGGCAGACACACCCAAAAGTCCCTCTGTATCTAAGATGATGGCATGATTGACATTATCATAAGCAGCCCAAACACCAACTGTGCACGAAAGCTGTGACGACGAGGTCGCAAAGACTTCTTCACTGTTGAAGAAGGTGTGGTTGAGTGTGTGTGATTTTCCATCTCCAGTGTTTCCAAATATGGAAACCACTTTCATGTTTGTTTCTCCATGACATGAAAGCTTTGATATGAACTCATCCACAGTATGCACCTACAAGACATCAATATACAGTGTACCTGGTTGATCAGAGGGGTCCTTTCACATACTGAAAAGGAGACCATGTCACTGTTGACATTTTGCTATTATGATTACGATTTTCCTCGTTGCTGTCAAAGTTTCAAACCATCTTCATGTTGTTTCTCGTCATTTCATCTACCTTATGTTACTGTTTCAAGGGCATTTGGCTTGTCTGAATTTTTTCCCCGAAAGGGCCTCAATGATAACATACATGCAATATTGGGAAAACATTAGTTTGCTTCTTCTAAGGGCAGGTAGGAGGGGAAAGAGATATATCATAGCTAGGGGAGTGCATAACCCTATTTCAAAATGGTGGCAAAACAAATTAAGCTATTCCTAATTAAAATTGTACTCAAAACAATCTGGTCCTCAATACCTTATTTTTAAGGTAAAAGTTCTTTTGAATTCTGCAGAGCAAACATTGACAAAATTTTGAAGTTATTTGCAATATTCAGTAAGATGGCGTCAATAGTGCAGGCAATTGCCAGAAAAAGGTAGTAAGGGCAACCAAGAAGTCCTGGGAGAGAGATTGTGTTGGCTCAGCTGTTTTGGTAGAGCTGGAGAAAATGGCAGAAAATTTTGCTCATTTTACAACAACAAAAATACAGCTTGGTGTATGACAACTGCTATTTGTACATGTAAGTGAGTGCTAGACTACTAAAACATCTCTTCATATCCTAAATTTGCTGAGTAAGAGGCAAATGAGGATGGGAACTCAACATTGAACAAAGTAAGCATGTTTTTAAAGTAATAATTATTTAAAGTAAATAATAAAACACTAGATAACATTATTTCTAATATTACTTGTATTTCTTAGATTTGGCTTTTGTATGATGTTAAGATCCGAAGCAGATCAACAGATAACACCTTCCCAGATTTGCATAATCCAGATCATACTTAGTCTCATTTAATATTTAATTTGCTAATTATTATAAAACTCTAACATGGTTCTTTTAATTTAGAAAGGCACATCTCCAAGACAGCAAGTTAAAACTGGTCTCAAAAGAGTACTCGATCACGACTTTTGTACTCAACCTTTTAAGGCATGATGACTTCTCCTAACCTCCCATCAAAAACACGTACGAATAATCTAATTTTAGCTTATCTTTCCGTGGGCGTTGAAAGTACAGCAAACTGTTCCCAGAAAAGCTACGCGAGTGTAAGTCGTTTTAACATATATACATTTGAAAGGAGATTTTTTTCTACTTCTATTATGCGACTAAGTTTTCCCTGCCCATTCACACCTAAGTAAATCTAAATAAAATTCATGTAAACGTCAATACCTGCAGATTTTCCTTTTCATCCAGCAAGAGAAAGCTTCTTTCACTGCCAGCTGTATTGCTCGACTTCTCTAAAGCTGATGCTGAAAAATTTGATTTAGATCCTTCTGGGATGGGTTTGGTTTCCTATAACAGTGAAACAAGCAGTTCAGACGGATCAGACTCACTAGATAACGAGTTTAGCTGTGACTCGAAGATGAATATTGTAATGATGCAATAAAAACTTTAAACCAACGATATGCTGTATATTACCTTGAATTTACTGCTTCTTGACGCCTTCGAAGTGGACGATTTTTTTCCTTTCTGGTTTACTAGTACATCCTCATTGGCAAAATCACCATCAGGTAACGTAGCAGCCATATTTTCTGTGACTTTCATGAGGGTATAAGATCTCGCAAATCTTCGTAAATGCGACTTCGTATAAAATGCTGAGTCCAAAAAAAGTGGACTCGGAACGACAACAGACTGAGTAACCAAGCCTCACTAATTATCCCCAAATGCATTTTGGGAAGTAAAAGCTTCTTCTCCATGTTCTCAACCAGGAGCGAAAAATGGGTAAAACTTCGAAGGAAGGCAGTGATTCTAAGCGGAAAAGAAAGCGAGTAGCGGTAGAATCGAGTAGTGACGATGATGAGAGCGAGCAAGACTTCGAAGAGGTGACTAAAAAGTTACTGCATCTCAAGTTGGACGGGTTTTTTTTAGAGTGACGCTCACTGTGGAATTGTTGTTCTGTTGTTGTTGACAGGAGCTGAAATCCCTCGCAAAGCGTTCGAGACAAGCTCAAGAGAATTCCAAGCCACAAAAATCAGGAGATTCCGACAGTGATTTAGACTCTTCAGAGGGAAGCGATGACGAGGTAATGAATTGAAGGAATGGTTAAAATTGTTTGGATGTGGGCTTGGATAGAAGAACCCGAGTAAAAGGCATGTAATGTAATTGCCCGCGTTTAAATCACAGACACCTCCCACCCCCATTCGACTTAAGCTTTTTAGTAACTTGATTAGCCAGTTATATGTGATGGAATGAGCAGCAGTTCAAATAATTGTATCCGTTTATTTACATACATTTATAACTAACATTTGTCATTAAAGTTTAACGCAGCACATGTGTGTGCAGACTAGGATGAAAAATCACATGCATACGTGAGGTATACAACTCCAGAGCACCCTTAGTCTTAGAGCCTTAGTCCTTTATTAATAAAATAAATGGACATGCGTTTTAGTTCTCACTCCTGAAGTCCCACTGTACGACCTGTATTCAATAAGTCTATTTAAAGCAAGTGGTAGAATGTCTGCTTCTGCATCCTTGCAGCTCTGTATTTAACAAAAATCAGTCTATGGTTGTTTAGTCAACGAGTCATTCAACATGCAAAGAAAGTAGTGTCTGATAGCCTGGAGCTTGTGGATTTTGCTTCTGGGCTAGTGAATTCTGTTCTTAACTTGCACGACAGACAAGTGATTTTTTTTGAGGAATTCAAATTGAATAGGAACTGTGAAATCAATTCTGCTCGTCAAAAAGCTCTTGGGGCTAGTTGAAATGACCTTTGGGCTAGTAAATTCTAGCTTCAGCTTGCCTGAATGTCAAGCTGTAAAAATGATTTCCTTTGCACCCTGTCATTTCACTGTTTAGCATCCTGTTCGTTAGCATTTTAGGTTGTTTAGTTAGATCAGTTGGCAAATGATTTACAAGTAACCACAAAATATTATAGTTTCGATGCGCAGGGCGTTCCTGTTAGGAATACTTGGTGGTTTCTTCTTTTGAGCTGCCTGTGTCACTGACAGAATGAAAATCGTTTTGGAACGTTTCTTATAAAAATCATTTTCCTAACTTATAATACTGTTGGAAGTCAGTTCTTGGACTAAGAACCAAATTCGCTCTGTAAAGTAAGAATCTTAATCAAGAAGAGTAATGTTCTGCACAATATTTATCCATCCCACTTCCTAAATCTCTTGTTTGTTTGTGTGCATTAATTTTCTAAAACACGAATCCTCTCACTCGCTGTTAAAACACGACTTGCAAGTAAACAAGACTTTGGCACTTTTTCTGTTTTGCTTTGAGCTTTTCCCTTGAAATGAAGGACTTCATCTGATACTTTCTGGATTCTAAGTGATCTACTATGATCTCTGAACATTTTGATGACTACTGGACTGTAGGGCAGCTTATAAATATGTATTCAAGGTGGCTGGGTATTCTGATGGTACAATGTATTTTTCTTATCTGAATGTATTACAGTCATATAAGCAAGTACATGTGACGAAAAAACATGTTCTAATTGGGAGCAAACGTGACATGTTTTGGTGCCAAACATTCGAAGTTTGGAGGAGGTAGCTGTTGTTGACTTGATTTGTTTTTGCTCAACAAAACATTCTTTGCAAGAATTTTTAGACGTGAAGAATAATTTCTGGAGGCAAGTGTGCTGTTTCTGAGCAAGAAATATGCGGCCCTCAGAGTTGAGAAAAATGAAATGTGAGTGGAACACGCTGGTCAAAAATAAAATAAACAACTTACCGTTGGTGCGACAGTTTGCTTTAATGGCTGTCAAACTTCAAATGTTTGGCTGCAAAACACGTCATGTGGCAACCCTATTAGAACATGTTTTTTTTGTCTCGTGTCCATGCTTAGATGCAAGTGACGGTATTGCTGTTTGCGGATTTCAACATATTTTCTTAGGTGTTGTACAATGTATGTTTTTTCTCTTAGTGGACAATGGATTCTGAAAATGGTAAAGGAAAAGGGAAAGCTAAAGCAAAGGAAAAGGTGAAGAAAGGAGGCAAGAAAGCTGCTTCATCCTCAGCATCTTCTTCAGAAGAAAGTGGTGAAACTTCATCTGGTGGTGAGACATTCCTTTTTATTCAGGACAAGTTAATACATAAGTTCTTCAGACAAAGTCAGTTTTTCGCTTTCAGCCATCTTTCTCAAAACCAGTTACGTTGTCAGTAGGTCAGCGTGCAAAGAAAGTAGTGTCCGATAGCCCAAGGCTAGTGGATTTTACTATCAGGCTAGTGAATTCTGTTTTTAACTTGCCTGATGGGCAAGGGATGTTTTTTGAGGAATTCGAATAAAAGAAGAACTGTAAAATTCTGCTAGTCAAAACGTTTTTGGGGCTAGTTGAATTGACATCTGGGCTAGTAAATGATAGCTTCAGCTGGCCCGAATGCCAAGCTCTAAAAATGATTTTCTTCGCACCCAGGTAGGTGGTAATTACAACAACATTCAAGCTTCGTTTTGCATCTAGGTAATCCCACCTCAACTACACCATGGGGGAGGGGGCTGTAGGTAGAGAGACTTTGCATTTTGTAGATGTGGAGGACCACTGTAGTGTACCAATGTGACTGTAATGGGTTCAGCTCTGTGTCTGGTTATACCTTCATTTAATACTTTTGTATCCTTACAGCAACCCAAGTCAAGTGTACCCCCCAAGATTACATTAATGAATTTATTATTTGAAAGTTGAATCCGTTGGTAGCTGTAGATTTCAGATTCATTTCTGCATTCTTGCATGCATAAAGAGCTGTGAATTCACACACGATTCAGTTATGAAATTTCTACCAGCTAAGTTTTCCTGAACTTGATGTAAGTGTCTTCTATGAAATTTAACCCATTTAAAGATTTTCAATGTGACCAAATACAGAGAAGTTCTCGTAAAATATTCGCTGCTCAGTGCGCGTGCAGGAATGCCGATATGAATTTAACACTAGTTACCGGAACGACTAACAGATTCATTTTTTAAATGGTCAATTCATTAACAGAATCTTGGAGGGTACGCTTGACCTGCCTCGACTGTAATGGTGTGGGTTTTTTTTTAATTCAAATAAACAGAGTCATCATCATCATCATCATCATCAGAAGATGAAGAGGATGAACAGTACCATGATGGGTGGGATGATAATCTCATGGGAGATGAAGCAGATAGGGAGAGACTCGAAAAAATGACTGAGAAAGAACGTGAGCAGGAATTATTTAACCGTGTTGAAAAAAGAGAGGCCCTCAAGACAAGATTTGAAATTGAAAGGAAGTTGAGGCTTGCCAAGAAAAAAGAAAAGAAGAAGAAACGCGAGAAAGAAAAGGCAAATCTTGAAAAAGAAGGTATTGCTTTAAGGAAAAAGGAGCGCAAGAGACATATTGAAGAAAAGAAAGCCAAGGCATTGGATGATTTAAAGGCTAAACGATCTGAGAAAAAGGAGAAGAAAGCAGCAGAAACTGTTGCAGAACCGAAGGAGCCACAGCTAAAGGCCAGTGACGTGTTTACTGATGATGAAGATGAAGATGAGCAAGAGGAAAGCAAATCAAGTTCAGGAGAAGGATCTTACAGAGAATCTGAAGATGAGTAAGTAATACTCTAATTAGATATTTCTACAATGCTTTTGTCAAATTGTCTCTGTTTATAGGGGAGTTAAATTTTGGCTCACTGAAAACAGAAGGCCAGCTGTTGCTTTCATTTTTTTTTTTCAGGTTAAAGGGAAATGTACATCTGCATGTAATACCCTTTAACTGTCAAACTCAGAAAGCCATAAACACATTCATGTAAAATACCCTTGTTTTTGCCCTTTGCTTTGATTGTTTTTATTATGTTTTAGACAAGTTGAAGACGAGCCTCTTAGAGTTAGTACAATTGATGATCTTGAAAGAATAAGAATTTCAAGACACAAGCTGGAAAGGTCAGTAATGAGTCACAAGCCAAGGTGGATTTGCTTATTGAACAGAAAAGTTTCCTTTCTCAATAGATGATTTACATCTGAGGATTCAGAGCTGTTCTTGCATTTACTTCTAATCATTTTTAATGAAAACATATAATATATTTTTTGTAAATTTTTCTTTTTTTATTAGGTGGGTGCACATGCCATTCTTTGGCAAGATCATTGCTGGATGTTTTGTCCGTGTTGGAATTGGAAACCATGATGGAAGACCAGTATACCGGGTAAAAGATTCTTTGAATCTCAGATAGTTTATCAACAAGCATTACCATGCCCATTCCTCAAGCCATGCAATTTTTTCAGCTGTCGGTTTAATGATCTTGATGAGTACGTACCATGAATTTTTGCTGATTAACCTGACTCATACTTTACAAGATACTTAGTTCATAAGGGGTTTTGGTTGGGCTATGTGGGGAGGGGGCTGCCCAAGAAGTGCTCCAAGTCACCCGATGAAACGTAAATGTCTGTTTCTCACAAATTTATCTAATGTCTATTAAGTTGTAGCTTTGAATCCTTGCGCCAAAATGCTGAACAATTTATTTGAAGTCATGATTTGATCAATGCAATGAAAATTATTTACTGCTCTTCATTTACAAGAAGTTGAACACACAAGTGAATTGAAGGCATACATAATCTGTTAGTTTGCCAGAAGTATTGTTACTCTGTTTATTAACCCTTTAGGTCCCAATAGTGACCAAGATCAATTTTCTCCTAACAATATCCATACATTGTCAACGGATAAGTTATGAGAATTTAAAAAATGATCACCTAAGTAAAAATGCCTTGATCTTTTAACAAATTCTCTTAACTCATTCTTTAAGGAAATGTATAGAGATCAGTTTGGAGAATTTGTATGTAGATACTGGGGCTTAAAGAGTTAACTACATGTACATGTATGACATTTGTATGTACTGTTTCCAGGTTGCGGAGATAAGAGATGTAGTGGAAACAGCAAAAGTTTACACTTTAGGGAATACCAAAACAAACAAGGGATTAAAACTAAGGTAAGGTCTTCAGCGAAGCTTTTATTACTTTATGAATTATATATTATTAAGTACATATGCAACTTTAGCTAATTCTATACAGTGTGATTATACTAGAAATTAAGTGGTTGGTTTGATCTTCACAAATGTGCTGCCCCACATTTTCTAGGAGACTCACAAAAAATTGCCACCTTGGGCTATTGACATTAATGTATACTTTTTTTTGATTGATGCTTCCCTCTGTAAAAGACTTTATAAGAATTTTAAATTTATTATTTTATAACATTTTTAATAGTTTGCAAAATGGATTTATTTTATTTTTATCTCTCCTTCTTTTAGACATGGTAATCAGGAAAGAGTGTTCAGACTTGAATTTGTGTCAAACCAAAGATTTACTGATTCAGAATTTGCCCGATGGAAGGAAGAGGTAGATAATAATACTACTTCCACCTCCCAACACCACCCCCCCTCCCCTGCAAACAGACGCTGTGTTCTACCCATAAATTATCAATCACTGTTAGTTGTTGTCAGTCAACATGATGCAAGATGACTGATAAAGTGTGACCGTGATTAATAACTAATAAGCTAATGGAACTGTGTGAAGTCTTTTGAAAGGACTACGGATAGATTTTTTGACTAGATTTATAGGAGAAAAGAACCCACTGATTTACAAGCTCTGTACTATTACAGTGCAGTTGATGATGTTAAATTGTCAAGATGTTTTGACTGTCCATTTACAATATTTATTATTGCTTACTTAATTAACACCTGCTTCTCGGCTACTAGTGGCTGATCAGATTCAAGAATTTTGTTGTAGCTTTGATTTAAGGGTAAATTATATGGCTATAAATACCACTAGGAAATTTTAATTTGATCATACGAACAAAGCTGTCATCAAGGCTCAGTTCAAAATGTCAAACTTTTCATGTACCGAACCTTATCCCTCTAGTTAAGTACTAGAAAAGAACACTGTTTAGATCAGTAATGATCTTAACATTGTTCTTTTCTAAACATTAGACATGTCTGACCAATTATTGGTCAGACATGTCTAATTAATTTTGTGTCGACCCATGAATTAAGATTGAGGCACCCACATGAGAACTTCAACTGGAGCAACTTCATTTCAAACCTCAAACTTCTCATGTGCTGAACCTGATACATAAGTTAGTACAATTATAATTTATTTTCACTGGTAAGCATTATACATGTAGACTTGTACATGTAGATCATTGTACGTCATGGAAATGAATTGAGTCCAACTTATTGAGTTTGACATATGGATCAACTGTCAAACTTTTCTCATTTGGGTCGACCTCAATAGGTATTTAGTTGGATACATGAGAATTTTAGCCTAAGGGCTGTAACCTGTAACCATTGTTATAGTTGAGCTCACTTGATGTTACAGGTGATCAAAGTAGAAAGCTAAAGATAAAACAAGTTTTTAGGCTGTGAGATGTTACGGGTGAGGGACTGTATCAAAACTTGATGACAGCCCTGATCAGCACTGAAAGTTCATAAAATTAATTACTGTAGAACCTCGATAACTGGAAATTGGATAAGTCGAATTCCCCTCTAACTCGAACTAAATTTCCTTTCCCTTGATCACAGTTTCATTGAAATTTACCCCGATAACTTGAATTCCCCGCTAACTCGAACCATTTTTTGTTTCCCTTCTGAGTTTGAGTTACCAGGGTTCTGCTGTATTCTCTTAAATTTTTTCCTAAAACCAAAACATTTACCAAAAATTTTTTTAGTGCGAGGCTCATGATATTCCTATACCAACCCTGGATGAAGTGGATAACAAAGCCAAACAGTTTAATGAAGCGAGATATTATTCTTACAAAGAGGACGATATTGATAAGGTAAGTGAATAGGTCGACCTGCACTGATTCCAAACAAGGTTTGTGATTGGTGACATAACAATGCTCCTATCCCTGGAAACAATAGGTAGTGCAGGTTATAGGGACCAATGAAATAAGAGGTTTGGAAGGGTGTTGGTCAATAGAGGTGAACTGGTCTTAGTGTCTCAGGTTTGTTTGTCAGTTATCACATTAATAAAGAAATTACTACACTGACAGTAATTTTCATTTTGGTACAAAAAAATTACATAATTGGAGTTGTTTTAACTCCCATTTTAAATCTGGGCTTAAGATCACTCTTGAGGTGCATATGATATGCTTTTAAATTACCATTTTGACTCTAACACAAAGGAAATTAAGTAATTTCGTTTCTATGGCTAACTTATGTTAAAACCCACGAGTAAGAACGTGCATTTTCCTAAGTTAGTCTAAACATGTTCTTACATAAATGGTAATGAGCACATATTTCGGCTGTTGATTTTAGGTTCTTATTTTCTGAAGAAAAAATACATTGTAGCTAAGAGCATTTAGTGGTGGAGAATAATCATTCAGCTGCTTCCTTATATAAAATCTCAATGCTAAATTGTTTTTGCAGTTAGAGTGATAAGGTAACTATGTCTCCAAAGGTGATTCTGAATGTTGACTCATCGTTTAAAGGTTATTTACCTAAAGCGCTCTTTGTTTTATGCCATAATTAACTATCATTTAAGACCGGTGAACTGAAAAATGTCGAGAAGTTGGTGAAGCAAAGATTTCAAGCCTTTTTAAAAGTCTTGTTAGAATAGACTGGGAATGTGCATTTTTGTACAATCTGTGAGGTTATATTCCTGGTAGGTGGTCTTTGAAAATCGAATGTGGACCCTGAAAAGTTCTTGAAAAGTCCTTGAAAAATGGTTCCAATTTTCCGTATGAGCCCCGGATTTACCCTCTCCCTGGTTATTTAATTTTTCTAGATTGTAGCCGAGAAGCAGAAGTTTCGAAAAACACCCTACAACTATGCTCAGAAGAAAAATCACTTAATGCGATCAAAGGTTTGTGTCTACAACTTACTAGTAGGGAGTTTAAAGCAAAGACGTTTTTAAAGGGATGCACGTCAACCGGAAGTGAGCCTTTCTCCCTTTTTATATGCCTTGACGCTAACAAATTTGTATCGCTAAGTTTCTTTTCTCTTATAAAGACGATTAACCCGAGAGTTTCAAACAAACCACTGCCCAGTGACGCAAAAAGTCCACTTCCGGTTGACGTCCATGGCTCAAAAAAGCTGTTGCTTAAACATTTCGATGCGTTTAGGCCCTCTGTGCACACTAATACGCTGAGCGTTTTCATCGAAAACGCACTGATTTGAAAACGCTCTTAAAAGTGGATCAAACTCTAAGACGCATCGTAGACGCTTGTGTGGACGGTTTACGGTCATCTCGCTAGCCTGAGTATCAGGCCTTCCTAAGGGGCTAGGGGAGAGGAGATTTTAGATGGGGGAGGGGGGAGAGGGAGAAGAGAAAGGAAGTCAGGCGTTTCTCTCCTTCAGCCCTCTCCCTTTCTCGCTTCCATCTTTCCTCTTTTCTCCCAGAAACCCCTGATACTCAGGCTATCATCTCAGGGTTGTCATTAAGAGCCGGGAGCCGGGGATTTTCCCCGGCTACTAAGAGAGTAGCCCCCGGCTACTTTTATTGGAAAATAGAAGAAAAATAGAACCAAAAGAAATCCCCAGCCGTTTGATTCCCCGCCTACTTGTTGTATTTACCCGGCAACTTGAAATCTTAGTGACAACCCTGATCATCTGGCCACCAGGAAGCCTAGCCGCCGCCGCGAGGTGACCGGATACCGTGTGGACCAGGAGGGTGAGGACGGTCGAAAACGCATCAAAATAAAAACTATGACCGAAAATATCGCAGGCGCGTGTGTTTTAGCATGCGCAGAGAGTTCAACTTACGTCCCAACGTGCAATTCTATCGTTTTCAAACGTTTTTTGGCGCCTCAAAACGGTAGTGTAGACGCGAATTGATGGTTTTCAGTGACAACGAAAACGCATACTTTTGAAACCGCATTAGTTTGGACAGGGCCTAAAACTAGACTCGATTATTAGCCGCTATTCAGGAAATGAACAGCACTCGGGGAGGAACAAGACCGGCGCCGAGATAGGGGTAGAAATCAAGCCGGTCTAAAGCTTGAAATCTATGATATACGTTGTACCCCCCTCCCTCCCCACCCCAAGAGCGGACCCGAGATAGCGGTGGAAATCGAGACCAAACATTATAGCCCCACTCTCTCGGCCCCACCTCGCCCCCCCAAAAAAAAAATAGATTTTGGCATTATAGAAAAGTTGTAAATTAAGGTCTTAATTCTTGAACTCTTTTGACATTTGGAGGGAGTTGGGCATCGTATTTTCAGCATTCAAAAGTTCCCGCATGTTTTTTTTTTTTGCTCTTAGTAAAATGCAAAACCTTATTGGAACAATTTCATTATTATTATTATTATTATTATTATTATTATTATTATTATTATTATTATTGTTATGAAGGAAATAGCGGAGCAAACGGGAAACAGAGAAGAAGCAGAAAAACTACGCAGTGAACTTGAAGAATTAGAAGAGAAAGCCTCGCACCTCGACAAAGTGCGATCCAAAAATCTCAGCGCAATCAGGTATGGAATGTTAGAGATACCTTTATGAGTTGTTTACTTGTCGAGTCCTTGTTTGACGTTTGGGTCGTGCTGTTTGTAATGTTCAATTGCATTGAATTTAAATTTAAATACTCAGTTATCTTCTTCCCTTATGGGGCTTCTCTAAAAGTAACTCAAATGGAACGTAACATGGTTAAGAATTCCAACTGGTTGGAGGCTAACTAGTTGGCTATTTTAGAACTTAGCGAATCCTGTGTAGCAGGCGCTTGGAAGTAGTGGGCGAAAGAGAGAACGGGCGCGCGCGAGGGAGACATGCGTGTCTCCTTCTCGTGCGCCCTTTTTTCCTTGTGCCTACTACTTCCAAGCGCCTGCTTCGCAGGCTAAACTTAGCGTGGCTGAACAAATCCAGCTAGCTGTGAAGGCGGGACTTGAACTCGGGGCCTCTGGAATATAAGTTCAGCGCTCTAACCGCTCGCCTGCGTTGCCTCCACTCGTTTGCTCTGCTTTTCTACTCCAAATTAATGCTTGATTTCCTTTTTTTTGTTTGCAGTTACATCAACGAGCGAAATAGGAAAAGAAACATCGTGGAAGCCGAGAAAGCAGCAGCAGTATGTGCTTCATGTGTTGTTTACTGAACTAAATTTGTCTAATTTTAGCCACATGTTTGGGTTATACAGTGGAACCCCGATATGACGAAGGGTCAAAATTTGTTCGCTAAAACGAGGTTCCGTTTTATCGAGGTTCTTTTCCATATGTTTTACTGTTACTGGGGTATAAAATATCGTTCGTTACACCGAGGACATCGTTATACAGAGGTTTGTTAAATGGAGGTTTCGCAGTTTATCAACGACGCTAATTTCCGACGACGAATTAAGAACGAGTCTGCGCAAAGAGAGCATGAAAAGAAAGTCGTGTCCGATAACCCGGGATTTGTGGATTTTGGTATCGGGTTAGTGAATCCTATTCCTTACTGGGCAAATGAAATTATGGGGGGAATTCAAATTACAGAAGAACTGTTAGCAGACTTTCTTTGTATCTTGAAATACCTCGTCTGCAATGCACGTTTAGGTTAAAGAGACCAATGCTTGCCGTAAAAGCCTTTGTACAGCGCCTTTCCCTCAGAATTTGTCTGTAGGGGTTTGGCTCTATACTGGCTAGCTGTATGAATTGTTTTGACGAACCAAAAGGGACGAAAATGGTGCAACTGTAAATATCTGGCTCACTGTTTTTCTTTTTGTACTCGAATAAACGTCCCTCGAAGCAGCCATAACATTTATTTTTGACCGAAAAGAGTTCTACCGTCGAACGTGAAGTTAAAACACACAGTTTATTTATGCATTCAATGGCAGTAGTAGTAGTCGTAGCAAGGAGTCCGACATTGTTAAGAGTTTTGTGACAAAATATCTGAGTTACATCAGAGTTTTCCTACGAAACCTCGCAAGTTCCTTTGCTTTACGAATTGTCCTTTATCGGGTTAAGTTGAAAGCATGTTTCTTTACTTATCGCTGTTTGTTTGTTTGTTTTTGATAGGAAGAGATGAATGTGGAAGAAAAAGACAACCCATTCACAAGAAGGAAAACACTGCCTCAGCTTGTGTCCATGGTAAGAAGGAACACCATTTTAGACAGCTGGCAGTAGTTCAAGCTCGCGAATACAGCCGTCTACCGTAAAAACCCGCTATTAAGAACCCGCATTTTCCCAAGTTAGCCTAAACAGGTTGTTAGATAAATGGTAATTAGCACAGATTTAGACTATTTAGGTTCTTAAATAGGTTTTTATTTTCTAAGGAAAAAAGTACATTGTAGCTAAGAGTATTTAGTTTTATTCAGCTCATTCCTTACGCAAAACCATTACAAAAAACCATTACAATTGCAATTGGAGTGATAAGGCACCTATGTTTCCGAAGAGGATCCTGAATGTTGACTTATCTTATTTGCCCAAGTGTACAGATTTTTTATTATTTTCGAAAATAAGAACCTGTTTCAAATTTTAGGCTAAACAGGTTCTTGTATAGAGGGGGCCTAACTGGCAAATTATAGCCTAACAGGTTCTTAAAATCCCGGTTCTTAGTCGCGGGCAGGACGCAGGTTTTTATTGTATCTTCTCCTCGCTCCTCGCTGCTAGGGAGCGAGAAGAGACGACTGTATCAGCGGGCCACAACAGCTCATGTCTCTGCTCAATTGATCTCTCTACTAAGTTGTTCTATTTTTAGGCGCTGCAGCATTCATGCCATGCTTTTTGTCTTGTTAATAGGCGAAACCTGCTTCGAGCCCTGTGACCAGAGTGGAGAACGAAGACAAAATCGAAGAGAATGCTATCCCTTTTCCTGAACCAACCAGAACAGACGAGGTACATTTGATTTTTGTTAGCTGTATGAACACTCATCACAGTCTACCCGTAACAAACCAAACAAAAAAAACTCATCCGATTATAAGCCCCCGGATATAGGCCCCTTCTAACTTGTATTGAAATGAATTCTATTTATTATGCATGACGTTTTGGAGCTTAATTAAAAACCAGTGAATGCAATTTTACACTGTACCACTAGATGACACCCGAAAGCTGTGTAGGGAGCGCAAACCAAGAATGGAGAGCTTAAGCAATGAGAATATTTGTACACCTCTTAGTACGCGATAAAAAGAAGTTTCTAACTTGGTCATTTGTTTGTTTTAGGCCTCTACGTCAAGTCAAGCAACAGAGCCCACAGTAAGTGATGTCGCGGTGTTTGTGCGCTGTATGCAACTAAGCGTCCAAAGAAAGAAATTATTATGGCCAATCACAGCCTCCGCAGACAGTGCAATGACCCAATCAGGGCTCGCAGCTAATACCTAACCTGCGTCGAGCGCGCGAAACGCCTTTAATACGAGAAAGTTTACGAAGGAGTTTAAATAGGACTCGATTAACTTGAGTAAACGAGCACCCGGGAGTCTACTGGACAAAGTTTTGTACTGGTAGGCTCTGCCCCGATGCCCAACCCCTTACCCTTTTATATACCATTTTTACAGAAAAGATACCCCTTATCTTCCATGTAAAAATGGGTACCCAGTGTTCGAAAAAACGTGAATTCTAGGTTGTCGTTTGGGCAAGCAGTTCTCACCTCACAGCCACTTCTTGCTTGTCTTTGTTAATGATTAAGTGAGAGGATGACTTGCCTGGACCCTGGTAAACTGTAAAAGCTACTTACCCGGCAGGAAAATCTACTAGTCCCAGACTACTGCACGGGACCTTTTTTTGAGCCTTGGACCCCCCTATCAAAGACCGTAAAATTCCGAAAATAAGCCTCGGGGCTTATATTCGGAGGGGCTTATTTACGGAGGGAAATTTGCGTTTCAGAATTGGGCTAGCCTTATAGTTGAAAGTAAATTTACCGTTTTTGCTTTGTTTTACGTTGTATTTGAGGGCGATTTTCCAAGTACAAGCCCCCAGGGGGCTTATATTTGGAGGGGCGATTTAACGGAGGACGTTACCCATTTGGGGAGCTTACACATGGAGGGGCTTATTTTCGGAATTTCACGGTACCTCCTTAAGAACACTGCGTTCCTTTCTATACACTTGAAGTACAATCAATGAACGATGATATTGGACTAGGAGAACACAAGAAATTACCCATGGTGAGCGTCCGTTCGCAATATTTCGATGGAAGGCCTTTTGAAATACCCAAATGACAGATTTCCCTACCCTTTCATGTATTTGAAATCCGTACGCTTTTATATATCTGGAGCCTGTAAGTGGTACCCCTTTCGGGCGGAGCCTCCCCGTATAGGAGCACACCCCTTTCCCGGAACGAGCTCATTACGCGAGTGCGAGCAAATTGTTCGCGCGAGCGCAGGTCACACTAGATAAGATCTTCAGACTTGTCAAGACTGCTAAGCAGTTTTTAAGCGTATTTAGTGCGATCTTGAGGATTGGATAGAGTGTTTTAGCTATCACTTTAAATCTCCCGTTGTTCATGGAATCACCACAATATTCTCCACAGTCTCCGGGTGTAGAAGCACTGTTGACCGCGCCCTTGGGCAGCCAGGCAGCAGCCGCTCTTGAAAGAAAGCCATCACAGTCAGAAGATCTCTTTTCAGCTCATAATTTCGACATCACTATTAACCTCGACATTCCTGCCCCGGGAACAGGTAACATGCTGCCTCAATTCAATTAAATGTCTAACGTCTTATTAAGTTTAGGATGTTATTCTTTCATTGCGTTGCGACTCCGCAAATTTCCCTTTTAACACGTTCGCTGCCATTCTTAAGACACTTGGAAAATTTTTGACCTGTTATTTAGAGTGTTTCTAATACAAAGAGAGACGATTGCAACCCAGGGTCGAGCCAGGACCTCGAACCTAGACCGTTAGTATCTTAATCTCTCCCTTACCACTACACTATCACACCGACCCGTCAAAATTCTGAAAAGTTTACATAAAAAAGTACCTAAACTAGCAAACTGTCTTTCTTAACTGATACATCAATAACAGGTGACCATAGCCCTTTCCATAACTTTTAACGTAAATTCAACTAGGGCTTCAAAAACGGCAAAGTTCGCGGGTATCGTAACCGTCGCTTTAGCGAAAAGTGCTACAGTTTCCTCATGATTGAGTCTTCTGTCAACAGAATCTCGTCCAGCGGTAGCTACTCCTCGACCTGTGAACACAGAGAGGGACGGAGCGCCAAGACGATCTCTAAACCTTGAAGATTACAAGAAACGGAGAGGGTTGATTTGAGTTAACAACCTCGGCTGGGTGCAATTAATTCATGCAACAGCCTATCTCGTTTGCGACATGTTCAGTGCAAGGTGGATCGCATATAGAAAAATGACCTTGTCTCGGCTCGCAGCCAAGACCAGTGAAGTTGTCAATATTTTTTACACAGCGAGCTCCTTTTAAGCAAGGAGCTGAGTGTTCAAATTAAGGAGTGAAGCTTTCGTGAATTTTCCCATTAATGAGGAAGAAATTTCGATTACGCCGTGAACTGGCGTTGTAGAGAAACATTCAACAATGATTTTTGACCGTGTTTTATTTGCTCATCTTTTAATGGACCGTTTTGTTTGTAATACTCTCAGCCACGTTGTACAGCGCAATAAACATAGATTACAAGAAAGTACTGTTTTATAGCCTTCATTTCTTTATAGTCAGAACCACTTTGGGTGCGTCCGATTGGGAAATCTGGATTTAGATTTTAAAATCCGGATTTCGGATTTGTAATCGAACGCGAAATCCGAAAACGGAGTTCAACGCTGAAACATTTGTTTTTACCGTTCGATTGGGAAATCCGAAAAAGGATTTGAAAAACTGTCCTTAGGAACAGCGGTCTTGCATGCACACGCATAATTAGTAAAAAGAAGACCGCTGTTCACGAGAACAGTTTTTCAAATCCTTTTTCGGATTTCCCAATCGAACGACAAAAAGGGAAGTCCAAAAAATCCGGATTTGGATTTCTTAATTGAAATCCACCCTGAGGACGGATTTCCCGGAGGTGAAATCCGTTTTCGGATTTCGCGTTCGATTGGGAAATCCGGATTTAGATTTTGAAAATCTAAATCCGGATTTCCCAATCGAACGCACCCTTTGTCTGGCTTAAGGGGAAAAAGGAAACAAAAGAGCTATCCCCCCCCCTTACCTACCAGCCAAAATAATGATAATGATAATGATAAACGCGTAGCGTTGGTCGGTCACTTGAGTGCATTTTTAGGTTGGACTCATTCGTAATATGCCCGTTTAGCCGGCTATGCGCGTATGCTGAAATAAATTCACCCGTAGAAAAATGGCAATGTCAAAGTTTTCTCTCATGATTAGGCAAGCGTTCTGGAGATAAGACTGTTTTTAATCTAAAGTGATCTTGCATTGTAAAGGTTGGTGTCTCATAGTCCTCCGCATCCTGATGTAAGAATCAGAGAGGAAACGTATCTTTCCTTGTAGTGTCAGTGTAACTATGAAGTGATTAAAGTACCAGGAAAGAAGCCGTTTAATCTGATTTTTGGCTTCTGACTTAGACAAGCAGAGACGAAGCAACGTCAAATACGAACGAGAAAGCGCGCAGGAAGGACTGAATCCACTTCGCCGGGTGCTCAATTTGCCACTCCGCCATTTTAGGCATTTTACTGATGAACAGTTACGACATATAGATATAGAGATACTTCTAGCAACAACATTTTGCCGTCTGTCCCCTGGCCTTTGAAATGGTCGAGGAGTGAGTTACTAGGTATGTCTGCGCGCAAACTCGTTCCTACAGCCCTCCCACTCGTCCCCGAAGCGAAAGAGAGGGGACGAGTAAGAGAATACCCTCTGGGAACAAGATTGATGCGCTCGTTGTCGCCCGTCGCATTGTCACGAAACAGCTGCCAAATATGCCAAGTTTGCAGTAGGAGGAAACGAATTGCTGCTACTTCCAGGGGCATACCTGACTGTAAGCCAGTTAAGCACTGGCTTAAAAGAATTTTTGGAGGAAATTTTAGGCTCACAATTATTTTGACGAAGCCAGTGTCGACAGCAATTCCGGAACGATCATTTAGTTGTATGTGAAGGGTCAAGACGCACTTGCGCTCTACTATATTTTAAAATAGGAGCAGAGGGCTCCTCTGGGCTCGTGCTTCAACATGCGTACCTGCGATGCTCCAAGTCTTCGGCAAACCCTCGGGGACAAGAGCATCGACACAGAAAAGGTGGTGCGGAAGTTCTGCGCCAGGCCTCGGCCTTACATTTTAGAATGCCACGCTAACAGAGCTTTGTCTTTGCGTTCATCATGATATTGTATAGACGTAACGTTAAGGCCCAACTAAAGTTGCTTTACGCCCTGTAAAACCCGGCTCTTGCACCGGACGGATGTAAATTAATAAGCGTATATCAGCAACATTCTGGGAGCGGGCTTAAAGCTGGAAAATGCCCAGGAACGGTTGGAACTAAACCAAAGATGTGTTGCTTTTAGTGCCACCTGCTAACATGTTCACACAGTAGCACGCGGTACCTGTCGGTTTATGTTGCCGATTCCGGCTTATTAATAAGCAAAGTAAATATCCCAGCTGATTAATTTACATGAACAACACTTAAATCTACAAGCAGAGTGACTCATCGAATACCAAGTTTATTTTGCGGCTGTTACACTTTAAAAAAAGACGACGTTGATTTTATTGGAAGCAAAGCATGTCTTCAAACGGCTGCCACGTCGGGGATATACAGAAGGACATCAACCGAGTTAAACCCAACCAAACCTACTTGTTTGTGGATAGAAGCTTTCAAGAATCAATCATCGAATATTTCCAGTTTTTACGCAGAGAAGGGATTCTCAGCGATGTAACGCTGAGAATTGGAACTCACAAATTTCCTTGTCATCGTAACATTTTGGGAGTAGCTAGCCCTTATTTTCGCTCGCTTTTCATAGACAGTGAAAGTGGAAGGTTCATAAAACACGTCGAGCTACCACAAGAAATTCATCATTCAACAATGGAAGCTGTCTTGGAATATATGTACGGAGGGAAAATTTTCATAAATGCAAGTAACGCCATTGACATTTTCAAGGGCGCTTGTTTCTTTAAACTTCAAAGCTTGTTGGAGGAATGTTCTTACGTGCTGGTCAAGTTCCTAACTCCTGAGAATTGCCTCCAAGTAAGGGACGTTTCGTTAATTCATGGACAAGAAAAACTACATCAGCGATGTCAGAGATATTTGTGCGAAAACTTCCTACAGATTGCGAACTCAATGTCTTTTTTGGAACTTCACCAAGATGAGCTTGAGAAGATGTTGTCAAACAATGACATTTGCGTCGACAGTGAGCAACAGGTGATTATGTAATTAAGAAAGTACCTGTACTAGTCTAACAGCTATTATTAAAAACTAAATCAATGAATAATGCATTTCTAGCTAGAGCTCAGATTGGCTTAGCCATCATACCATGCTCTAGCTCCAAATATGGCAACTGTACGTGTCTGCTCAAAATTAAAAGAGTGAATAAGCTGAGAATCAGTTGTTTTTACAAATAACGCCGGGGTAGAATTCTCGATATTTTGTGGGCGTTTTTATCAAACAAATTTTTTAACTCGCGCTTGTAGGATATGAAATGATAATAGCCAGCTCGGCGCCACGCGCCTCGTTGGCTATCTAGCATCTTATATCCAACACGCACTCGTGGAATAATTCTTAATTAAACGATAGTAAGTTCTAACAGTAAGACCACTGGTTTATTTTTTCGCCCTATGCATAAGGGAGTCCAAGACAGTCCTGGATTCTAGATTCTACGCCCTGGATTCCGGATTCCAGGCACTGAATTCCAGTAATAATTAATTATTAAGCGTCTCATTATGGGAGCTCCTTTTGCCTTTTCAGTCCTCATCGGCACCCAGGGCACATTTGCCTTCTATATAGATATTTATATGTTAATGAAAATTTCTTTTAAATTCATAGAAAATTTCGCAGAAGGAGGATGGACGCGGTCTTTTCGGGCTCAACCCCTAAATACCTCCCATGGCTGTTTTTAGAAAGTCCGATGAAATGGTTCCAATTGTTCCATCCCAAAACACAGGCTCTCCTATGGAGGAACATCAGTTGACCAAGGGTCAGAAAGGTGTAATTCTGGGAACTTTAAACCCCGAAAAGAATGATAGTTGTTACGAATCTAGGATCTTTGTAAAACAATTATTTCATCCGTTGTAGGTATTCGACAACCTGGTGAGATGGACTGAATATGATCGCAAAGAGCGCGGGATCCACTTCTCCAAATCACTGCAACATGTTCGGCTGCCATTATTGTCCACCGGCATAATTATGGAGCATGTACAGCGACAGGAATTAGTCCATCGCTCGCCCACAGCAAAGGAAATGGTTCTGGAGGCCATGAGGTATAACACAGCGGAAGAAGAACAGAAACAATCCTTGAGTAGTCCAAGGACGGTGCCAAGAACATGTTCGACTTTAGTGCAAGTGATTCTGTTTGTTGGTGGTAAGGGCAAGACCCCTGATGAAGGGCGCATCACGTTTTGTTATCTTCCTGAAGAAGATCGTTGGTATACACTAGCACCTTTACGGTGAGAAAGAAAAAAAAGGGGTCTTTCTTGCTGCAGGTACCTTCATCACAAAAGAAAGAAAGGAACGAAACAATAGAGTTTTTCTGGGGGCTTTATTGTTTCGTTGTATAGTTTCTTTTGTTGTAAGTAATCTGTGCCTCGGTACCTACAAAGGAACCAACATATGCCTCTATGATTGATGACTGTCTGCTGTAACCATTCTCGTTAAATACCAATTTCCTTACTTATTAACTGGTGCGATGGGCGGCGACAAGAAAAGTCGAATGTTATTTATATGTTTACACTGGGTCTTGAACTCTGGTTAAGATAATGGAGGCGGATCCTGTTCGCGTTTAACTGCAAAACAGCCGACTCTCATCGCTCTTACCGAGGGACGTCCCGCAAAACTCGCGTCCGTAAAGGTGAGGAGCGAGGAGACACGGCTTTATTCGCAGGCTAGTTTGCCTTCAAAGCGGCAATAATTCGATCTGCGTGTCCATTTTTACGCCTCTATTTAAAGACTTCCTAACTAACCCCTTAATGAGGTACTCGTTAGTCCTCTGTTCAGATTTCCTTACTATCTGATCTCTCAATCCTACTCTTATTCATGTTTAACCTAATATATGTTAGCTCAATCTCACTTGAAAACTTTTGAAAAAAAACGGTCTTTCTAAAAACCAAAAAGTCTAACTTTTTTAAGGAATAGTCAAAACAGCCCGTATATTAACTTTAGTCAAGAATGCGCAAAAGATCATACGAACGGTCTGGGGCGAGAGGGGGAAACTGAGAGCAAGACTGAGGAGAACGCCCCATGTGGGTCAGTGAGGCTCGCCCCCTTTGCACGAGAATCCCACGCAGGTGCTTCGCGCTTTGAAAACCCGATTCGGGAGAAAAAGAAAAAAAACTGTTTTCCAGACAATATCAAGAATTTGTTTTCCTCATTGAATGTTACTTAATCCGTTTAGGAAAAATGTAGTGCTGTTAATGTATCCTAAACAATTTCCTCCACTTTTATAGAACGCAGTTGTGCGATCACTCTGTAGCCGTGGTTGATGGATCGGTTTATGCTAGTGCTGGGTCCGAGGAAGGCAAGGCCTCTCTTCTGTTTCAAGATCATGTGCAGTGCTTTAATCTGCAATCAAATATCTGGAGCCTTGTGGCCCCTGTTCAGGAAGCGAGGGCCAAAGCTGCCGCCGTTGAACATGATGGGCTGTTATATGTCTCTGGTAAGGGAGGATACCTGTAGATGAAATTCTGTAGGAATAGGCATGTGCCTAGGAGTTTAATCTATTCACCTCGTTTTAGCAGTTGACTAGAGTTTGAGATGGAAAGATAAGGAACAGATGACGTAAGAAAATCTTTACCCGGGTCTGAAATTGTTTCAAGGAAGTTTGAAGAAAGAATGTATGAAATTATATTAATTATTTTTCTCAGTGAAGGGAATAAAAAACAGGAAAGTGCCTGCTCCGCTAGTGGAAATTGCCTCGCTCATCTTGTTACAATTAGAGAGAACAATGTTAGGCGGAAGAGATGAAACAATGAAATTGTATTGAAAGAGGAGGGGAGCAGGGGTTCGATGGTCCATCGACTAACGAACTACAAAGGGTTGGCATTTGGAGAGCGTGGTTTCTCTCGAATGTTTAGTCCTAAAGCACCGCGGCTAAAAATAACCGGCACGGTAAACGAACAGTTAAATTGCCCGCGAAAACTTCCATTTCTCCTCGCTCTTCGCCGCTAGGGACGTTTCGACGTTTCTCCGCGCGAAACGTCCCCAGCGGCGAAGAGCGAGGAGAAACGGATGTTTTCGCAGGCTACAGTTAAATGAGTTTTTTAGAAAACTGAATATTTTGAAGATGATGTCAAACTAACGCCTAAAGTATAACATTGCGATCAGGAGCCGAGCTCCTGATTGCGATCAATTAAAGGATTGCGCTATATTGAAACATTTCGTCCATCTTACTTAGGTGGCATGATGAATGGTTCCCATAGCAACTCGTTTGAAGTATACAATCCAGTCAACAACAAATGGAAATTTCTCTCGCCTCCCACAATCCAGCGAACTCGTCACGCTATGGTTGCTACGGACACACACATTTACGTCATCGGTGGAGAAGGCCAGGGTATAGAGCCGGAAGTCAGCATGGAGCGATATGATCCAGAGGTAGACCTCTGGAGCTTTGTATTACCGATGAATTGTGGAAAAGTTGGTGCATGCGCTGTAGAACTGGAGGGAAAAATTTACGTCATAGGCGGAAATAATGGATACAATACACTTCGACAGTGTGAGGTTTATGATGTACAAACCCACCAGTGGAGCTTGGTTAAAGGCACTTTAAAAAATTACATGTTTTATTTACTAGGCTTATACTGAGTAATCATTTGAGTTATGGGGTGTACTGATGAGTAAAGCAGTTCATTTAAACATATTAGAAAGCTTTAGATTCCACACTACGAGGAGGAGATTTTTAAAGTCTTTTGCTTATTCTAAAAAATATACACCCCGGACTAAGCTTTGTTTTGCTTTTTTAACCAGAAAGATCAAAAGGTTATTTTTCATTGAAGGAGGTTAATTCTTTTTTCTATTGCAAAATGACAAAACATATCACTTTAATTTAAACAACATTTTCCGGTTACTTCGACAATTTCACTGGAACCTGTAGAAGAATGACGACAGTAAAAGCGCGCGCTCAACTTAGAATTAAAATCTCGTTCTCGTTGTCGTACTCGTCTCAGAATCTAAAGGTCGCTTTTGTTCGGGCTAGCGACCGCTCAGTATTTCCTGCAGTCGCTGAGGAATATTAGGTAAAGCAGAAAGTGAAATCGATGGGGTGGTATATAAGACGAAAGGCTGATTTGTATATCACAACTTGTGTAAACCTGTTTAAGGTAATGTTTAAATACAAGAAACGATTTGCGACGACGATTTTTAAGAGCAACAATGTTGGAACAATGTTAAAACAAATCGAAACAATATTGTTAAACTTATAAAGATGCAACACTGTGTTGCTCTGAAAATCGTCCCGTGTAACATCGCCCTCAAACTTTTATCTTTGGCAAACTAATTTGGCAAAGTGGGTAATATTTTCCAGGTTCCAATTATAGCTCGGGCTGTGTCATTCACAACAATTGGGGTTATAAATTAATCAGATGAGTTGCGTATAGCTTTTTCGTCCAGATCACTGATTTATATTGTATACTTTATTTCTAGAAATGGAAGAGTTTCGTCAAGATGCCCAGGCCGTCGTTATTGGCAAGAAAATTTACGTCATCGGAGGCCGAGACTATAAGGGAGAGAGGGTTCTAGATTCCATGGAGTGCTTTGATGTACCAAAGGGGGAGTGGGAACGAGTTACGACTGTGCCATTAGCAAGAGAAGGCTTTCGTTGTGTTTCTTGTAAAATAAGTCGAAATCACCTCCTTCCGATAAAGCTCAGATAACCTTTATTGACGTTTTTCCTCACATCCTTTCCAATTTCTATATGAGCTGTAATAGAAACAGGCTAGGGTAGCCATTGCTAGGCTTTATCCTGACAGTTCAAGAAACCAAAATAGATCGAACATATCCAAATTCTTTCAATTTCAGGTTGACGGATACAATTTATTCAGGGGAGACAGGGTTTAAGGGGCCGACCATTTGACTTTTGAGGGGAGGTATGGGTGATTTTTGAAAAAAAGTATCCTGCAGATCAGACTTGATTTCGAGGGGAAAAAAATTCTTGCAAGGTGGCGGCGGAATAGCTGCATTTGTCGGGGACAACACGTCCTTGCAGTGGGCAAGAAAAAATCTGGACATCTCTGTATTTCCCTATATCTTATTATAACTCAATGATCAATGGGGCTGATTATATGAGCCAGGATGGCTCGCCTTTCCACGATCCCGGCCCGCTAATTAAAAGCAACAAAACCAGTCTTGTGATTACACGGCAACCCATCGAGCCCATCCTGGTGGCGTAATATCGCGATAATAGACACCTTAGCCGAGATGGTTATAAGGAGCCTTTTCACGAAATTATCAAAATTCAAACATTAGTAGCTGCCGCGCCAGTTTGAGTAAAACATGAAAATAGCCACTGAAAACACCATAGAAGAAGGTATAGATAACACAGGAAAAAAATACAAACTGAAGGCACGGATGGACAAACTTTGAGAAAGATTAAGATCATTGTGCTTCAGTAATTTTATCAGCCTAAGAGTTTTTGGAAGCGTGTGTGGCCGAACGGCTAACACCTCGAACACCGGATCTCAAGCCTAGGGAACTTTACTCCACTTTGTCTCTCTTCGCCCAGGTGTGTAAATGGGTACCGGCAACATACTGCTAGGGGGTAACCCTGAAATGGACTAGCATCCCGTTCAGGGGGAGTAGCAATATTCCTAGGCATGCTTCATGCTAAGGAAACCGGGATAAGCTCCGACCGTTTGGGCCTTTTGCTCATGTCCCTTTACCTTACCTTGTTTAAACAGTTTTCAAAGTTCATTTCAGTTGTTTGTAATTAACGTTTGATATAATTTTTATTTTTAATTATTATTATTATCATCTTTATTACAAAACCTCAATTAAAATCCTGTTTACAATCAACCTGCTGTTACAAAAAATCTAATCAATTCATCAAAACACTATCTACAATTCCTTCATTAGAGAACAAAAACAATCCTATATATAATAAGTGAAGAAAGAGAAAACTATTCATTTACAAATTCTAAAAAATAGAAGTAACTTAACCTTACATAAAAGAAGAGGAAATAGATATAATCAATAATAAAAGTTCAAAATTCTATAAAATTAAGAATTCCATTATGCAGAGATATCAAGATCATAAAATCGAATTATACTAATGACGGCTATATAATTCTTGAATTGGGAGACATCTTTATTTGACCAAAGCTATGATTTTGTCATTCACAAGTATTTAAAATTTCTAAAGTTCCATACTAATAAGGGCGCGCAATTGGCATTTACTGATATAAACAAAATGAACTAGCCAGCCATGCTACAGATCCTTTAAGCCCGCAACACAGCGGGCAGCCTGACTCATGAAATCAGTACCTGTTCTCTGTAAGTTTCACTTATGGTGCAGCGCAGCCATACAATTCAACTCGCATGGATATATGTCCATGCCACGTCATTGCAACAAATCGCACGTATCTTGCCCGGAACCTTGCAGTTAGTACATGTGACACGATGGTGTTACGGTCAGAATTTGCAGCGAAAACCTGAAAGAAAAAAAAAACGTAAATAAAAATAATAATATATGCCGATCGGCCAAAAAGTAGTAGAATTAACCCCGAAGCGTCAAGATTGCACAAAACTTATGATAAATAATTAGCAGTGCATGCATTTTCTTAACACTCAAACAATCAAGAAAAGCCATGTGAAACACAATTTTACAGAAAATATTAATTTAGACCCTCATTTTATTACCGTTTGTTTGCTGATAATACGGTAACTGATCTTCCTGATATCCCCCTTTTTCGGTTGAGCTGTTGATGGCAACCACAACCATTGTATTACATTATCTGCCAACTAGTTCAAGAAAAATACGAAATTTGCGAGATTTCTGACTCGAAAGTTTTTGCTTGTTCGTAGAACCTTGTAAGTAGCCATCCTTCTGCTATTGACTTTGCTTGTGGCCTCGACCATCCCGATATTAGAATCGTATTAAGAAATAAAATCACGATCACATACCTTTACAACATTATTTTCCCTGTATGGCTCCCATTTGACGCTGTCCGAACTGAACGAAATGTTGTAGGACGTCACCCATTGACTGCCCTCGGGAGGCGGCCTCCCCTGTGTGGAGACGTTTGTTAGCAGCCTCTCCTCCCCGAGATCAACTTGTAACCACTCGCCGGCTTTATTAACTTCTGTTGACCAGCAGCCCGCGTTGCCATGTTTTGGAACATTATTGAGCCGGGCTAGCCAAGGGTCGTGTCCAGGGTGCTTCGTCCATACAGAGGACGCTGTAATGGATGAGTTAGGCAAGAAGTTACTTTCCATCCCAAGTGCATGGATACTGCATACTGTGAAAAGGAAGAAAAAAGAAAACAGGTTTAAAAGCCTTTTAGAAGCTAATTATATTTGATTGCTTTACTTTTACTTACACGTAACAAGGAAGGTCAAAGTATGATAAAGTAGTAACCAAACTCACCTACGCACTTCGATAGAAAACAAATCAAATTTTTGCCACATTCTGAGTCTTTGTTGCAGGTGAGAGGTCTGAGAGTGTTCTCCATGTAGTTTGTAAATGGAACTTGTCTCATATCTTCAGGGTGGGAAGCGTGCGTTTTATCATTCAGTTCACACCATTTGCTTATCCGATAAAAGTTGCTGCTATGGCAACCAGTATGTTCGATGCACCGAGAGATGCAGTGTTCAATCAGCTCTGCAGGCCCGGCCTTGATGACGTGGTTTATAAGCACGTGATCTTGTATGGAGTAAGATGCTGCCTTACACTGACTCGCGATGGTCATCTTGAAGAACCAGCAAATGAGTGCGTGTAGAAGTATTATAGAGGTGAACTTCATCCCTGACAAAATTCATAAAGAATGTTATCCTTGTATTCTCAGGTCTTTTCATTAAAGCGTGCAAACGAAGACCGTTTCATAAATAACTAATTAATCATACAGACTAGTTAAGGTGTTTCGATACAGTTTTTCAGAGGCCATACCGATATTTTTCAATCGCCTTAAAAGTGTTTTTTTCCTTGTCCGATCGCTAAAACATTTTCACCAGTAACTATGGATTGAAATTTGTGAAAATGTAGTTTTAAGTAAGATCGATATTACTATGACAACAATAAACAAAAATCTTTGAAATTGATAAACGCCGAATTTTGTGTGATCTAGACCAGCTACTGAAAATCCAACACTAGGAACTTAAAGTTTGGTGTTTAGCAAACAGTCTCCCTAAGAAGTAAAAAATTCTGTATGTTTGAATTCGACTAAAACGAAAATATATTTTAAACCTTAAATTTTCAATAGCCGTGATAGATTATTTAATAAAAACGCTATAAATGACTCAAATTATTCTTAAGTAGCGTTAGAATGCTGCTTAATATCATATTTCGATGCCAGGAAATTTTGGTGTATTTTCGTTCTTGCGATCTTGAAAACTAACCTGTTTTCTCACCACCTGTATAACTGTATTTTCATTTAAAATTTGGACTTTTGTGCTTTTTAGTAGATCTCTGAAACGACTCGAACGAATTTCTTTAAAATCTCTCCACTTAATGATCTTCATAATGTATTTAATAAGGTCTGAAACTTTCATTAAGATTAATCACTCCCGGCTGCAACATCTTAAAATTTCAAGACAAATCTATCCCACGAACCTGTCAAAAATCTGCACTACAACATTCACTGTTTTGACGTTATGCTAATTTTTCCAAAATAATAATGCGCACTATACATACCTCCATGACTAGTACATTTTGGTTTGAATTTATCGCATCTTTTAAATGTAAAACATTGACAATCTCGCTCTGAAATGTACTAGTCATGAATATACGGTCCGCATTAGGGCCTGTTTACATGGAGTGGGGACCCCGGTCTAGTGGGGTTGGTTTCTTTTGTTTTCACGCTCCGGGGGACACAAAACAAAAGAAACCTACCCCACTAGACCGGGGTCCCCCACTCCAAGTAAACAGGGTCTTAATCTGGGAAAATTAGCGTAACGTCAAAACAGTGTAACGCGGAATTTTGACCTGTTCGTAGGATAGGTTTGTCTTGAAATTTCAAGGTGTTGTAGTGAATCAATCTCAATGAAAGTTTCAGACATTTAATATTATATACATTATGAAGATGTGGAGAGATTTAAAAAAAATTCGTTCGGGTCGTTTCAGAGTACAAAAAAGCTCTAAAAGTCCAAATTTTGAATGAAGTTGCTCTTAGACAGGTGGTGAGAAAACGGGTTAGTTTTTAAGATCGCAAGAACGAAAATACACCAAAATCTAGCATCGAAATATGACATTAAGCATAATTTGAGTCATTTATAACGTTTTCATTAAATAATCTATCACGGCTATTGAAAATTTAAGGTTTGAAATATATTTTCGTTTTAGTCGAATTCAAACAGAATTTTTTACTTCTTACGGAGGTTATTTGCTAAACGCTAAACATTAAGTTCCTTTAATAGTGTTGGATTTTCAGTAGCTGGTCCAGATCGCGCAAAATTAGGCGTTTATCAGTTTCAACGTTTTTTGTTTATTGTTGTCATAGTAATATCGCTTTTACTAAAACCTACATTTTGACAAATTTCAATCTATAGTCAATCATTAGTGAAAATTTTATGGCGATCAGGCAAGGATAAAATCACTTGCTTTTAAAGAGACTGAAAAATATCGGTATGGCCTCTGAAAAACTATATTCGAAACACCTTAGTTAAGCGCTTGAAATTAATCAGAAGTTGGTTTCCGGAGAGGTCATTAAATTTTCATCCTCGTTTTTCATTAGGAGTCACAAACTCTAGGTATGGTATTTAAACATTGTTCGTACTCTGGTCAAACCTTTTTCTTGTTTCTACATTCAACCGTATGGCTCAGGCCTCAGTTAAGGTAGCTAGATAGCACTGTCCACCGACTAAATCACTATCCACCGTGTAAGAAATTGGGAAACTAATGGGCCAGCTTTTATCATTAATTAAAAATTGGACATGCTCTACTGTCTTTTAACACTGCCGGGCGATTCATTGAAGACCACGGCCATAATCCATTCCCGTATTTAAGGAATGGCCCCTTTTTACTGCTACAGTGTAATTCCACTAAATTTCAGGTCTCCGTAGTTTTTTCGTCATCGCGGGCAGGCCTAAGATGAAAACGGCTTGTGAGTGTTCTTGACTACATCGTTTCTTCTACAAATAGTCGCAATCAGGAGACTACCGCTGTCGCAATATAGTGGGACTTTTATGATCATATATGATCCATTTTTACAAAAGATGCTAATATATTATATATCAGCATTAAAAAAGGTGAATTAACAACTGCTGGGAAAAAGGCTACGGACGATTTTAATCTAAGGGGTCAAAATTTCGTAAACTTCTTTTAAAATCCTTTAACGTACTTTCTCTAAGCTCCACCCTTCAAAAAACATTTTCAGACTCGGCCAATACAAAATTATATCATAGCTGGTATTTCAGGGTACCTTTTTCATTTCACCTGAGCGAGCGGCGTTTTTGGGTCCGGATGGCGGTAAGGAATTTCTGTATCGGAACTTTCTTCAAATTAGTAGAAATGTGCGCTAAAAAATAAACATTGACACTATTAATTAGATATATATTACTCGTACCTTGCGTCTAGGCATTTGGTCAGAGACTGATCATAGGTGCAATTTCACAAAAAAAATGCTCAGTTTGGATAAAGCAAATTTCTTAACCTGTAGTTCCTTGCAGACTTAGAAGATCTGCTAGAAGGTAATTAAAATGAGGTCTAACTTACCAGAAACGGAATGCTGCAGGCTTTTGAACTTGTCAGTTTGTAAAGCAAACTTGTTTTGGACGCTTTTCGTTCTGACAATATATTTTTATTAGTTATTAGCAAGACAATGATCTTTTGAAATGGAAATTCTTGACGTCTTTTTTAAACATAAATTGCGTTTTCTTTTTGTCTGTCGCTGTTGGGCGGGTCAGTGTGGGTGGAATGGGTTAAGGAATGGTTTTTTTAGAGACTTTATTTTTCTTTCTTCTCCTCGTCTCGCTCATTCTTCTCATTAACCTTTGCGAAAACTGTCCTCCATCGCGCTCTGTCAAGCATCTTATACAGTCTTTTACGTAATTTTGGCATTCACTGTGTTGTCGTTTTATCGTTTCTCTCCTTAACGTTAAATATATCCCGAATAAGGTATGATCTGAAATTCGATGCCTTAATTGTCCCACGCAAAAATAGTTTGCCTACGTTTTTACTGCAAAATGCATCCATGAAAACATGTACACCTGCTAGAAAACTGTATCGACTTTCCTTAATCGGCTTTAGAAGAGACCAACGGGTAGCCGATTATCTATTACGAATTCTGCAGTCTCTAACGTATTTACTATGTGTTAATAATAGATGGTGAGTAGAGAGCTGGCGTCTTGCCGAACAAAAGCAAGAGAGTGGTAATTTCTTCAAGAAATCTTTTCAGTCGGATGCCTGAGGAAGAGTTGGATGAAGTAATTAATTGATGCTATCTCTCAAAAAGTCTAAGGCGGCCACAAACTTGAAATACGCAATAAACATTTTAAATGCAAGAAGCCTGGAGCACACATTTAATTGTTCGCCACATTTGTGACAAACAAAGAACGATTTAATGAATTCAAGTTGAAAAAGGCTTCAAAATCTGGTATAGATTAGAAACAAAGCATGCTAGTTAGGTTCTACTAAAACAATAAGACTACTCGTTCTTGTCGCCCCTATGTGAGGGAATCCGGAAAATGTTTGTTTGTGAAATCCGCAATCCGGGAAACTTTTTCTCTTGGAACACAAAATCTTGGGCTTTGGATTCCGGAAAACAGCTCTAGGAACCCGAAATCCCACTAATGAGTGGAATCCGGAATCCATGTTCCACTGACAAAGATCTTGAATCCAGTATCTAAACTGAAAATCCGGAATCCATGGTGTGCAATCCAGCATCCAAGACAGTCTTGAATTCCCTTGTATGGGGCCGATTCTAATTTTTTTCTAAGAGTGAAATAGTCGACCCTTCTCTGGTTTGCACTCAGAACAATTTGTGACTGTTCCCGCGTGGTGACGTTCAAATAGTTTTTAGTGTCAATTAGCCCCAGGACAAAATGTTTAAGTATATATTGCCCGTGTAAGGGAATCCAAGAACGTTCTGGACTCTGGATTCCACGCCCTCCCATTGTTGAACATTGTACCAAAATGAAAATATTTTGTCTTGAAAAGGGTCATGATTTGAAGGCTCCGTTCAGCACCACCTTATCACGTCTTCCAATGGAAGTGCACTTCCTGCTGGCTGCGAGGTCTTTCCTCTACCCGATCATAAGAGGCTAGAGCACTGTGCCTAGTTGTTGGAAGGCTGATTAGCGCTAACCCAGGGTTAAATTTTAATCCGAGTTTCTTTTTCTTTTGTTTAAAAGCATTTCCTTGGATAATTTTTGCCATTCTCTTTCAGTATCCAGTCATCAAATTGTAGATGAAAAGAATGAAAATGAATTTGTTTTTGTAAGCTTTTATAACTGAGTTCAAACTTCGCATTAACCCTGGTTTATCTTAACCAATTGCAGCTTTGAACAACTCGGCCCTGATTGCTGAGGCGTAAGCGTTAAGTTTTATCCGGTTAACCAAAAACAAACTACAACAGCAAATTTCTTGCTACGGAAGCACACATTTACGTCATCGGTGGAGAAGGCCAGGGTATAGAGCCGGAAGTCAGCATGGAGCGATATGATCCAGAGGTAGACCTCTGGAGCTTCGTATTACCGATGACTTGTGGAAAAGTTGGTGCATGCGCTGTAGAACTGAAGGGAAAAATTTACGTCATAGGCGGAAATAATGGATACAATACACTCCTACAGTGTGAGGTTTATGATGTAC